GCTATATGACATCCCGTCTGCTTTGCCTATACTTCTGGAAGTCCCTGATTAGTACTAAAAATAGATTCCGCGGCTAACCTTATCACACATTTACACCCACAGAATGGCCAAGACTTCCCCAGCAAGCTCATAAAACCTCAAACCAATTGAACTTTAAAGGGGCGTCACCACACATTTCATCAGTAAAATATTAGCTACATCTATTCCTTGAAACTGACCCATCTTCTATAGAGCCATGTTTTGGGATGTGTACAGTAACATACATGTACATAGATCTGTCAATGTAATAACTTACATGTAAATGTACTGTAACAGCAGTGAATTAGGGAGAGCCTGATGAAGTGTTCTGTTGCAAGCCTTCCTGTTTTATGGAAGATTTTTCAAACCCATTGAATTTGGAAAGGTACATGTACTGTAGCTTACATTGTTTTTACATAATTCATTACTCAAAATTCAGGTTTTGTTTTTATGCATGCTGTTACACTCTCTCCATGCTCATGAATTTGTGGCTTTCAGTGCATGTATAATGTGGTCAGTATGTCGTCCATAAATTATGGTGTGGATATTGACATGCATGTGTACAATATTGCTCCCAGGGTTGTCCCAGAGAGGTATGATTTTACCAGTGCATGTACATGTACATACCACATTGGTAAATGTCATTGGATAGTCCTGTGTTCAAGCTCTGCGATACACCTGTGCCACACTCAGTTGCCCAGCTTCAATTTCTATGACCATACTGGGTGGGCTAGTGTATACACACAATGTGTACATTGCAACGGTTTTTATCTGCCACAAAATGAAGTATGCAGCCCTCAGCATATCTGCAATTCCTGTGGTTTTCCTAGCCGTCCAGCGCTCACCCGTTCCACCAATGGTGCAGCTACCTTTGTGGAGAGTTTTGATCAGATGCTGGTAGCTACCATTGCAGTCAAAGGGTTGTTGTTCTGAAGTCAGGGGAAAAGTTGAAAAAGGCTTTAGAAAATCCTGAAATGAAAGTTAAGGTGTGGAAATGCCCATAATCCTCTGAGCAATGCCTTTCTTTGTGTGATTTCATGGAGGATATCTGAATAGAGGACATTTTTCACGTCTTTAGAATATTCCATTTCATTTGCACTTCTAGCCCCCAAAACAGCATTTCTAGAATAGAGGCGGTTTCACAGTCCACTTCCTAATTGCAACTGATTTATCCTTTTCTATCAATGTGGAAAATGTTCTATTTCAAATGCTGCCAGACAGCAAACAGTAGATTGTACTTGTACAAGCAAATCACAAGACAGGACTATGTTTCTGGTTTTCGTTCGCTGGATATAACTTGTTTATATTCCAAATGTTTTGAAATGACAACTGTTGTCAAGTTATTTATATAAAGGTCAGCTGCCGGCAACCCTTTTTGTTATGATTACCAGTGGGCCATGTCACACTGGTACCCATGACCTGGAATTGACTGGTACTCATTGCAAGTGCAACAGTCATTACAAATCCTGCTCTACCCACCAAAGGGAATGGGTTAGCATAATGTACATGTATGATGTACAGGTATGTGTACATTGTATATGCTGTACACTGTATTGCTTGAACCAAATGCAGGAAGTACATGTACTGATGTACTATTAAGAAAAGTATTAACAAACTAAACTAAACTATGTCAAAGTAAACGACATGTTTATAATTCTTCCTTGTCAGCAGAAGCATACATGTTCATGGCCTACTTAAATATGTGAAGTTGAAATGCACATACATGTGCATGTGCATGCTCACCACGTGTACATTACACAGGTTTCAGTTGGGTATACAGAATACATAAATACTGGTATGCAAGCCGTTTCATTTTTACTCATATTCTAGAAACTGTGTTCAAAAATAAGCTGTTGAAATAGATTGTTCAGTTTAGCAGGGAAATACATGTATGAAAGTGGGACAGCAGCAAGAGAGGCGGCCCTTCATATCTTGACCCTGGACCCAGTGCCTTGCTAGGTTCTGTTGAAATAAGTACACCTGTGTCCTAGATGCAGGCTATCATGTAGGGCAACCCCTGTGAAAGATCTCTGTGGATTTTGCCCTTGGCTCCTGATAGGCAAAGGGGATTTTCACTGGAATTGATGACCCAAAAGACTGTCCACACCAACCTTGGATAGGGTATGTTGTGAGATCTGATCGCACCCTAACAAACTGTATGGTTTCTGTTTTTTGATCACTTATCTTACTGATACTTTTCCTTGCTTTCCAACTCTGTGACCACTGTGGAGGAAATTTAAAAGCTCGAGGCAGCAGTTTAGGAGACAAAAGCAGTGTTCATTTCTTCGAAGACATTGAGGAAAAGCCTGCGTGTGCTATCATAGTTGACTTACACACATGTGACTCTCTTGATAACAAATGTATTTTTTTATAGTCTGAATGAAAAGAGTTAACTATTAAAATCATTCCTGGAAGAAACCAACCCCCAAACTGTGAAAGCTCAACGTTGGTACCAAGTGCATTTAAAGATAAAACTTGTTAAGAAGTCTAATTGCTTTGGTGTTCTTTGCAGTCATGGTCAATAGGATATCCGGTCTCGTAAATGTATGTACATCAGTCATGCAGTCAAACTGTAAAAGCACATCCCTGCACTGTCAAGGTTTCATATCAGGCATGATGGGGGACATGTAGTTAACCCACTCAGGTGATTAATGACCAACCATTCCAAAACCACAAACCTAGATGTAAAACTGTGCATTCCGTCAACTGTGTGTTCATAAATAAAGAGGGAGGGCCATTCAGTCAGTGCTGTGTACACACAGCACTTGTTCATGGTAGTACAAAGGCCATTACAGACTGTGTTTTGATCACGTAGGCCAGGCCAGGCCAGGCTAGACCAGACCAGACGGGAATTGAGGTCATTGGATAGGGAGGAACAAAACGCCTGCGATCTGGCTGGGAGAGAGACTGGGCTGTTAGCTTGTGGGGTTGGTGTGCTGACAGGCCCTGCTGAGAAGAGGTCAAGAGGGCAACCCTCTCATAACCTGGCTACCTGCTGCTGCAAAAAAGGGCAGGATACCTGGGCTGTTTACAAACGACAAACTCTGTCACATGAGGTTTAAAGTAACAAGCTAAGAAAAAATGATAGACTCTTGAAATTGATTTGTTAAGAATGATCTGTGTAGCAACCAGCCGCCATGGCAACAGAAAAACATTTCACTGTTAGTTACCAAAAAAAGAGAAAATTACAGCTCCGATCCACCTAACTGCTGCCGTCTGCAACAAGATTAACAAATTGAGTGATTTTGGACTGAATTTTGTAGCATTGGTTCGGATTTTGGCAGACTGTGCCAGTGACTGGAAAAATCATCAGTTAAAAAATAAAGGAACATTACAATGCCCTGGCATTGAAATTGAATTGACTTCAAGTAGATATATGAATATGTAAAGCTGCTGTCTGCTGTCGTTGGTGTTTTTATGGCAGTGAACTTCAGCATGGCAAGTAGTAACTTTAGATATTGTTGAAAGGACATGCAGCATATATCCAAGATTAGCCGTTGGGAGTTGGTTAGTGCAAGGCCATGAAGCCATAAAGGATTGATCAGTTAAATCAGACATATACATGTATATGCTATCAATGAGAAATCTATGAATTCAATAGTTTATCCAAAAATCTAAGTTTGACGTATAGTGGGATATATAGTTTGGAGTATAGAGGGATTGCATGGCTGCCATCTTGCATGCCAGTGCTTTTGTTCCACAAGCTGTGTACAAAGGAGGTTTCCCTTTGGAACTGAAGAACTGCCCTGCAAGATGGTTACCATGCAAAGCCTCTGGTCACTGGATCTGAAGTGTATGCAAATTATCTTTAAAGTTGATGTCACAGACTTTCATTTTTCCAGTTTCAGCATTTCTCAAGCACCTGTTGACAGTTGCTGTTGTTTTCAAATACATGTAGTTTCCTTCCATGGCTTACATGCCTGTTTGCATCTATTTTTACAGTCGTTAATTCTGAAGCATCCAGTGAAGCCTACACGATACATGTGCATATTAGGTGCTTCATCCTTACCTTTCAAAGTTGCCTTAAGTGCAACCCAAAGGACATGAAAACAGTAACACCCTCCTGGTCATGCATTGAGAAAATGCCCAAGTCTGTCCAAATCCCAAACCGCTGGGCCAATTTCACACAGCTAATTTGGTGCAAAGCACAGATAATATATGCTTAGCAAAACAAGTGCTTTCTGTGATCGGTTCTGTGCTGATATCTGTTTTGCACAAATATGCTAGACAATGTTTTCTGCACAGAAAACTGCAATTTTGGGCCTTGCAGTAACCACATCGTAACTTACGTTGCCTTAGGCTAATAAAGTCTTCGTTTCAGGAAACGGTCAGGAGATTCTGAAGGATTCAAGAAGTTTCGATTAATCCTAACCCATCCACATTCTTTGCAAGACTTATTTACTTACTTACTTTGCAAGATGCTCGATACCTCTTTGAAAATTAAAGTACAAGGACTCGTGGAGCTACCAAAAGGGATTCCTGCTATGAGAGATTTGAAAAGACCCAGGACGTATCGGGGGAGGGTAGGATTCAAGCAACTGATCATCGTTCTCCCGCCTGTGATGATAGAACTTTCCTTGTGATAATTTTAAAGACCAGTCTGTCACTTGGTGGATAGCCAACCACTTTGCCTTATATACGTGCATCCTAAACCATATTTGTATGTATTCTCCGGAAGTGGCCTAGTCTTGTGCATGTTGACGTCTATAACTCTTAGTCACAATGGCTGTGGGTCTGTTTGTCAACAAGCCTTGATAGTTGGAGTGGCAGGTGGATGTGGCTCTATGTTTCCACCCTGGGCTCCATGTGATCTTGACCTCTGTCTTGCAGCTGGGAGTCCCCCATCAATCAGGTCCTAGCCTCTGCCACTTGGAGCTCAACAACTCCTAAGCATACCAGCAGATGCTTGGACTTTGTTTTTATACAATGTATACAAATGTATACAGTGTATTTCTCTTTTCTGTTGTAGCACATTGTTGTAATACTGTTCTGTATTGTATTATCTGAATGCACATACTTGTGTGTGTACATGTAAATTCTGTGTTCAGCAAAGAACAAGACCAGTTTTTATTTTTATTCCCCCTTTAAGTTTTCTCAACAAACATCTCACACCAAGTATTGGGAGTTGTAATCCAGACTGTCTCCTTCACAGGTCTTTCAGCAAAATTCCCCTGATAAGGCCCAAGAAACTTTTACTCTCCCGTGTTTCCTACTTCCGAGACAGCAATTCCAGTGAAAGCAAGAACCTAACATGGATTCTTCAGAATTGTAAAGAGCAGTGTGTCCTTAACGTCAAAGCCTCGAGGTATAAGAGACTTCCGTCCCTTTTTCTGCCATAAAAAAAGAAAAGCTTCTCAACTTCCTGTGTTCACGAGTCATGTTCGTGGTCGTCCTGCTACTACCGGTCAGTGTGGCTTTCAATCTGACATCAGGAATGACCCTCTGTAATACTCTGAGGATCTCCACAAGAAGCTTAAGGGCTGAAATCCCATCCAACTTTATCAACTGGAGATCCCCGTTTCCCGTGTCAGTCGAGAGTCCGCTGCGCGTGGGAGTTGGAAGAAAAAGAAGTAAAATATTTAGACAGTGGAATCTGCGCTGAGCAGTGATTAAAAGCATTTCCCGTGCATCCAGCCCGGGTCATTTCAGTCCATGAATGACTTCAGTGACTTTACAAAAGGGGGAAGTGACGTCCTGTGGCCGTGACGCAGCAGTGATGGCATGTACGTGGTCATGTTGTATACATGTGCAGTGATGGTAGTTTGGAAGGGATTTTCCTGTGGTGTATGTGTGAGTGTGAGGATGGCATTGTGTGGCTAGGTTTCCAAGCGCTAGTATAGAAGTGACACCGGCTGCGGTTGATTGGCTGATCACACTGGATGGTGTGAATGTAGTCATTTGTTATTCGTGTCATTACTGGCTGAATGTTCTTCACCTTCCTGATGGTTTTGAACAAAACAACACGTAATTGTATGTTCATCCAATTTACTATGTTCACCCAAGTGATTCACTAGAATAATATTTGCTGGCACACTTCATATCAAGTGACCTTCAATTATCATTGCCATTTTTAAATCCAGGACAAATAAAAGTACATGTGGTTGACACCAGAAGTGTGTTTCATTGATTCTGTCTCAGAAGTTTGTTGCCAGTAATATTTTGGCACGGTTCCCTTTATGTGTGACATTGGTGTTGTACACTTGAGACCTTTCAGTTTTTCCCCCTTTCTCGTTAATATAAATATTTATATTATTACTTCATAATAGTCTTGTTTTGCACCTTCCAGGGCCATCCGTGCATTTCAGCAGGTTCTCTACATCGACCCCGGCTTCCAGCGGGCCAATGAGGTTCATCTGCGACTGGGTCACATGTTCAAGGTGAACTCGGACTATGAATCTGGCCTGAAACATTACCAGCTCGCTCTCATCGATTCCTCTCTGTGCTCTCTCACCAAAGCTGAAAGTAAGTCCAGATACACTCGTGTTTTATGCATTAACCCACATCGGAACTATGCTAAAGACTTCACACAGTGGTCCAAATTCCGTGGTCTACAGCGATATTTTGAAAGCAGTAGGATACCATTTGACATGTGAAAGAAGTTTCAATGTGAATTAAAGGTTTCAAACGCCTCCAGGGATTACAACTTCACTCACCCCCACAAGTGAGAAGTGTAAGCATTTTCCAATGAAAAGCACTTATTTTTTAAAAAAAGTACTACGCTCTCAAACACCAGACGTAAAACTTATAATTTCTGTCTTTCCATTTGTTTTGCAGTCAAGTTCCACATTGCACATTTGCATGAAATACAGGTAAGGGGTCAGACCTAAAGTTAAAAGTTTTTTCTGTTTATTTTACAATACATTTAAAATACATCACGAAAGCTTTACATTATCGCCTGTGTCAGTTCGCTTATAAGAGCATTTAGCATTTTTGAATTTTTGGTCCCATAGTTTTATTACTGACTTGTGCGGATAGTCAACTGTACCAGTTATAGTTAAGGATCTATAGTGAATTCTTATGTGTACGAAATGTATAAATGTGAAAGTGTACTCACTATCTCATTGGGCTTGCCAAGTCACTGACAGTAGCTTATATAATGGTGTCACCGCTTAAATAGTGGATGATTTACAGTGCCCCCCCCCCCCGAATCCTACAGAGATTGTTTGGAAACCCCACAAATTACTAAAGCAGTTCAAGTTTTCATATTCAAGTGTGAAATTTTGCAGTTGAATTTATTGAAATATCTGGGATGGTTGTCTGCCTTCACAGGGCAAGTATCAAACGTCAGTTCAAGCGTACGAAGAACTGCTGTCCTTCATTCCTCTGCCGGATACCGTCAAAGCCAACTCTCTCAGACAACTGGGTAAGGACAATTGGCATCAGTCGTAGGCCGGATCAAAGTTGTATGGTTATATTTTGCCCATGATTGTGTCTCTCCTTGTTTTTGCTTTCTTACAAAACTTGTTTTTTGATAAGAAAATTTGCATGCTTAGCTGCTGTAAGATGTTCTGGGACAGCAGAGAATAAAGATGGTAGAGAAGGTGAACGACCCCTTACCACGGATTTCCCATAAGCCTTCAAAAAGCATCCTCATTGATCACATGCTCAGTGATATGTTATGAAACTACTATAGTCTGATGCAGCCAAACGTCTGGTGTCGTGACTGAGTTCAGAATGTAGTCTTTGTATTTTTAGACTGCATCCAAATCTGTTGTCTAGAGCTAGGTCTAGGTCTCCCCTCCATTGGAAATGTGCGGAGATGCGTTGACAATAGACCTAGCCATACCTCTGGAAGCCTGTTTCAGACACAGCCTTAAATTATCCATGTCTGCAGAGGGATAAGTTGCCTTGTACAGAACTCAGGCAGCAATTAAAATGGAATCTCCCAAATGGAGTTTCTTTTCCTGTGATGGAACCTTCCTTGAATCAGGACGTCACAGATTCATCGAAACCACGTACTTTTCAATTTCTTACTTTACACTTTGTCTGAACCAATTTCAGTTTCATCAGATGTAAGCACTTAACACATGTTGATAACGTCAAGGAAGACTTATTTTGGGGGGTATTTCCAGTTTCGTCTGGTACTACTTTCAGTGTCATCATTCAGGAAAACCAAATCTTGGTCAGTCTACCATCAACCACTCCGTGCTCACTGTGACCATCCATTAGTCAACAGTCCACTCATGTTCCATTGCTCTTCTACCTTTAAGTGAATTTACCCTTGCTCTACCTTATCCTGTGGTACTTTAGCTCATATTTGTAGGACTGTCCCGTAGTCGCAGTAACCACTGCAGACTAGTGGGTATTCACTGAAGTGCAACTATCCACTAGCGAATAGTCTACTTTCATTGCTGACTATCCTCTGGTTGATATTCACTATCCTCCAGTGGATAGTCTATTGTTCATCCGAGGATAATCAATAAGTGACTATCCTGTAGACTATAGCCCACTGATGACCCACTTCCTGTCATCCTCTAGGTTGGCTCCATCACAGCTGTGAGCAACTTGGCGACAGTGCCTCCCGGGAGACCAAAGCCATCCAGTTCCTCATCAAATCCCTGGAGGTGGATCCCAACAGCGGTCAGTCTTGGTACTTCCTGGGCCGCTGCTACTCCAGCAGTGGTAAGGTCCACGATGCCTTCACGTCTTACCGGCATTCCATCGACAAGTCGGAAGCCAATGCTGACACCTGGTGCTCAATAGGGTAGGTGAAGACCATGAACACTACTTGGGTCTTACTCTGAAAGTCTGTGGATACGTAACTTAAAGCCTATCAGTTATTTTGTCATCAATTGTTTTATAAATACTCACAACTGCTCCTGGTGAGCCCAACTTCTGCTTGTCATTGGATCTACAGGACAGCTTTGCAGATTGAGCATACCAATAAAACAATCAATCATAATGCACTTCCCTGGTATGAGGCTTCCCTATAGCTGTAAATGTTTACTCTCTCAGAGCAGTTAGAGCTTCCCTCTTCCATCTCTGGTTTGGAGATACCCTTCTGTCTTCCTTGGAGGTCAAGTTCTTGCTTCCATTTTTTCCCACCTATGACAGAGTGCTTTACCAGCAGCAGAACCAGCCCATGGATGCTCTCCAGGCCTACATCTGTGCTGTACAGCTGGATAAAACACACGTAGCAGCCTGGACCGACCTTGGCATACTCTACGAAGCTTGTAGTCAACCGAGGTGAGTCGGTACTTACACCCCTACAGGTCAAAGTCCTATTGCACTTTCATTGCTTTTCTTCCACAATACAAATGTAACTCCTCTGGTACTGCATCTTTCACAGGCTCAAATTTCAAAACTGTGTTTAAATTTCTTTACACAGGGATGCACTTACCTGCTACATGAATGCCTCAAAGTGTTCTAAGAACAGTGGGACGACGTCTCTCGGACCAAGGATCAAATTGTTACAAGCCCAGGTCAACGCACTGCCTCAGTTACATATGCAAACAAAGTAAGTTTCTCATTCTGGACACTAAAAAGGAGTTCCCCATTAGTCCGTTTAATGCCGTGTTTCTATCTTAGCTATTCCAGCTACTCTCCTGAAAAGAAAACATTGCATCTTGAATGAACCAGAGGGGAATTACCACAAGTTTTATGTTTACAGAACTTAAAGATAAATCAGAGCATACCGATTTCCAGAAAAAAGGTAATGTTGGTAACTAAGGTAACGTTGCCTCGACGTGCAGAGTTTTGCGCGACTTTATGTCCACTTTCAAGGCTCTAAATGGCAGTTGTTATACATGTGCATTAATGTAAATAGCATTTTTCACACAGCTGCTTGGCTCGTTATCTGCAGGCTTGTCAAATGGATGTTCCAATTCTGACTTCAGTGTCGGCAGCCACAGGATGGCACTGTCTTAACTCAGGGTAACACTTTGCATTTATCTCCACACAGAAGCAAAACACTGCCAAGTATTGAGGAGGCATGGAGTCTTCCTATTCCTGCTGAGCTGACATCCAGACAGAGCAACATGACCACAATCCAACAGGTGAAACCCGTTTACCAGAAAAGAGATTTTGCTAAGCCCCTAACAGCCAGGCTTCCAATCTCGACGCCGTGCACTGTCAGTAGCATTGGATTGGTTTCAACCACTTATTGCTGAGCAAAAAAGGTTGACAAGTAAAGGTTTTAATGGTTTAAAATGGTTTCTTAGCAATGCTAACTTGGTCAGAGCCAGTAATTTCAGAGTTTTATTTCAAGTCCAGTGTGGAAGCTTAAAGTGTTCAAATTTGGTCCAATTTTCTTCTGATTCTGTATTCATATCTTAGTCAGATTCTTCTTCAAATTTTTCCTTGGATGAATGAAGGTGTTATAAATGAATTTCTACCTCTTGGAGGGAAAGTATTCTAAGATTTCAACTAAATGACAATGTCTTATCTTTAGGGACATGTCAAATCTCTTTGTGAGTGAAGCCCTGTTTAATACCAGAGCTAGTTGCATTTTGCATGTTTTCCTGTAATGTTCATCAGCCAACAAGTCTTGAAATAAAAAGCCCTCTTGTTTGTGTATTTGTGTCCATTTTTGCAGGCACGCATGATACCGCCCACGGTAGCTGTCACCAAAGCCATGCCTCCCCCACCATACCCCAACCAACTAACCAATCAACTCACCACCGTCCCCAATGCTGCACTCAACTGCCTGCCGACTCAGCCGCCGCCCGTCTCTGTGGGTGGGGCCCAGACCAACGCCTCCTCCAGCTCAACAACCACCCAACCCGGCAATGCACCCAAACGCCGAAAAAACTCGGCTGCGCAAAAGAAGAAGGTTAGTTGGACCATGAAGTGAATCACTGTAGATAGATAGAAAATGTAACATCCCCAGTTGTCTAAAGCAGATAGTTGCTTCCTAGATTAAACTAAACTTGATCTGCCCAAGTCTTTGCTAATATTACATCAAGATTGTTCCTTGCATGGTGTTCAACTTGAAAAACCACTGATCAACTTTATTTTTCTTTTCTAGTTAAAAAAACCATCTGTTTAGACACATACTTTGTCTTTTCTTCCTTGAAAGTGTTATTATAAAAATCAAGTAGGTAACAGTTTTGTGTTCTACAAAACAATTTATGGCAGACGTTTTAATTGTCATGAATTGTTTTCTAACCCAGTCTTCCACCTCAGTAGCTGAGCTTCTGAGTATACAGCAGCAGCAGCAACAACAGCAACTGCTGCAGCAACAGCAACAACAGCAGCAGGCCCTACAGCAGCAACAACAGCAGCAAGCTCCCAGCGTTACCCCTGGCCAGCCCAAGCAGCCGGTTCAGTCCCGCGAGCAACAGCAGCCACAGTCCCCCTCGCCGCCGTCCTTCTACCTGACGCCGCAGCAGGTGGCGCTGTTGCAGCAGCTGCAGCAGAACCAGGCCAACCTGAGCCCCGAGCAGACGGTAGTTATGCAGCACCTGCAGCATAATCTGTGGCTCATGCAGCAACATCATCAGCAGGTGAGCAGCCTGGCACCAAAACAATCCTATCTGAAAACCCTTCTAGAATATCTCTTTATATCGATCATGATTCTTTGGCATCTGCCAACCTTATTGCAGTCCTTTGAAGCTGTTTGTGCAGGTCAGATTTTGTCCTCTCTTTTATAGATGTTAAAGAAGCATCAGCAGATGCAGCAACAGCAGGAGCAGCAACAGCAGCAAGCAGCTGGTGGGCATCTGCAACTCCCAACCAGCAGTGCAAGCAGCAGCCAGCAACAGTCAGCCCTGCCAAACCTCGGTGGCCTTCGTAACACATCCCAACAGGGAGATTCAGGTTTGGGCAACACTCTGACATGGGCGGGCCAGGCCCAGCCCGTGGATGCCCTGCCCGCTTCGACCGGAACCACGAACTTAGACCTGCTGAGTCGGACATCCGGGAGGAATGCAGTGTCAGCAGTGGGATCGGGCGTAGTGGTGACTGCCAATGGAGGAGGTCAGGCAGTATGCACCGGAGGAGCCTTTGTTCCTGCAGGAAACACAGCCACTAGTGTCGGATTTGCAAATATTGGACTGGCCGTATCCAGCGCACAGACACCAGGGCTGAGTTTCCCAAGGCATCCTTCCCCAGCTGACGCACCAAAGACCCAGGAACTATTCAACAATCAGGCTGTCGCGGGCTCTCTGCAGAGCCGGTCAGGCACAGCCTCCCCATTGCATGGACCCAAGAGGATGGTCACACCCCCAGGGCCAGCCAGCAGTCCTGGACATGCCCAGACGCCCCTCCAGAAGTCCCTTGACTTCCCTGCGCCGAACGTGGTAGCTCCCCAAAATGTGGACATGAACCAGAAGCTCGCCGAGTTCAAATCTCGGACAGGGGGTGGGGCGGAACCCCAGAGCCTCATGTCCCCTCAGGAAATCGCAGACTCTATGCTGGCCCAGCTGTCCCACACAGACGGCGCCGCCTCGAGCAAAAGTAGCGCGAACTTCATGGGAGGTACCTCCCCTAGTGTCGCTGGTGAGAACCCCACAAGCGTTAGACACAGCAACGCGGGCAGTGCATTCTTCAGTACTATGCCATCGGGCATGGGGCCGGGAACATCACATGACTCAAATAACTCGAGACACGAGGGCGGAGTTTTCAAGACCCCACCCCCAGTCACGTCCAGCATCAACTCCTCGGAGAGCATCTACTCACAGGCATTCCATCCCGGTGTTGATTGCAAGCCGAAGATTCCGGAGCACCGAACAGCCGGGCTTGGCTCGCCCCTGCACCCAGCAAGCTCCAGTCATGGCGCTCACGCCATACCCATGGAGGGATTGAACAGTGTGACATCTGGGCTGAGTAATGCCATGACGAACTCTGCCTCTCCGGCCCAGTCAGTGGGAACTCCACCCAGTGTGTCCAGTCATTTATCACAGATAGACCATGGGTCAGGAGAGCATGGTATGAACACTGTGTCTGGTATGGGCTCTCCTATGGGGGGCTCTGTGGTACGTAAGGACAGCATTGCTGAAAGCTGTGTCCAGAACCATGTCAATGGTGTGGGAACAAGTCAATATGATCGGGTAGGCCTTCATATTTGAATAGCCCTCGTAATGTTAAGACACTTTTCCTGTATTTTTTTTCTTTCTTTAATATTGAAGTTTTCTCTAAACCTGTTTCTTTACCGAAGTGTTTCATTTTGTTCTAAGTGTTTCAGGTTTCTCAATTCTTTGTTTTCTCTTTTGTATCAGCTGTTGCCTTTTATCCAAGTTTTGAACTAAAACAGATTGTTTTTCACCTTTCTGTATATCACCTGTCATGTTTGTAACATTCTACTTCCCCTCATTCCCCTTCTCGTCAGACGTTATCCATCAATACCTCCATCTCGTTAGGCCGAGGTAGTCATGCCACCTCCCCCTGCCTGTCCCCCTCGGGTCTCTCCATATACTCTAGCTCGGCCAAGGTCCTGGAGGCCTGCCGCAAGCTGGGCAAGAACGGGCTACGGAACAATAACATCTTGCTGGAGAAGATGCCTCCACCAGCACCCCCACCGGCCCCCTATCCGCCCTTGCCCAAAGATCAACTCAATCCTCCAACGCCAAGCGTCTATGTGAGTAGTTGGACATAACTGGGAATGCTTTGAGTAGAGTTATTTTCAGGTCATTTGGGATAGTAGCAACAATCTTTTCAGAAGCAAAAAAAATTTTTATTGAAGGAAACACCACATTTGACCCTTAATCTAAGCACTACATAGGGAGTTCAGAATCCTCGGTTTTGCAAAGAGGATAGTGAAATGTTTATGAAAATATTAAAAGCTGTAGATTTTTAGATGTCTGATTTCTCCCAGATTCCATGTTGAATTATGGGTGTTGTTCTTAGAAGTGATGAATGGTTGATGAGAAGTGGTATTCTTGAGCTGGGATACTGAGTCTCTGCTCTGAAGTAACACTCACAAGTCACTCTCTACTTATCCAAGCAACTCACTGTGCTCAGCAAACAGATTTGCCTCCAACCAAACCAATGTACCTAGCTCAACCAATTAATTATCCACTTGCCGCTAACAGGTTGAAACCAAGATGGATGCCTACTCACCAGCCCTGGCTGAGTACTGCATGTCACCCACCCAGCCCATCACGGTCATCCGAGGTCTGGCTGCCGCACTCAAGCTGGACTTGGGACTATTCTCAACCAAAACGCTGGTGGAAACACACGGTGACCATCCAGTAGAAGTAAGAACACAGGTGAGCAATTTAGAAAGACATTTCATTTGCTTTTTTCTAAGTAAAATTTATGTTAGTGTATAGAGGTATAGAGCTATCTTTGCAGGGCAGTTATTTTGTTCCAAAGGGAAACCTCCTTTGTGCATACCCTGTGTAACAAAAGCACTGGTCCGCAAGATGGCAGCCATGCAAACCCTCTTTTCTGTGGTTAAAATAAAATAAAACTTGTGTTGAATATGAATTACTGACTATTCCATGTCCAGAACATCTGGCAGATTCTAAATTTTGATATCAAAGATTTTTCCTTCCTTACCCAGAGGCAACAACCTCCTGATGAGAACTGGGACCAGGCTGGTCTGAAGAAGGTATGGAAGTGTGAGAGCAGTCGTTCCTTCACCACCATCGCCAAGTATGCCCAGTACCAGGCCTCCTCATTCACAGAAAGCCTAAGGGTAAGTCCAGGCATGCCAGAAACATCGCTTGGTATTCGAGGTCTTAAAGAAGTCATGGCCAACTCTGTAAACCTCGATTGCATTTGTCAAACTCCTGAGGCATTTTGCTTGGGAGATTTCATACCCCATCAAGATCAACTACCCTGTAGGAACTCATTGGTTCATTCTCTGTACTTGAGTAAAAGTTAGTTATAACAAGGTCTCTTCCAGAGTTATTCTAGCTGGCCGAATCACTCAAAACCAGGTTCATATCAACAAGCACAGCATACTGGGTGTCAAAGGTGGGATTCTACAGTTTTAAGCTCTTGAACAGTCATGATTTACCCGTAGTTTAAAACAAAATTCCATAGTTGTCAATGTATTTGATGATGCCGTCTCTATTTCCTGATAATTGCACTTGGTTTTTGTCCAGCAGGAAGAAAACGAGAAGAAATCAATGGCAGATGACCCCTTCTCAACCAAAAGGTAGGACCCTGATCGAGTTCAATACAGTAACAGGTGTAAACAGCAATTGGAATAACAAGGTTTGCAATAAGTCGTTTCAACCGGCGTTCATTTAAATTTCATATTTTATTTGCTTTGTGTTAAAGTATCAAATCGTGTAGATTTATGGACCCAGAAATTCTACCAGTTGAAGTGAATGAGAGTAATCCTTTTTTTAATTTTTGTTTATGGTTCTTTCTGTAGGAAAAAGAAGTCCAATGGAGGCGTGGCTCCAGCAGGGCGAGAGGGCGGACGGGAATTCAAGATGCTGAAGTTTGGAACAAACGTTGATCTCTCCGATGAGAAAAAGTAAGGAATTTTACACGAGGTCAATGTGTTCAGTGCAATCAGTTTTCACAACTTATTCATAAACCGCCACCACCACTCTTCCTCAATTTATACCCGTGGAATAAAAATTATAGTCAATTTGAGTGCCAACAAAACCTAATTGGTCAGTCATGGATGGCCTGGTTTGAATACAGTACTTGTGATTAATCCACAGGTGGAAGAAACAGTTACACGAGTTGAACAAGTTGCCAGCATTTACTCGCATCGTGTCACCAGGCAACATGCTGAGTCATGTCGGTCACTCCATCCTTGGTATGAATACTGTACAGCTGTACATGAAAGTACCAGGGAGCAGAACACCGGGTAAGTTATCAACCAATCAGGCTGGAGAGAATTTCGGTGCACAAACTACGCTAGGCAGAGTTCACAGGTTTTCTACCTTATAATAGATTCAAGTCTAACCGAGGCATAGATTTCATGAAAGCACTTAGGCATGATGTTCGTTTTTACCTATAGATAAATATAAAAGATCCAACATAGTTCATTTCAATTGCACATTGCAACTTCTGAGCACTGATCACTTTTGAAATCATTCGTTAATTTTTCTGGGTAATGATATCGCATGACATGATTTGCTGCTCTGACTGTCCAGACTTGTGTCCTGAGAATCCCTGAAGGATGTTTTTGCTGGCTTTCAAGATTTGATGCCGACACTGTAATTTTACTTGTTGTTGAACCCTAAATGCCAGCGTATGTTAAAAATGGAAATTGGATTATTCAGAACTGTTGGGAAACATATTTCTGGAGTTTTCTGGAAGTGATGAATGGTTAATGAGTAGTGGTATTCTTGAGCTGAGACGCTGAGTCTCCAGCATGAAGCAACACTCACCGATCACCTACTACTGATCCAGATGCTCAAATTGGGAATCCAGAGCCCGAAACATACAATTTTCTGTCATCGTTGAGTAGATTCCAACGACTTGTGAAAACCTCTTTGTCAATAGGTCACCAAGAGAATAACAACATGTGTTCCGTGAACGTCAACATTGGTCCAGGAGACTGTGAATGGTTTGCTGTATGTAACTCCTATTGGGGGACCATTATGAGTCTGACAGAGAGGTAGGTACAGAGGATGTGCGCGGCTGCCATCTTGCAGGCCAGTGCGTTTGTTCCAAAGGGAATGCACAAAGGAGGTTTCCCTGCAGAATAAAAGACCTGCCCTGCAAGATGGCTACCGCGTAAAGCCTCTATTGCTCTGCATATCAGACCTCTGTTGATGGAAATAGGAAAAGTTCTGTTTCATGACTTTAACCCTTGTCTTTGCTGGGATATCTCTTTTGGAATATTTGTCACATCATGAATAACTCACGTATAGTCATGCATATTGATGACCTGTAACTCCTCCCCTGGTTTTTTCCACAGGTATAACATCAACTTCCTGAAGGGGTCGTGGTGGCCTGTGTTGGAAGATTTGTATGAGGAGAATGTTCCTGTGTACAGATTCATACAGCGACCTGGTGACTTGGTGTGGGTCAACGCAGGGGCTGTGCATTGGGTGCAGGCAGTGGTAAGTACATGGAGCAACTGTAGAGTCCAGCACTTACACATGAAACAGTTGTAGAGTTTGTTTAATATTTAGACTAGCAGGCGTTGATCGATTGTGCTATTCAATATCATTTTTTTGGCGAAGTTTTTTGAAGAAATTGTTGTGTTTATCTTCACATAAGAGATGTCTGTTGTAATCTCTCAATAAATATCAAAATCCTGATTTTTTTTTTTTTTTGGTGTTTAGTACCGGCCGATCTGTTGGGACCCATTGAAGACTATTATTATTTTAATTGTAGAAGGAAGATATCAAAATTGTTAATCCTACTTAAATGTGTTGATTCGATCTGGTTAATTGTACTCTTTCTGTCAGTGGGATGCAAGACCAAATGTGATTTGCTCATCCACTAACTTCCACTGATTTGTGTTGATTTTGGTTTGATCAGGGTTGGTGCAATAACATAGCATGGAATGTGGGTCCACTGATCAGCAGCCAGTACAAGCTGTCAGTGGAACGCTACGAGTGGAATAAGCTGCAGGGCTACAAGTCCATCGTTCCCATGGTTCATCTCTCCTGGAATATGGCCAGAAACATCAAGATCACCGAGCCCAAACTCTTCGAGATGATGAAGTAAGGAATAAAGATGATGTGCTCAAAAAAAGAGCACTTGGAAAGGATTGGTGAAAATTTCCCTGGACGTTCTTAGGAATGTTGAGAAGAACTAAGGGAAGACTCTCAAATAGCACTATCAGGTCTCTTGAGGCATGGATATTTAAGGACAAGAGATGAACCTTTCTAGGGAAATCGACAACACTTTTTCCCCCCACAGCTTATTTTGGAAAGTGAAATTCCTGACGTCATCGGCTTCTGAAAACAGGGTATTAAGTTTCTGAGAAAAACAAAATAGGAAAAGTGAAAGTGTGTCAGACTACAATTTTCATTTTCTGTGTAACTTCAGTATAATTCTTTCTTTCTAAAAGTTCAGGAAAAGCACTGAATTTCCTTGGTGTGGATCAAAATGACTTAGTGTTTTCTAAATTGTGTATAGAGCTCCCTGTTAACAACATCGTGATGTCCCTCGTTCCAGGTACTGCTTACTGCGGACGCTCAAACAGACGCAGATGACGCTGGACCTCCTGAAGGAGATGGGGGTGGAGGTGCATTGGCATGGCCGAGCCAAGAATGAAACTGCCCATTACTGCGTCAACTGTGAGGTAACCAGTGATCCCAGTCGCTGCAGGGCATCCTAATCACTACTTGAGCACACCTCTGACACACTCTCTGGTTTAAAATGGAAACGAGAAGCAGAAATGATTTCAGTTTTAGCCATAAGGGCAGAATCCAGGAAAACAGGAGTCCAAATATCACCAACGCAAATTCAGAATCAACTGAACACCCCAATGCCACTAACTTGTCAGGTTAGAATTCAAACGAGGGACACTGGACAAAGACAGGACCCCTGCGCCGACCTTGACCTCTTCATTTCTTCCTTGTTTCTCATACCAGGTGGAGGTGTTCAACATTCTCTTTACGACGGAGAAGGATCGAAAGTATGAGGTCCATTGTCAGGACTGTGCCCGCAAAGCCAGTCACAACTTGGAGGGCTTCGTGGTGCTGGAACAGTACAAACTGCAGGACCTAATGGATGCCTACGATGCCTTTGTCCTCCATGTACCCGAGGTAGGTAATGTAGTCTCTACCCTGGTCTGTAACCCAATCCCAACCCCCCCCCCAACAAAAAAGGGAGAAAAAAGAGAGCTTAATCTTAACCCTTCTAGATTCGTCAGGCTAGAGTAACAGGCAAAACTCCTGTGTTCTTCCTCACGAGCAAGCAAATTCTCACTTTACCCGATGACAATATTTTCAGAGACAGCATATGGATCCTTGTTTTATCAGTTATCCATTTTTCCCTGGATGAGAAAAAAAAATTGTTTCAGCATGTCTTGCCAGAGGACATTGTCGCTGAATTCCCTTGGCTTGGTGCATAACACAGAACCACCGAGTTGAGGATGCTCACATTGGATCAGGATGTATGGAAGGCGACCATCAGAGGCATCCAAAAAGGCATCAGCAAAAGACCTCGCGCATTACTTTGTAGAAAGAAACACCAATCAATTTGGATTGCCCATTTTGCTGACTCCCTCTCCAAATATTTTATCTCCACAGAAGGATGAGAGTCGAGGCTCAACATGACGGAGGATCTGCAGCCATTTAGCTGCTGCAGAGTACCGGCTACAGTCCACATCCGAGTTACCTATCCGTTAATGACAGCGGTACAGCAGTGGGACCAAAGCGCCTCTCCCTAGAGTCAAACCAAAACCATCGACCGGTTACGAACAAAAATCACATGGACAGTGTTAAATGGTGGAAAAGGACAAAAAAACAGGACGCATCAGTCAGATTTCTGTCAAAGCAAGAGTTTGAGTTGAATGCAGCCCAACATCTCGAGTGCTAGGAAGCAAACAGTAGCCCCTCACTCTCAGAGAGAATCACCTGCAATACAGCTGACTTGAGGCAATGTCGACCATCACACATTGTGGACTCAAGCCAGCAATGCTGTGTAAGTGTTTCAATAAAGGAAATGGTGACAAGCCAGTCAACAGAATGACAGGTTGCAACATAGCAACTGCCATTCAAGCGCAACAAATTCAAAACCGATGAAACTCCCATTACAGTCGCTGAGTGTTTAGAAACGGAAAGTTCAGTTCAACCCAAGACATTTTTCAGCTGCATCTGTATCCAAAGGAACGACCTGCACCCCTGTAACTAGTGTTTGCTTATACACTGCTGAACACCAATGGATGTATTTAACGAGTACCAGTGAATGTTTGGAGAAGACAATGCATCTGTTGCATATAATTGATTAGCCTTATATGTTGTGGCATCTTAACACCACCTTGTTGACAGCTCACCCAAATAATTTGGCTTCACTCTGGTAAACAATAGTCGTGATGCCGGCACGATTGTAGGGAACTGTAGAGTACGGTGTTGTGATTAGACCGCACGAAGGCTAAAGAAGCTAAGGATATGCACTCGTAACAAAGGTATTGTAATCATCACAAAATAGAGATTGCTGTCGAAACTGAACAGAAAACTCGAAATTGGGGACCGACGTCAAGTTGACATCATGGGCCGGCCATTTTGCGCTTCTTCCCCCATCCCACTTTTGACAGACTTAACCACAACATGAAATGCTGCATGGATCATGTTGATAAGATGATGAGCCCAGGTTCAAGGGATAATGTTTAGAATTGGACTCTGTGAGAAGCTTCAATATCAGACGGTTTGTTGTAGCATCTGCTTGGAGGATTCACATGATTTGGGAGCATCTGTGAAGTTGGGTTCCTTTTGATTTGTAATGTCGATGCTAACATTGGCCAAGTGTAATGAACACAGAAAAAAAATTGCCCTTGTTGGTTTTTTTTTTGTTTTTTTTTTATTTAATTTTATTTTCAGATTTTTATTACCTTTTTTAAGTAAAACTAACTGAGTCTTGGAGCACATGTTGAGTTTTCCCAAATCAGGAGAATCAAATTTGGTACATGAAAAATCACCAGAAAACAAGCACACACTGTGACACTAAACAAAAGTACACGCCCAGTAATCTCAACAACTAAATTTGGAAGCACCATCTTGGCTCCACACTCGAAACAGTTTAGAATGGAAAAATGCAAAGAGTTGGTTGTTTTCAATTTTCTGCAATGCATTTCTTCGTTGCAGATCAAACCAAGATGATTAGTGCCTAGGAAAACACACACTCCAAATGACAGCTGATGTGGGTTTCTTTCTTTTGGTTTAATAGCAGATGACGATGCTGAAGAAGGATCTTTGGTTAAGGAATTGCACACAATGAACGTTGAAAACTCAAAATTTTAAAAGAATGTCTTCTGGTTGAAAAAAAAGGGATGAATGACTTGGCTCTCAGTCCTGAGTGAATATCCAAACTATGCAAATTTTTATGTTGATTGTCCTTTTGCTGTGTAGGAGAATCTGTTGAATATTCATGTCAGTTAAAAAATCCCTGTAATGAGAGCCCTTTGTCTTTGTTTTGTTTGTTTTTTATCCTTTTTGTTTGTTTTTTTTTGAAGGGGAGTCAAGATAACAATTTTGGCTAATTTAGTGACAAGATTTTAAGGGTTTCTTTAAATGATAACACATTGCTTGCCCATGGGAAAAAAAGGTGTTGTCACAATAGCCAGTAGAAGGAATTCTTTGTAGGATTGGACCAATTATTTGTCGTAAAAGCAATAACCAGGCAGTTAATGAACTCTCTGAATCTTGGCCTTTTTAGTCCCATGATGCCTGCCTGGGTTAAGAAATCATACCAAAAAATTAATTGTTGTTGGGGGCAGCAGTGTTAAAAGGGTCAACTTTATTTTGTCAAGTGAAGAAAGGAAGAATAGCCTTCCAAAAATGAACCAGTTTCTTTAAAATATGCATTTTAAACAGGAAATTGTCATAGTACATGTAAGCAGTCAGACATATTTGATATTTAACTTTCACACATAAATGAGGTGAATGAATTTGCAATTAGCCAATCAGAATTAAGCAGTCACAAATACTTTCTCTACGTGGACCCTCGCTCAATTTATGTTATTGAATTGTTAATATGTAAATAATGGCTTTATTTGTAAACTGACTAGCGGCTCATTTAATGCCAGTTTGAGAATCTGATTATCAAAGAGTTGTCTCTAGTCGCAAACAATAAATGCCGTGTTTGACAAAGTACATATCAAAGATGTTAAGTTGCATAATCAATTAATATGAAATGGATGACTGGCATGAAATTCCAGTTATTTGTGAAATTGAAAATTGAGAGATTGGTATAAGATATTGAATTCTCAAATTTTGCAAAATTTCCAAGACATCTTTTCTTCGTTTTGTTTGAGCCTGAAGGGTGTGTAATTGATAAAGTAGTCTTTTAGGAAAATGGTGATTTTTCGTTTTTGTTTTACTTTTTTTGTTTTTGTTTTTTTACTTGTCAAGTTTAACACCACTCTCAGGGAATGCATTAATTTGTAATTTTACTTAAGCCCCAGTCTGTTGTGTTTGAGGCATGTCAAATGGCCTATTCTCGAAAGCTTAGTCGAGGAGTTGGATGTTTTTTGTTTTTGTTTTGAATTGGCAGATGCTAAAATGCAAACTTGAAACCATTGCCTTTGTTGCGTTCTATGCATAGTCAGTATCCTGAGATCTTCAATGCCAAACGTATTGTGCTCTACCATACTGTTCAACTACCTGGGTGGTCTGCTATTTCAAAGTTGTGGGGGGAAAAAAGGTTAAGAATGGAAAGGTAATTTGGTGTAACTTCTTGGATTTGCAGTTTTTATCATTTCCGGGTTTTTTTTTTTTTTGTGGTAGTCTGTGTAAATATTGGGCCTTGTTCTTCAAGCAGTTAAAGTGGACAAGATATTATTTTCTCCATACTATTAATGTATTTGCAGTCAGAACTTGAAAGAGGTTGCCTGTAGGGGAATTTTTAGATGCGCTGGCTTGAATTCTTAAGTGGTGGTACGCAAAATATTCCTGAAAGTATCAGCTTTTCGGTTAGTTTTATCCCTCTTTTTCCTGAACTGAGAAATATTCCTACAAAAGACACTGAATGACCATAACAAGCCTTGGGTCACTTGGGGAAATTGGCACAAGAATGCCCTTGGTGTGAAATGAAGTATTGTTGGCTTTGCGGATTTGTGTGGGTGTATATTTTCTTTTGTTTTGCCAAAGCAGCCATTTTGGCATGGTACTGCTCTATGGGTTTTTTATGTGTGACTCTCAGAAACAAGCGCTAGCGTCATCAACCCACAGCTATTTTACACACAAACAGGTTGAAGGGAATGTTGGGAATGCCTGACAATCTAACTTTGGCAGCTGGCCTCCTTCATTAGTTTTTTTCAGGAGAGGTTAGGGAAGGAATTGAGCGGATGATGAAGAGTATGTCAAGGATTTTCTCCACCTTTTGCTCGAGTACTGTGTGTTTGTTCGATGTGATGTAGTCATAGATGGAAACTTTGATATCTGTTCTCACATCTAATCTTTCTTCACACAGTGCCTAATATTTGGACCTGTCATTTCATACCTGTGGTAGATGTGTTTTCCAATACCTCAAGGTCGTTACCAGTCAATTTTAGATTGTATAATTCAGTTGGTGAAATGTTATTAAAGTACGCATATTGGATGTAAAAAGGGCAGGCTGTAGCGCAGTACGGCTCACAGAGTGTACAAACTCGGGTAACACTTGTACTTACTGTTCAAAATTAAAGAGAACTCATTTTTTTCAAAAACAAGTTGGTTTTCTTTTTGGCAATGCGGTTTGATTAGTCCGAAACAGTTGCAGATTTCATTGTTTTTGAGTTATATCATTACGACCAATTGGTATAAAGATTGTCGCATTTTCACCATTTCAAGGAGGCTTATTAGATCTTGGAAGTCATTTTTTCTGTAATTTTTCTAACTCTAATTTATATGAGTGGAAGCTACAACCTGAAATATGTAATTGTTTTAATGCTGCAAATCAGCAGTGAAGTTGGGTTTGCGAAGCTACTGCTTGAGGGGAAAGTTGCTTGGTAGATGTTCATTGTAAGCAGAAATCAGATATCGTTACATGTGTTTGTAACATTTTTGAAGAGCAGTATATAGGTTTCTCTCAAGTGACTTCACTTCCTACACATTGCCATGTGCATTGACATTTCGGACTTCAAATTTTCATAACACGCATCGGCTGCACCGTATCTTGAAGATACTTTGATCAACACGTGAACAGTTGCACACTGCGCACGCAGGCAACTGATGACGTTGAATGCGTAGTTGTGCTTTTCCTTTGAGGATGGCGTCCTTGAGAGAGATTTATCGTCTTGTCTGCAAGCAGATGCACTCAGCAACTTTGTTCCATCCTAGTGGCTGTCTTTGATTCTGTAGAGTTATCAAGTAGTTCATGAATTTCGTTTTTGTTTTTTGGGGGTTTTTTCTGCAATAAATTGGCATATTTAGCGAAATTGGATACTACACATTGACAGCAAAATGTTACCATTGAAACTTCGGAGCAGGAATGTTTGAAGTCATCATCTTGTTTCTCACCTCCATTCAAAAACTACGTATTCGTACAGATATAGTTTTATTTGTGTTATTAATATTGATTTTTCATTTTAATTATAGTTCACATTTCAATAGAATATTAAATTCCATAGTGTATTATAAAGGGCATTGGAATTTTTGCCAATTCTACAAGGAAAACAAGACTAATTTAACCTAAGTTTCACCCAGTTTCGAATTTACATATTTCAGGCTCGTAGATTCAGTTTTGTTAAGTTTTATAATTTGAACAGGGAATTTCCATTGTTTGAAACTCGATCAGCTGAAGAATACGCTGAATCATCTCATACCATCATGATGGATATTTCATTTATGCTCTCATCACGAACAGTCTATGGTGCTGTGCCGTTGTGCGTTCCCCTCCCTCTGTTTTGTTATTTAATAACGGTATACATGTACATGTACATTGTATAACGTTCTGCATACACTGTTCTCGTAGTGTGACACAAGTTTATAAATATGTTTATACAGTGTAAAATTCATTCACGACCAACATTAAAAAGAAAATTTCAAAGAAAAAAGAAATCTAAGCAAGACTGAATGATAGGAGTGTTTTGTACTCACAATGTGTATTGACTGGAATTAATTTTTATGGCCATTAACTTCGGAATGGGAACTGGCCGTGCAAGCAATTTGTATATTGTAAAAAGAATTCATTTTTCTGATGTTTAAGGTAAACATTAGAATGGTAGAAATAATGATGTGTATCTAAAGTCGGATATTGTATTAAAGTTGTAATATTTCGTTTCTCTCTATTCTGTGTCGGGCCACGGAGGTAGATGCAGAAACATTGGCAATTTTGATAATTAATTGAGATGTCATTTGAACGTTTTTGTGGATAGATTTATACATAAATTGCCTTTTTCGAGGGTTTGATGGTCTCGAGTCGATTTGATTGATCTGTGAATATGTGATGATTAAGAGAAAAGATGAGAATTTAACCATTCCACTGTGTGCTTAGTGTTTAGAAAATGAAGTCTGAACTTGGCTGATTAGCCATGAGAGGAAGTGTTAGTAGACCGACACCAGAATGAACCTTGTAGAGTTCGTATTTCCTTGTCTTTTGGATTTTTTAATCGTAGATTTTGATTGATTTATGACTAAGGTTTGCACATTTCATTCTCTGGATTGGATATTATGAAAGGTAGTTTTTCTTACTTTTGTTTCTCTCTCAATTGGTAAAAATGTACATTGTCACTTTATTTATGAAATACATATTTATTGCAAAAGCAAATACTTGAAAGAAAGGGTGTCTTTGTATGATGTGTCTGTTACTATCTGGTTCGTGACTGCGTGACAAAGGCGGATGCGCCACGATTTGCAGGCTCCCATTGGACGATCGCTAAAGTTTCGCGTTAACTTCCGGTTCCGATGATGGTTCCACATTAACTGCGAATCAATGCATGTAACTCTGTGCAGTGCATGTGCAGTGGGCGTGGTTTAAACTGAAGTGACGTCACACTTCCGAAGCAGCTTGGTTTTTTTTCTCTCCTATTAACCCCTGATTGTGTGAAATCATATTGATAAAAATTAGAGGACTGGGGAATATTAGGTATGACGTTAACCTCGATTTAAAGATAAATGGGAAGGAATATTGATGTAGGGGCAGGGAGTACTACACAGCATCAACTAAAAATCACTTCATCAAACCCACTTTGTACTTTTGACCAAGCGCCGCGTCGGCGCTATACGATCTTTGCTTTTAACAGAGGGCGAATGTCGTCTAATTGTTTAGAACACATCGTGCACCAAAAAGTGGCCTAGATAGCAATGCCAGTCTCATTTGGAGATGTTTTCAGATTAAATTGAGATATATCTTGAACCTTTAATTCGTTCACTCGTTGAAGAAATTGCAGTTTCGCACGCACCGTATAAAAATTCGTGTCCTGCTGAGTTAAAGCGTAAGCATGTGCCCCTGACCCCGTAGTGCTGGCCTTGTTTACAAGACGCACTGCTCTTTCTCAATGCATAATACCATACTACTTTGCTGCTGCTGGAGACAGTTACTGTTACGGTTATGTGGCTGAAAAAGAGGTTAATTTTCTTTGTCCAGAACGCCCCGTTAACAATAAAATGTTTCAATGACAGGATTAGGATTAGAAGCCTCGATTTGCCGTTACGCTTGAGTAGATAACAATGGGGAAAATTTCTGAGAAAATCTCAAAATACGGGGCGATGGAAGGGTTTTATCTCACACAAATATGCTTTTTGCAGAGGAAATTGCCGGCTGAACATGGCTATAGTCATAAAATCCCGAAATTCTCAGTATTAAGAAAGTCGATCCGTAAAAACTGGCTGGTTCTACTCAAAAACTTTCCACTTTCAAACGTTGGTGGCGCTGTTTATGGAAAGTTGAAAAACCTGTATTAGACCACGGGCAGTCCAGCTTTGGGGGGCAAATTTAAATAGGATTTAAACTCAATTATTAAATTGTAAAGTAAATAAGAACTACAGAACATACATGATGTGGCCAAGTGAACTTTCAACATCCCTCTCTCCTAACGAATTAAGTTTATGTAGTGTTTTGTTTAGGTGTATTCAAAAGAAGGTTCTTCCATTTTTCGGATACAGAAAATGTTTTCTTTTTCTTGGGAGGAGTATTCTGTCTACAGTTCAACTCTCTAGCCGCAGTATTATCCATTGAAGGGCGCCCTCTAGGTTCAAATTTGGAAAACTGGGCCTCGCGAGCAAGACGAGACCCTGATGGGTTGCTCAGTCGCCTCCCTCAATATGAATATATTCAGGGTTTTGAAACTACAGCGATGTGTATTAGACCTTACCAAGCACAAAAAGTATTTTTGTTAAGGTTTTGGAGCTCCATGCGGCCAGAAAGCAGAGATTTTGTGCGGACATTTTCGGATCTTTCCCTCGTCGAATCCACCCTTGCGTGAAAAAAAATCGAGACCACTAATCCTAATCCCGTCAATGAAACATTTTATTGTTAACGCCGGCTTTTGGACAAAAGAAATTAGGCTTTTTTGCAGCCGTTGCACCTTGCCTCATCAAAAATGCCGTGTTATTTAGCGACAATTAGCGTGGGTCAGAGATACAAACGTCCTGAACACAAGACTAAGAAGCAACGCAACAAGCACAATATCTTGCTCAACACAGACGCCAACTCATTCAACCAGCCTCGTTTTGATCCCTATTTTGCATAAAATGCCCCAGTTAATGGATATCCAATTCTTACACCTGAAGAAAACAGCCATGTCTCAAAGACTGTCCCGGTAGCCCAGTGGTTATAACTCTGAAGCCTCTATTCTAGTTACGGAACATGCGGTTCAAATCACGGTAGAATCTTTAACTTTTTGAAAACATTTCGATACGGTGATTTAGTTCAGGAATTTTAAAAAAGGTCCTTTTTCATTATTTTTCAAATTCAAAAAGAAGTGGCAATCGTACAAAAACTTTTCCTCTTAATATTTTATTGGACAGAAGGGTTTAACAAAGTAAGAAACCATAGTCAAAACCATAGCTAAATGGTCACAAGAAGTCATCTTTCTGTAATAATAAATCACAAAAACATTTTATTTCAGAAATTCCAAACAATATATCTGCACAACAATATAATGTGGACAACCCAAAGCACATTTTCTATACACCACTAAATCATGCAAGAAGTGATGACAGGTGGGATGAAGGAGAAGCATTCCCTACAGAAAGGAAAGTCTTTACACTTCAAGTTGCCAAAATCACTTCTAAATTGTTTACACTCATGCGGAGTGCATTCATCACGCACATCCCCTTTATTCATTTGCTCCACCCCTAAGTAGGCCGTATACAAGTGTAAAACAAGAAGGCACTATGTAGACGTAGTGCTGAGGAAGTTTGATCTCTACTGCAAAGCAGGACCAGCGCACACTGTAACCTACATTCCAACATAACCAGTAGAAAAAACTGTGATGGCGCTCAGCAGACCTACATGAACACCTCAATGCCTGATATACAAATTATCTAAATACAATGTTCAAAACATTCAACAATACTGCAAATTTTCAAAACTGCAAAATTTAACTATTTTCTTTGGCTATAAAGTATTTACAATTGCAAGGGATAACTATGATATCGAACAGAATTCACCATGCTTGATAAGCGTTCACAAAATTGGTTTCATTTCACACATAAACTTGTTAAATTTGGATGGTTTCAGCTTTGAGCAGGGGTATGCATTGATTTGATGATGATAAAAATGTTTTTCGTCGAGAATACAGTCATTTTAAAAATCAATTTGAGGCAAAACAGATGTTAATAATCATGTTGTGCACACAGCTTAATTCATGCAGCATTAGAAGAGCCACATGAAGAATGAATGCAAACAGAAAAATAATAAAACAATTCTAAAAAAACCACACCCCAAAAACAAAATGTAACAAGAAATCACAGTAGCTAGGCATCCATACCTTAACTGCTGAGGTTTGTTACTTTTGACAGCTCTTTTAAGGGCCAATGTTTGCAAGAAATTGCCAGCCAGACTTTATAAATGTAGAGCAGCTGACGGGTTAGATGTGCAAATAACCCAATTAGTCTGTTTGAGATACGGCAGACACAATACGAGGGCGCTATTTGAAGTTGGTAAATTTGTAAATACAAAACATTTTACCCAAACCAAATAGCGCCTTCCGATTGCGTCTGCCATATCTCAAACAGCCTAATACAGATACTCAGGTTATAACTTACAGTGCATTTATGATGATCATAATCAATTATCAGGTGTACAGATATCTCCTTGTCTTTCATTCTCAGCTTTGCTGGCCTAGCAAGTGACTACTTTCCAACAAAGTATTTATACATTACATGTATAAAAAAAATTAGGTGAACCATATCAAATTCATGGCTGTTTTTAAGAGGCTTTAGTTGAGGAGATATGGGCACAACAGCATCCCATTTAGAGATCTGACCAAATTTAACACAGTTCTCAGGGGAACGTCCACTGAGTTTCTCTGAGAAAGTGAATTCACTCAGATAAAAATGGCTTGGCAATAAAGGAATTCAAACTATTCTGTGGTAAACCAATTATGGTCCTGATTAAAACAGAAAGCAAAAACAGCTAAAATCTACATGAAAATACAAAAACATGTCTTGAACAAAGTTTGGCAAGCAGTTTATTCTCCACACCAATGCACTCAAAAGCTGACCCTAACGAAAGTAAAATGTTCCACAAAGTGTATGTTTGTTCAAAAAAACATCATAATTTTTGTTTCCATTTTTCTTATTGGTACTTTTCTCTGGAATACAACGAGCATAAAGCTTTGGTGAATGCAAGAACAAAATGGATCATCACAGTGAAATGATTCATACTTTCAGAACTGACCAAATGAAGCATACAAAAATACTGTGACCACCATCACCACTTAACGAGTTCAACAAAAATTCCTAAAATCTAGGAAATATGAGCTTCATTTACACACAGCAGAAAAAGATTAACTGTCAGAAGAATAGCAATATCGGTCATGACATTTTGAATAGAACTTCCAAGAGATTAAACACCATTTCCTCCCACTATTCCACATCTGCCCCGCCCACATGTAAATCCCTGATTATACCAATGGAATGGAATACCTTTGCCTCAATGTACAAATGGATGGAATCATAGATTGCGTAGGTTCACCATGGAGTTAAGAGTCCGTTAAGAATGTTGTCCCCCCGTCAGGTGAATCTCTTTTCTGCTGATGTCGTCTCAGCTTAACCTAAAAGAAAAAAAAAAGAATTGAAAAACTTTAGGTTTCGGGTGACTGGATTCTGTTTCACACATAAGACAGAATTAATCCCACATTTGGTCAGATGAGACCGCATCCCATTTTGTTTGGGAATTGATTAGTATCACAGGTCATTTTGAAAAAAAAATGAGATGGACATGAGACTACTTTTCTAAGAGTACATGATCATCTAGGACACCCAAACCCCTTCGTTCCCTGAAACCAACCCCTCCAGCATCTAATAAATAACAACATAGGTAAAACACACTGCCAATATCCACAAACTTGAGCAGCATACTCAATACCCCATTTATCAAACATCCATGCTTGATTTGGTACCAGCAGCACTCTTAAAGTGGGCAAAGGTTGTTTCCAAGGCAACCGTATCCAACATCATAAACAACGCTGTGAGCAGACTGCTGTTAACCCTATGCTAGTGGCAATTTTCTTTGTTAACGCCTACCAAAGGGCTTCAATGACCCTTTTTTTGCTGACAGCCAGTTAAATTTTGACCTTACTTGCAGTTGGAGCTTGTTGGTGAAGAACATTCTCTTCCAGCCCATCTCATGAGCCAGGGATCGCATCTCGTCTGTCACCGTGTCACAGTGCGTCTCGTAGATCTGCTCCCACAAAGCTTCAGTATTACAAATCTGCGATGACAAAAGTTGCACCCAATTCAAAACTGAGTGCTTCTAATTTGGTTGTGATCTCCTCCCTTCACGACTTATTTCTCCTCTTTTCACCCTTAACATCGCCCTTACGTGTCTATTCTAAAACTCCAAGTTCCTTTCTAAACTTAGGAAGACAAGCAATTATGATTCCTTGACTTCTCCCAAAGCTTTAATATCAAGTTCCTCTCATCAAAATAAACTACCTCTTCAGCTGTCCTTTCCCCTTCTCAGACTTTTTCCAGACTCAAAAAATCTTGACCCCTTTCTCTTTACCCTCGCCCATTTATCGCTCCTCCAAACCCCAAACTGTCCACGGACAACCCCTTCATCTATTCTTACATCATACATCAGCTTGCAAGTCTGTGAAAGTGCTGCGATGTCCTCTAACTCTAGGTAGGACACCATGTAAATGAGGAGGGGGCGGGGCATCCGTACCAAGAAGTCAATGTTTCCCTTACACACTTCCTTGGCATACTCAAGCGTTGCCTCACCAAATACCCTGCCGACATCAACTGCTTGAGGAGAGAGTAAGCGAATGACAAAATGTATAAGTGAGAGTTGAGTAGGTTAACAACTTTTGTAGAACCAGAAACTGAAATATTTTTTCATTTCTCTCTATGTTGGTAGTCACTGCTTGAAAGTAAACAACACAGTAAATACGACCGAACTGGCCTTTTTAAAAATACAAAGCCAAACTGACAGCCTTTGTGGGGAGGGACAGGCTTAATTAATTGTTTGGGGGTTCTAACTCCAAGACAAATGACAGATCTAGGTTCAACTTACACTGCATACGGTCATCATATGTAAAGTCTTCATGTGATTCTTTGATTTCTCCGGGAGCAAGTCGGCGGTAGTCATTACGAAGTGTAATCTTCCATGTCCTCCAAATTACCTACAGCGAATCCAGATAAGTATTAAGGCCTGGAAACTATTCTTTGTAAATTAGGCTTAAACACACTGAAGCAAACCAACATGGTGGCAAGCTCTAGCTGATGATGACTCCTATGCCCTACATTTCAATGAACAGTGAGTTGATCTAGGCTTAGTTCTGTACAACTGTCGTGACTGTAGCTCTGTAAACAGATAAAAGGCGCCTATAACTACATGTAACTGTTAACTACGTACACATTGGAGGAAGGAGCCTTCCTCCATGTGTACACTGACATGTATGCAAGCATGCACATACAGCCATGGACATCGGAGGAAGGAAAAGACAGCACACCAAATATTGAACCCTCATGACCGTGAAAATGAAACGCAAGTCGACAAGACATAGGCTTAGTCTTTAGGCCTCGCAAACGGCATTGGAAAATTTCACGATAAACCAGGGTCCCAGCTTGAAAAAAGTACATCTAGTAAAACACTGAAATACTATACCTCTGTAGTATTAATAATAAACTGATTGAAATCTTTTGACGGAGACGGGGCTTGGCCACTAACATCGAGCCAAACGCCATCTGCAGGTCGAAAGGACGCCATGATTGCCAAGCCAATGAATGACACGGGTCTGGTTCCCAGGCGACACAGGGAAAGTCTGAGCGTTCGATGATGTTTGGTTGCTCAATAAACATTTGTCCGGTGTCCAATCTATATGGAAGTGCTCTCACCTCGTCTAGGAAACTTTCGACGGGTAGGGGTGGGGTCACAGTGGTGATACTGATGGTGTTGACCATGATGACGGGTGTGATTCTGTGTGAAATACCGCAACACGTATCCTTGAATTACGTTGGCTCTGTGTGGCCTTCCTCAGAAAATTGAAACGATTCTCACGCACAGGAAGTTTTGATAAAATTATGGTTTACCAAAGTTTGGTTGAGAACGGGGGGGGGATACTTAGTTGGGGAGGGTGGGATGCGTCTTACCGGGAAGCCAGTAGACCAGAGGCACACCATTCTCACTTATTACAAGGTCAAGCTTATCAAAACGAAAAGCATCGGGCAAACGTACCCCTTACTTCTTCCCCTTGAAAAAGGGGGAAGGGCAAATGAATCATTAATTCCAAGTAGCATTTCAGGAAATCTAACTGCTCGAATACAACCACATTCTGGCAAAAGAATTAATTTTCAGACAGGAAATAACAGGCATTCATTCAGGAGTAATTTATTCTGTAAGATTTTATTAGAAGTGCATATGAGAAAAAATACACAGGGGTCAAACACCCAAACTGGTTGTTTGATACTTATGACTGTATGCAATTTGTACTCCCAAATCAGGGTGAGTTTAATGAAAACCGAATACTTATTTCATGACCAGCATTGGACTTCCAAGATTAGTATCAGCTGGTTCATTCTACATTTAGCTTGACTTCATCCAATGTGTGTATATCATCAATACAAAATATACCATCTTCATTGTGTAGAAAAAGCAATGATTTCAAAGTAGGTTTCCATGATTACATTTTTATCATTGACAATGTACCTATTACAGCTCAATAAAGAGAGCGCGCTTGCCAACCTATCACATTTCGATTACAAATAAGAGATTAACCGAGTCAAATGGTCTTATAAGCTAACATTTGTTTCTATAACTTCATTTACTAACCAGGGTGCTTTACTCTTTTGTCTGTTTGTTTTAATTGGTCCCCTGAGTAGACAGGGTCGGATGGAGAGACGGCACCACATTCCGTGCGATGTCTACAGCGATATTAAACAAGTTATGACATTGTATTTAGATAGTAGCACCTGAGTGAAATTATTTTTTCACCTCCGTTTAATTAACTTGAAACCATAGTAACTGAAATTGGGGAAATATGACAAACTTCCAGAAATCCAATCCTAGTTATTTTAGCAACCCCGAAAAGGAGTTGCGGAGCCCTTGGGTTTTAATAGTAATGTTGCAGCATTTTGGAGTTAATCTAAAAAGAACACCTTTTATAAACATTATCTATTACACAAACCTATAGCTAACATTTAAAACTGTTTCAATATGTAAAAACCCAAATGAGCACCAGATTTGTAATGAAAGGCATATACAAAAAAATCCAAACCAACTACAAAAACAATAAAAGCAACTTTACAAAGTTTATTATTTTCCTTTAAATACAACATAAAATAACTACAGATGTCCATTTATTCCACTCACCTACAAACAAAAATATCAATGGAGGTGAAAAATTGCTGTGAAGATTTTTCCTCGTTATTTATGCTATTGATTCATCTTTAAATAATTCTGTTAAAGGTATGCGGCAAGGATTTTAATCAAAAAAGCAATCCAGCTACTTTCTAAATAATGTTCATGCAATACCTTATATTAGAAATGTTTGGTTAAAAAAATCGCAACAGTTTGTTATGCAAATAGGCATTATGTACACTGTCTTTTTAAAATGTTGGCTGTATTTTAAGGGGTGAATCAATGGCCAAATACCAATTCTTATTTTTAAAAAAGCTTCTGAAAAATATCACTATACCTATTTCTGTGTTTATGTGCAAAAATACTATGTCTACAAATCTATTAAAAATAATTGTTTGCATATATGCGTTTCTGAAAAATCCCACTTCTGTGAATGTTTTATGAAAGCTTTGTACTAATATTTGTTTTTCAATTAATTTAAATGTTGTTTAATAAACTTTTCCGAGTTGCCATCAATGAAAAAGTGCATTTGTTCAGGTCATCAGATACAAGTCACAAAATTCTGCAATTAAGACTAAATTATGAAGGGGCTTTTTAAAATAATCAGGCAGTTTATGCTGGTCGTAATAAGCATTGCTTCCTATTGGTATACAATTGACTTGTGTATTGAGTTGCTTATTGACTGGTACCCATCACCATTTATCTACTATCACGCATGCAGACCTGGCATCGACTGATGCGAGTGCGCAGGGAACCAGCTTTCAGCGTCTCAGAGGCTGGGGAGCTGAACTGCTCGTCAGAGTCCACTGTGGTCAGCCAGAAGCTGTAGGTGGTGGCATAGTAGTTGCAGCGGCCATCACCGTGGCATTCAATGAAGGGGGAGGAGCGGAAATCCTCCAGGCAGGAGCCAGGGGAGGACAGAGCCTGGCCTGAGCCTTCAGCACCGGCACCAGTGTGCTGTCAGAAAGAGAAAACAGACGGGTTCAGAGGTTGATAGCCAAAAGTCCAAATCTTCTGTTTAGAACTAGGACTTGGTCTTTTGTTGGTTGGAAATATGTAGATGCGTGCTAGCAAAAAAAAGCCACAGCTCTGAAAACTCATTGTGTGCATAACCTTATTCTCTCAATGACTAAAGGAAGGATTGATTTCAAGGCTTGATTCTATCTTGCAGTCTCAGCTGATACATCACTCGCACTGAGATTGGACGGACTAGGTTCAAACCTCACTCTGGTCCATTCAGAAATTTACTCCGAAAACAAATAGGGGCCTTACTTACCATCATGAAACTGTATCCAATCCACATGCCGCGCCATCCCTGAGGGCAGACGGGGATGTCCAGCGACTGGCTGTGGACGGCGATGACGTGCGCCGGAGCCTCGCAGACGACGCAGCGACTGATGAAGGGTTCAAGGGTGTCACCGCTGAACGGTGCCATGTCCATGGGCATGGGCTCAGGGGTGGACAGCCAATAGGAGTAGTCATTGCGCGAGGCCACATGACAGATGTTGTTGATGTTACAGAACATGAAAGGCATGGTGGTGAAGCGACGCAGACAGCTGCCGGCGCTTCCTGAAAATTACAAGGGAAAAAATTGTGCAAAGTTAACTGGAGCAAAAACACATTAAATGATTTACAGAACCATAATTCTTAGCTATATAATGAGTTGATGAATCATCCTGTTTTAGTGGGCAAGAGAACGCTCAGTTGGATTTTCTCTCTCAAAACACTACTCTTCAGCCAAGGGCAAAACTGTAACATCAAGAAAAGGAAACAGAGACTACGTTGTCTGTTTATTAAGCCATCCATCTCATACAGCTGAATTTCTGCTCTGAAGTCATTTCACTGTTCTGTTCCAAGGCAAGGAACGAGTCTGCTCAAAGCTCAAATCTATCAAAGAGGTTACCATACTTTCTAGGAACGCTCTGACAAATATTTCGTCCAGTCAGTCACTAACATGACAGGAAACAAGCAAGTCTCCAGGCCATACATCACTCTCATAGACATTTTGATTCTTCTGCGGTTTGTGTCTTACCCAGGTCCTGACCATGGGCCCTCTCGTTGCCTTGCACGTACAGCAAACTGTAGCCTTCCCACATGAGGTTGGTTCCAAACGGACAAGCAGGCACCTGTGAGGTTTGACTGTGCCTTGTGATGAAGTAACCAGTCAATACTGGGGGTCCTGGCAAACCATTCAGGCCGGGTTCACCTGGGAAGCCTCGCGGTCCAGCAGGGCCAGGGAAACCTGAATGGATCAACATGTCAGATGAAGGTTAATGTGCATACATACAGCTGTTACGATAACCAGCTCAATGTGACAATAAATCATTCAGCTTTTCTGCGTAGAGCCCTAAATGCAAGTCAAAACCCAAGGCCATGAAAATCAAATCTAACTAGCCTGAAAGGATGGTATATTATCTCGTAGTTGGCAGAAATAACATCCCCTTATCTGTACAAAAACACATCTTAAGTCAACCATAGATAACCACTGATGAAGAATGATACAGGTGGTGTCTTGGCCCACATCTTTTTGGGTGACATGACTGCCTATAGAAGTCACTGGCTAGTGACATAAGCGGCCCTTTCCCACCGACAAGTGTGTTATGGCTAGCCATAGCCCTGGAGCTAAACCTACTTTTCAGGCTATGGCTTTGGTTCATTTGATACAATAAGCAGATTTAGTCACGGAGGACAGTGCCTGATGGGGGTGAAATAAGCCTGATCTTCCTTGGCTCTCATAAAGGAGACAAGCAGTACCCTCTATCATCTCTACAAGGATTAGATACCTTTGTTTCCTTTATCTCCTTGGTCTCCGGGTCTGCCATTGAAGCCTGGGTTACCTCTGGGCCCTTCGTCACCCTTGTCGCCTTTGGGACCTCGAGGTCCGATGTTTCCTGGTTCCCCTTCCTGTCCAGGCACTCCATCGTTACCCCTGGGCCCTTGAGGTCCAATATCCCCCTTAGCGCCCTTCATCAGGGTTATGTCAATAGGCTCAGCTTTATCAAAACAAGAAAGGGATAATGAAGGAATGACAAGAGGAATCATTTATTTGATAAAATGGATGAGATTGGCACCAAAAAACATGATTTCAAATCCCAGAGCCCTATGAAGTATTTTTACATGAAGTAGTCAGTTAAGCCACCTACCTTAAGTCTGTTTTGTATCAATTGTATATTTAGGTCAATGCGTAACAACACACCTGAATACAGAATGTACACAAACTCACAAAGACGGCCACAATGCCAACCTTACTACACAATGCGAGTCCAGACAATTTCAACGAGCACGGACAAACAAATCTCAACACCACAACACTCTACCATCTGAGACCCTTAAGAGGAATGTTACCGGGTTCTCCTTTGGGACCAGGCGATCCAACAGCACCCTTCTCTCCCTGAGCACCGTCCTCCCCATTGACTCCTGGCATGCCCCTCTGACCTGGCCGGCCAGGTAGACCAAGGGCACCCGTTGGGCCTGTTTCGCCTTTTTCGCCTGGTACTCCAATGGCACCTGGCTCTCCCTAAAAAGAGTAGCCAAAAATTCATACCTTTTGGGACCAAAGAACTATTCAAGTTCTTTCTCTGTATACAATCTAGTGGCAATAAAATTGAAATTTTGAAATTTGAAAACAGTTTGTACTGGCATGCAAAGTTAAAACAAATTTCAGAATTAAAGTCTAATTTCAACTCCAAGACCGAAGGAGCTTCAGCCTGTTACTACAGTGTTCTATAAGCCATCCATTCACTCTGGTGTTAAAATCTGGCTTTTCAATTTCAGCAAACTCTTGAGACACTTGTCACAGGTGACTTACTGGGGGACCTTGAGGTCCTGGTATCACTATTGGGGTAGGTCCTGGAGGGCCAACTATGCCTTGCTCTCCCTTCTGGCCTGGTGGTCCTTGGCTGCCGCTTTCTCCTGGAGGTCCGTCGTTGCCAGGGGGGCCTGAGAAATAGCAGTTTCAAGAGTTATCATGACACTTAGAGTGATGACACTTGTCCAAGAAAGAATCTCCTTAGAAATGAAAACCCTTTCAATGGGGTAACATCTCAAAATGCTGGAAAACTGTCATTCCCACTAAAATGCTCTTTTTGGGAACACCACAAGTAGCTACCACATGATTAACTTACAAATTTACAAGCAGTATCAGCCACAGAATAAACCCCCAGAAAGAAGAAATTGAACCCTGAAAGGAAGACTTCGGATGTCCTCCAACACTGACCTTGTCTGCCTATTGGGCCAGCTGGTCCTTGGTCACCCTTCGGTCCAGTAAGAGCCTCACCGGGTCGTCCTGGTGCACCCTTCTCCCCACGGATACCAGGGAAGCCGCGCTCACCTGGTTCCCCATTCACACCGGGGTTACCATTGGTCCCAGGCGGTCCCATGGGACCCAGGTCACCCTTGGCTCCTGGATAGTGTTCGAATGAAATGATTGAGTTAGACATTGAGTTAGACATTAGGTAATCAATGAAAAACTATGTCTTTGTTTCTTTCAAGATCTTACAACTGGAACTCTCGATTGACCAATGCTAAAAACAGCTGAAAACAGCCATAAGGAAGCTGAACTGTGAAGTTTCCTATATTTTTATACACAGCCAGAGAGGAAAAAAGCCAAAATCCAAAACAAAAAAGCTCAAATCAGCTAATAAGCTGAGAAATCTCACCCCCGCTTTCAGAGAGATTGTTGTCTTCAAGCATTAACATATGTGACTGAAGAAAAAACAACCTTAAACCACCAAAAACCTTCTCCTCAGAGAAACTGCACAGTCTTCTGGGCCAACAAAATGGCAACCGTGGTTAATAAACTTTATGTTTAGATTTTTGACTCCATTGACATGAAGGATCTATCCCATGCATCACATAATAGGCAGAACAAACGTTCCGATTTTCTGATTCAAATCAAACATTTCCCTAACATTCAATTTCCTTTGTCTAAATTATTTCATGTGTTTCACAAACACCATAAACTTACCTAGATTTCCTGGTAAACCAATTATTCCGGGGGAACCGGGAGTGCCATCTCTTCCTGAAAAACAAAAATTTATAGAAGAGATATTAACAAGAATTCTGCCAACCCTGACATATTTCTATCCATCTATTCAGGATCTGGAAGCATGTTTTTTTGCTCCTGTCAGTGATTTCTTAACTTATCTCAGTTTTACAGACTTGCTGTAAGCTCGTCCTCATTGCCGTGTCTTCTAAATTTTATCAGGCCTTATTCACCCGTACCAAAGTCACTTTGAAACGTCTCTATCCTAACTCCGTGAGGTGAGACGTCAAACCATGGCCAACGACAGTGAGGACTTACCTTTGTCTCCTTTTGGTCCTGTGGGTCCCTGCGGTCCCGTTTCACCAGGCTGGCCGCGGTCTCCCTTAGGTCCCGTCTCCCCTTGTTCTCCGTTCTCCCCTGGTGGGCCAGGCGGTCCAGTGAAGCCCCTCAGACCCCGATCTCCCTTCAGTCCATTCAGGCCGTTGGGTCCAGGATCACCTTGTGACGAGACAGGAAGGGAGGAGGGGCGATTGGTGTTTGAAGACAGAGAAACTGGGTTGTTTGACATGAACACATGCAATCTTTTCTGTTTTTGAAAAGCCAGAAAACTCCCGAGTATTGGATATTTGTTTAGATGCACTTAAGAAACACTGCTTTAGCCTCATCAGGAATGATCTGTAATTTTCAAGAAGTTTCTCTCAGGTGCATCCCGAGTTTTTGATGATCTCTTAACCTCAGGTTGTCGGTATGGTTGCAAGTTCTATTCACAGATGCAGACGCTGAACCCAATGGACCACAGCCCAGAATCACAACGTCGGCAGTGTGCAGTTTTTTCCACCACTTGAAGTGGCTGTGTCTCTTTTACAGAGACTTCAACCACAGAATCAAGAAACCAACAGGTTGCTCACTTCAGAGGGACGGCCTGCTCTAAGTCAGACGTCCTCCTTCCTCCGCAAGTAGCAGTCTTTCTACTAATCACTGGGCATGATCGTACATCAAGACTCACTTGCTCTGAACCTACCTCTGTCTCCTTTTTCTCCCACAGGTCCTTGTGCTCCCTTCATTTCCAAGTTGCAAGGTACCGTCATCACGTGACCCTTCTCACCTTGGAATCCACGGGGGCCAGGGACACCTTTCACTCCCTGGGAATAAGAGGTACCGTGTACTACACATGTCACCCATCTATCCGGTTACTTGCTGGTGTTTAATGCAATTGATCACAGGACACACTACCGTCAACCATCCTAACATACAGCTAGTACTCCTGTCTCTACTAACCAAGTGATGCACTTCCCCGTCTGGCAATAGCCTCATGAGGCCTACACTTGTCTTGTTGATTAAACTAGCTCAAACATCATCCTATGACATGCATTTGATTAAGTTGGGAACTTGAGCTAGGACTGCCTTTTCAAATCATGATCAGACTTGCACATCTCTTAACTTTTTTCCCCTTCAGCTGGGTACATGTATGTGGAATACATGATCAACCGTATGTTTCAGACTGTGTTGCATTTAAGGATTGAACCGTAAATACAAGAGTAAAACTAGAGTATGCAGCCAAGAGCTGTAACACTGAGGTTTTAGATGATAACATTCAGACTCGTGTTTAATACAGACACCAGAAAATGTACGGGACTACATGCAGCGACAGTACCACAGTCTTATGCATATCTCACAAACCTTTAACCACTTAGTATGAAGGTGCCCAGAACTGGAGAAGTTGGCTTTATATGCAAAGGAGATAGGCCTTGTAACAAAAGACTGTACTCGGAACAAAAGACAGGGCTGCTGGGAATTGTCAACATTTTTTCAGTTGTCAAAAGCAGAGGAAATCCGTCATTGTTTTGAGTGATTACACCACTGTTTGTGGCATTCAGTGCAAGCGGATTATCACCGGGCACAAAAGCGCTTCAGCACTCCAGGGATGACAATACAATACCGCTGCACGCTAATCTAGTCTGCATTTGAAAAGATGCCAGCAGCGCACTGGGCCAGTTTCGGGAACAAAAAAAAATTACGTAACACCACACAATCTGGGCTCCCTTTACAAGCCTGGCTGAAATACTCGGGCATAAATAGATGTTGTCTGTCAGATTAGAGTAGCCCAGACAGTCATTCGTGTGGGTGTAAACGTCCACTAAGTGAAGTTATGAACTTTTGAATAATTTTGAAAATAAATTATCTTGAAAATCCCCCAGGAATACATCATGCAGCTTTAAATTAAACCCAGCAGCATATGGTTAAAATTGTGTGCATTTTGGCAGATTGTGAAATACCCCGCTGATTCTGCAGAAGAGCATGACATGAATTCTATTCACTGGACCGATATCTTCGTAAAAGTCACGCTCGTGACAACCTTTCTGAATCCAGGCGTACCTTAGGTCCAGTTGGTCCTGCTCGCCCTTGCAAGCCAGGGGCACCATTCTCCCCTGGTATACCAGGGTCGCCATCAGGCCCGGGTGCACCTATCAGCCCCTCTCGGCCAATATCACCCTTCTCACCTCGCGAGCCTGGAGGTCAAATTAAAAAGTCAATACGATGCAATACAGGTAATTTGTCAGTTTTTATGCCAACAAATGTCAGCTCCCTTATGACAGCTTGATATTACACGATAGCTTGAGCTTGGAAAAGTTCATGAATTTGAAATTCAGAAACTCTCTGTGTTTGAAGGCAACTCATAATAGCTAACTGCAGCACTGAGGCATTAGGGAGCGTCTCAAAATTCGGAACAGTCGGAACATTCCCATTGGAACGCCATGTTCTCATTCCGGAACGGTCGGCCGTTTCATTGGGAACGTGACGTTCTACATGGAACGCTGGGTTCCCTTGTGAGAATTTTCCAACGGGAACACCCATTCCCATTGGAATATCTCCATTCGGATGGCTTCATATCGCCCATGTACAAATCTTTACTTAGCCACTTTCCAAAAACGGAGCCTGCCATGACAAACAAGCGTAGGTAAACTACTTTGCTTTTATGATGGGCCTAATTTTGAATAAGAATTGGAAGTAAATTGAAGATGGAAATGTGATGTGGTAAAATTTGTCAATGTGATGATGGAAATTTTGGTTTTAACTGCAATACAAAAGTGAAAATCACTACGTGCTGACTTCATGCAAAGTACATATGTCAGAGTGTTTCACTGGGTTATAGGCTGCAATACCAACATCGAGCTTAATTGCCTTAGTCATGTCGTTCAACCATTTCCGTGATACTTGAAGACCTCACCCTGCACCCCTTTCAATACAGGGTAGGTTTTTAAATTGTTTGTGATATGATAGAGCACTTATGAGTGGAAACATTGCGATGACAAATCCCTCTATCACGCAAACCTGACAATGAATAAAACACTCCTAAGTACAGACGTTAACATTAACACAATAAAATTAACAGTGTCTAGATATACTCTAAAGTCATTGCATGTTAAGCTGTGCCATGGTGAATAAGGACAAGAAAAACAGGAGAAAAGTTAACCTTCATGAGGAGGAAATCACAAAATGCTACACTCCAGCTGCCGTCCTTCAGACTCAGGGTCAAGGAAATAAATGCCAGAAATCTTTATTCCCTATTGTGAATGTAACTGCAGGACCGTTCCACTAGGAACACACGTTCCCAATGGAACCTTTGCCTGGAACGGTCTGGAACATGCCTGCGATGCGGGCATGTTCCGATGGAATGCCAACGTTCCAGTGGGAACAGTCCAACGGAATGGGAATGTTCCCAATTATTGAGACGCTCCCTTAACAACAAAAATGGTAGATCTTAATGTGGATCCAAAACCCCTCCGCTCACCAGGATCCTTAGCACAGAAACTGTTCCCAGGCCTCAAGTTATCTTACCTGGATCTCCCATATCACCCATCTGACCCTTCTCCCCTCTTCGTCCCTCTAACCCCGGCATCCCCGGAGGGCCTCGTTCTCCCGGCAGGCCAATATCTCCTCTCTGTCCATCGATGCCAGGCAGTCCCCTGTCACCCTTGGATCCATCGGCACCTGCTGGTCCATCCTCGCCAGGAGGTCCTGGCAAGCCCGGCTGGCCATTCTGACCTGGTAGACCATTCTGACCTGATGGTCCAGGGAAACCCTTGTCACCCTTCTGTCCTTCTGGTCCGTCTTCACCACGTGCACCCTTCTGTCCGGTGGGACCTCGGTTGCCAATTACACCGGGCAGTCCAATTGAGCCTTGATCACCTTCACACACACAAAAGCAGACGCTCACAAAATTATTTAACTGGATTTTTATCTCTGAATGATGCAAATAACAGCTTATAAAGTGATTTTTCCTGCAGATGTGCACCTGTTCCCCAAAGAGGGCCTGACTGGACTAGCATTAGTACTGAATGCCAACATACCTTTAGCTCCTGGTACCCCGTTCTCTCCTGGTTCCCCAGGTGGTCCTGGTTGACCTGATTGGCCTGGTGGGCCTCTATCTCCCTTCTCACCTGCATCAACACCAAAAAGGAAAAAAAAAAATCAGGAATTTGTCAATGTACACGTCATAAACTCCTGCAGCAAAAGTCCCTTTTCCAAGGCAGCGTCTCATTACAGGAGATCAAGGCCAACACTGAGTCCTCCCACTTACCCGGTCGGCCATCTTGGCCTGCCTGTCCATCTTCCCCTGTTTCTCCAGTCGGTCCTGGCAAGCCAAGGTCACCAGGGCGACCTGGGCGACCAGGCTCACCCTTCTGACCTTTGATGGCTGCGAATCCTGGTGGGCCTTGAGGTCCTTGAGGTCCTACTTCGCCAACTGGACCTACAATGTTTATCATAGCAATTGGAAAATTGCTGTAAGCGAGATGTTCAAACTGCATTTGAACCACTGGCCATGGGATTGCAATTCAAGTGTCCAACAGAATCATGCTGATTAATGTTAAAAATAAAACCATTCCAAGATGGGCAGGTTGTGCAGTTGGGACTAACCAGTTTCAGTTTGAAGGTTACACTTTAATATCAAGCTGCTTTTGCTTGCCCATCTTAGGGAAGGGCTGGACCTGAAGTTATGTCTAGAACGTATCAAGGTACTAAGCAGAAAAAAAAACAAGATGATTTTACCCGGTTCTCCCGGCCGACCATCTTCCCCTGGTGGCCCATCAGTTCCTGGTATGGACACTCCGATATCTCCAGGCTCCCCGGGACGGCCGAGAGGGCCTCGGGGACCCACATCCCCTGTGTGGCGCAAGAGGTAACAAAAATGCATTTCAGTGGCAACGCTCACCGGGGCATTTGTTTTGGGTTAGCCAAAAAACAAAAAGTGAAATACTGTTCTCGCCAAGTACAAGTCTCGTTCCCTGATTCCATAAGACCTCCCCAAACTGAAACATGAAGGGCATGAACCCACAATAGCAGGTGCACAGCTATGGTCAACATGATCAGATATTGAAGATGAGGTTTCCTTTTGCTTACCCTTGTCTCCTTTAGGTCCTAGTGGTCCAGGTTCTCCATTTTCACCAGGAAGTCCTATTGCTCCACGAGCTCCAGGGGGACCTTGGGGGCCGATAGCACCCTTCAATCCACGCGGTCCTTGTACACCAGGTACACCAGGAGTACCTGTTTCACCCTACAAAATTAAATGAAATACTAACGACAAGTCTCCTTCTAATTTTTCTACAGACTGGCCAAATTATTAACCCCCCCTAATTTTTGAGGTTTAAACTAAGAACGATGTTTGGTTCAAGAAAAATGTCAACAATATGATTCAAGAAACGAAATATATGCCACTTTTCCTTTAAAACTGTTGTTGAAATTGTGCCTACAAAAGATGAAATGAGCAACAGACAAACGACGAGTCCATATGATATACTCGCAGGGACAGAGTTTCTACCAGAATGGGGAGACTGTCTACCTTGGCACCATTTGTTCCTTCTACACCGGGCAAACCATCAGGCCCTGGGGGACCTGATAGACCTTGCGGTCCACGATCGCCAGGAAGTCCACGGAATCCTTTCTCCCCGCTCTCCCCCGGCATGCCTATGCCTGGCGGGCCTTGTTCTCCCATCTCTCCCTTCTGACCGTCAAAACCACGATTCCCCTTGGTGCCTGTGGGGCCTGAGGGACCTGCATTCAGGGCCAACAAAAGTCAGCAGCAACTGTAAAGCAGAACTCTTGATATGGAGCTGCGGAACTGCATGATCAGCATTTTTGACTCATCTGTCCTTTTAAATACATCAAATATAAGCAAAAATAACAGTCAAAATCAAAAGCTAAGATTAGACAGATTTCTCACAGAAATCTGAAATCAAAGTCGGTGACTTTTCCAGGACTTTGCAGGACCCAAGTTAGACATTTTCCATGAGTTCCCATGACAAGAGAAAACTTGTTTTGTATCACAAATTTCCCATAACCACTGCTGTAAGACTGACAAGGAGAGCCTGTAAATTTGTCATTATTCCCTTATCACATCATAAGTGGTCCATCAATACTAACGATTGCTTGATCCTAAATATTTCAATGGCTTTTCCATGACTCTCTGACAACCGGCTTCCAGGACACTCTTTTTTCCCAATTTTCCATGACTTATCCGTGACTTTCCCAGACAAGTTTTTCCCAGGATCTTTCATGACCAGGGAACCTTGAGTGGAGTACTGCTGCGGAACAGGTAGGATCCATCCAAAAAATCCAGTCATTTGGCACATACTCATTGCTGGCCTTGCACAAAATTGGAAAAATAACTGAGACAATGATATCTTTAAAGTTCAATGTCATCCTATGAAATATCAGGATAGTCACACACCTGGAGGTCCACGTTCACCGAAATCACCAGGTGGCCCTGGAGGTCCCCGTGGGCCTTGAGGTCCAACTTGGCCTGGCTCCGATATGAAGATAGGTTCACCTTTCTCACCTAGCAAACGCAGGACAGAAACAAGAAGATGAAGAAATGAAAATGGACACCTTTAGAACTCATCTCAAAAAGGCATTTTGTCTCTCTCTTGGGTATATCATCAATGCTACTTCTTGCTTTAATCAACGTTTGAATTTCTTCTCGATGACATTACCAAATGTCTCACTGATACACTGAAACAAAAATCCTGTGGAACAACTGAAATGCGATCTGTGATTGAACATTTACGAATGAAAAAATAACCGTAGCTGAAGACTCACCCTTCATTCCAGGTGGGCCTCTAGGTCCAAAATCTCCGCGATCACCCTGAGGACCAGGTGGGCCTGGGTTCCCTAGCACAGAGGCACCTCTCTGGCCAGGTATTCCCTGTTTGCCTGGTAGCCCAGCAGCTCCTGGGTCACCCTGAAATCCTGGCTCACCCTTCTCACCCTACACATTGAAAGTTTGGGAAGGAAATTAACTCAAGACCGAAGTACAAGAAACACCAAGCTTGACTGGACTAGAGCAGCCTCTCAAAACAAAACAAAAAAATCTTGTTAACTTCCGAGTAGACAACTACCTTAACTGGCTGAAAACAAATTACGAAGAACAGTGAGCACAGAAATGTAACTAGCCAAATGAGGTTGTCAATACCAGGTTAAAATTGCTCTCCATCAGGGCCTCACAAAGCCTATATGCAGGAGCTGGTAGTGATTACCTTGAGCATTGACGAGATGTTGCTGGGTGCAGTGCAGCGTGGTCCCGGCAGGCCCTTAGCCCCTTTGGATCCATCGCTGCCTCGGAACCCACGCTCTCCCTTGTCACCTTTCTCTCCCCTCTGGCCTTGGATAATGGGTCCTGGCTCTCCGCGGTCACCCTTCTGTCCACGGGGTCCAGAAGGACCAATGGGTCCCTGAGGGAGGGGGTGGGGGAGGGAAGAACAATATTCAATATTTAATTCTTGATCCCAACACCACGGCAAACTATAAAGTGGTGTGCTGTTTGCCAGTTATGTTTTGTCTTTGAACAGAGGACGCTCTAACCGTAACCCAAGAATCAGCAGGAGAAGCTTACATTTATTCCTGGGTCTCCATCCACACCAGGATCTCCTCTCAGTCCTTGCTGTCCAGGAGATCCTTGAGGTCCATCAAAGCCTTGAGGTCCAGGTCGTCCTGGGGCACCCGCTGGTCCAGGATCTCCCTTCATACCTTGGGGGCCCGACGGACATGGCCCACAAGGCTCCCCAGTGTCACCTGTCAGTCATCAATTGAATAAACCAGTTACAACAAGCATGGAAACTGCATGGGGAATTTCCTTGTGTTGGAAGCAAGGTGCATCTGGTAATTTATAATCTCACAGTGGAAATCAAGATTGTCAACAAAACTCATCAAACGCACATTCATTTTTTGACAAATGGCTCCAAAGCTAATCTGCTGTGTAACTTTAGAAACACACAACAATCTTTGCCGGTTGTCCTCCCTAAGACGAGTCTAAAAAACAAAAAAAGCTGGAAGCATTACTGTTGCCTTCACTGTGTTAAAGTGTTGAAAGTTCCTACCACTTATACCAGCCTCTTATTTTGTACAAATTGGCAAAGAATACACTTGTCCAGAAATACTTGGTCAATTTTTAATGTTTGAAAAAGTGCGCCCGTCAGTTCACGTAAAAAAAGATGTCAAACAGTCTTCATACATGGAAGAAAAGCACAGAGATACACAAAAAGTGATTCTAAGAAAAATTAATTTCCTGGATCCTTTAAATTGGAACGATGTAGTGGAAATTGCTATGACTAGATACAGCAACCGATGACAGACAAGACTCATTTTCACCAGTGTAATTTCTAGCAAACATCATAACACCCACTCAGCCAAGTTTCCGGGCTACTCACCCATTCGTCCAGGGAAGCCCCTGGGTCCAGGGTTGCCAGTAGCCCCAGGTTCGCCCTCTGGGCCTGGTGGTCCAGGGGAACCCTGTGGGCCGATGCTACCTTCAATATTGCCAGGAATGCCGGGGAAGCCTGCAGGAAGCACAAGAAAATGGGCAGAGAAAAAAAATTTAATGAGGACTGGCAGTAACATGAATGCATCAACTTGCATGCTGATGCTAAGACAATTCATCACATCTTGCGTTAAAGTCTTTCAAAAATACATTTCAATGTTGACAGACTGTTCCACACGGTCACTAAAACACTTTAAATGATTCAAACAAGTATTTCAAGAAAAAACAATTTCTTTTTTTCAGTTGAAAAAAATCAAGAAAGTGCTCCTCACATGGAAGTCAACGATATGTTCATATTAGAAATGGAAAACTAACAGTTCATGCAGTCTCTCATTACGTTGTGTACACAATCAATACAACACGACCACATGCAATCACTGTACGACAGCCCCCAATTACAGATTGATAAAGTAGGTAGCATGTACAGACCTTGGGGTCCTGTAGAACCAGGGGGTCCTGGGGGTCCAGGATTACCCAGTCGTCCTGGGATGCCATCCATGCCTGGAGGACCCTGCATAGACAAGCCTGTCATGCCTGGTTCTCCCTTGGGTCCTTCTCGTCCGGCTACACCCTGAGGTCCGAAAGGTCCAGCTGGACCTGGTACTCCTGTTGGGAAATAAAAACATTAACGATATTGTGTTTATAGAGAACGTTATATAGTGGGTACGGATTCTCAATGGGTTTTACTCTGCTCTGCTTACAGGGCCCAGAAACATTCCTATAAACCATGTCAACTCCCTGAGGGTTTTAAACCCATATAAGTGCAAAAAATCAGGTGCTGCCAGGTTGATCAACCATGATTATGTGTATCACATCAAATGAAAAATTCTACTATTTTATCCCCAAAACACCATCTGGTGGAGAAGGAACTGATAATAGTCAGAAAAATAAGAGAGGTTTTCATAAGATGCCATTTTGGAAGACCAGTCAGGAGAAATGGGTTCATTTGATGTCACTTCTCAAAGAGAAACTATGAGAAGGGCACGTTGATGGAGAAATTGCGAGGCATACCTGGAGGTCCTTGCTCGCCTTTTTCGCCGATTCCTGGAGGACCTTGCTGGCCAGGGGAACCTGGGGGCCCCGGATTACCAGGTCTGCCTTCGATGCCTTGTAAACCTGGTCAATGGAATGAAAAAATGAACTGTAAGAGCGGATGCCAGGTGATGATCAGACAGCGAGACATTCCTGGCACAGTTTACAACAGCTTCAAAACGTCACCACAGTGGGGGAAGGAGAGATGTTACAGGACAGAATCTTCTACCATCATTGAAAACATTTGCAAGACAACAATCTGACTGGATACTCAGCTATTTTCTGAAATACACTAACAACACTGTTTTGCATGGCAACTTTGTAGGCACAATAGTCAGCCCTGGACTCATGGAATTGAAACCCTACTTGTTCTTTGTGTTGAATCAGCCCAGTGGATGAAAGTGAGGGAGCACTTGCAGCCTCATACTGACATCCCAATTATGGTTGCTAGGTCAGGGTCATCAACGCAATCAGTACCAGCGGCCAAAGCTTGAAGCGTTGCATCTATCAACCCAAGCTTTCAAATGACGCCTACCTCGGGCTCCTTTTTCTCCTGGGGGTCCTGGAGGGCCTTGAGGTCCGTCTCGCCCCTGTGGGCCCCTCGGCCCTGGGTTTCCTATCCCTGGGGTGTCAACTGATTCTCCCTGAAGGAAAAAACATTAATTGTGGTTAGAAACCCATGCATCTTTTAATGGCAAAGTATAGAGCTACTGCGTAGATGTGAGCGCTATGCTTTGGGGAAGCTGAACTCATCCAAACGCCAAAATTATTGACTTCTTTTTAATGGATACGATGATCATTTACCGTGGGTTCCTTCAGTGTAAAGTTGACAGAAAGGCAATCCCCACTGTCTGCTCCCTCGAACACACAATGAAGACTTCAAATTTGGATCCATTCTCTTTGGTTAAATTTATAGATGTAACTTAAAACATATGAACCTATCTACAGTGTACACTCACCATTCATCTACCACAAAACAAGTCGAGGGATTTTTTTTTGGTGGGGGGGGGTAGGAATCACTTACTGGTGGTCCTTGAAGTCCTGGACGTCCTCTTTCACCTTTATCGCCTTTAGGACCCTGGAGTAGGAATGAAGAGGAAGCTGCTGCTTTGTTTGGTTAAGAATGAAGCTCATGACAGCTCGGACTGCCACTTTCTGACTGCTGCCACCAGAGGGCACTTTCCACATGCACTGTATTTCAGGGTTCCCACAGAAATCTGGAAACCAACACTTTTCCAGACTTTTCCAAGGCTAAAATGACAATTTCCATGACATTTAATGCCATTTCACAGAGAAAGGTTGTTTGGTATTATGAAGATTGCCACAGCTACTAATATAGACCGACAAGGATATAGCCTGGAAATTTATCATTCTGTTATCCCATCAAGAAATAACCCTAGTATGATCTTTATTTCTTAAAGTTTCCATGACGTCTTTCTTCCAGTAGGATTCCAGGACATCCTGTTTTCCACCCATTTTCCATGTCTTCTGCATGACTTCCAATGACAACTTTGTTTGAAGGATTTTTGATTACCGCATGGCAAATCCTGTATTTGCCATGTAGGGAGATTACCTGTGGGCCATTGAAGCCGGCGGCACCAGGTACACCAGGGGGTCCTCTTTCACCTTCGTACCCCGGAGGGCCAGGGGGTCCATCTTTGCCCCGCTTGCCCTACAGAAGGGGAGTAAAATCAGTAACTGTCAAGTCTACTTTCAAGATAAATCCATGAAAAACTGCAAAATTAGTTCAAAGGTCACTTGAAATGCTCTCAGTTGTCTGGCAAATTCGTTTTTTGTGATTCATCTCTGTGTATCTGAGAAATGTTGGTCTAACGTGATGCATGCATCAAGCAAAAGACAATGAAAAGAGTTGAAGAGGGAGCGACTTACAATCCTTCCAGTGGGTCCTGGCTCTCCCTTGGGTCCCTTCATCCCATCGTCACCTCTCAGGCCCTACAAAGAAAAAATCAAGAGATCTAGGCAAAAATGCACAAAAAAGTGACAAAAAACCTCACTGAGTGTTCCAAAGGGGTTTCATTTGTGATTATCATAAGTTGGACAATCCAACAGCTTCTGTTGGTGGCTACGGTCCCCTTAGTAATTATTTGTGAAATCCTCCAAACATGACTACATCCCATTTGAGTTCAAGAACGTGATGGGGGAGGGGGTCAGTTATGAGGAGCTGTGGAAGAATAACTTCTCATGCTCAAAATCTCCTCATGCAAAAGCAAAAGAGAGAAACAAAATGTCTTGACACCACTTGCGACTGGTTTATAACCAATTTGGATCACTGTGCTGAAACTCAAGGTAACAGAACTGTGGGTCCTGTGCCAACAAATCCCCATTTACCTGAAATCCTGGGTAACCTTTCTCGCCTTTTTCTCCTCTTTCTCCACGGGGACCCTTGTAAAGAAAAGAAAGAAAGAATAATGTCATTGGGGATATCTAAAGACACCATGTCCACTGCAGTAGGTCTCCAAACATTCCGATCAAACAAGGGAACACTCTTTTCAAAATCCCTAAAAACATTCCTGATTCGCGTGCACAATTGGTCCATGACCGTGGACGGGTTGTGGAGATACGATTAAATGAGGCACTTTTTCACTGGAGTTTTCTCATGGGTACTGTTACTGTCTCATTTTGATCTCATCTGAGATGTGACAGATGGGCAAGATTGGCACAGCTATACGATTTGCTGCTGCTCAGTGTCAAGCTCATGTGGATCACAGGGACCGCAACCAGTCACGACCAATATGGGAAAGAAACTCACAGGGTTGCCTCGGTCACCCTTGTCTCCTGGTATGATCTCCGAGACGTTACTGCCTCCTACTGGGCGAGTGCCATTACCACAGGGTTCACCTGGAGGACCTGGAACACCTGGGTTTCCCTGAAAAGGTAAGAAGAAGGATCACCGACATCTGAAGATTTTGGCGTCGCAGTAATGTGAGCCTAACCATTTCTACCCTTCACCAAGATCCCTAGACATGAACATCAACAATTACGTTACCAATCTAAACTGAAATTTACACTAAAAAATGAACGGCTGTGAAGTTTTCAAAGTGTAATAATTTCTACCGACATATCTACATGTAATGTGAAGGAATCAAATCGAAGACCAAATTGAGCACCAAAGAAGATATATTCAAGATATTTGCCACTGACGGATCTTCGTATATGTACTTACAGGTTCTCCCTTCTGTCCATAGAAACCGACACCTGGTGGACCCTTTTCTCCTTTAGGTCCCAGGAGCCCTTGCTCCCCCTGAAACGAAACCAACATGGCAAGGATATAAACATCTAGCTATTTACGTCAATCATAGGATTGAGATTACAAGACTTATCTGATGAGACAAGAGTGTTTTAAACTACGGGTAATAAGATTTTAAGGTTTTGAAATAAAAAGTCAATACATGTACCACAATGTCAGCTTGTGACCTCATGAACAGACTCCAATTATCAGTTTGTCAAAAAACCAAACAGAGGAACTAACCTAAAAAGCATGACTGGAAGATATGGTGCAGTGTTCAAAAGGTCACAGGTTCCAATCCCATTCTAGTCAATTTCTTTGTTTTCTTTGTTCATCTTGACAATCAATTTGACTTGATCAGAGGGAGTCACTGTTTAACTTACACTCATTCCCTGGGGTCCGCGATCTCCTTTGGATCCATCACGGCCTGAAAGACCAGGGGGACCCTGTGAAGGGTAAGACAAATCACAAACTCGGGTAAAAAGTTGGTCATGTGTTGACACATTCCTCTCTTTGCTGAAAGTAAGATGGGTCCTCCCTCAATAGACCAATGTACTGATGATGTCACACTTTGTTTAGCATTATCAGTAATGAGGTCTATTAAAAACGAGAAAGCCTATTTCAGATAGTTTAGGCCCCCCACAAGAAATTAGGTTGAGTGAGAACATGACTGCACAATTTTTAAACCTCAAGCTGTCTCTCAAGTCACTGATTCAGATCTCCTTCAAGAGTGGTTACTTAGACTTTTCCAGTCAAGAAAACTATCTCTGCTAGCCGGAGCTTAACTATGTATGGTGTGAATGTTTCATTCCCAGGGGATGTATGCTCTCCTGGTGTCTCCCCCAAGGAGCAAGGGTTTGGAGGTCAGAAATAATCTTGGGAAATGACAAAGGGTTATCCAACTCAGGCACAAGGCTGTGCTGCCTTAGATAAACCTTTAACTGATGTTTACATAAATCCTTTGCCCTTGCTCTGGGAAATTCACAGTCGAGCCTATCACGTGTCATTTCTGGGACACCATTACGTTGGAAACATGTTGTTGTGCACTGGGCCAGGTTATAGCACTAACAGTAGAACCAAGACATGTGGCATATGAAACATCAGTCATGTTTTATCAGCATCGTGTCTGTATTATTTTGATATATTCCAAGTAAACTGAGCCATTACAAACCTCTTCCTGAGCAAACAGATATATTTTCAAAGACTTATGGGCACATCCAATCAATACCTCCTCCAATCTCCTTGGTTGTTCCATAAATCATTGATGGTGTGAACTTGAGGTGTGGGCATATAATCACACTGGGCTTTTTTTCTCCCCTGTGACCCTCCCAAGGTGCCAACTTTATCCCTCCCAACAACCCTAAATGTCACAATGATTTATGATGTTTAACCATTCTAAGGACAAACAGAACCTTTGCTAAGGGTTGGTTTTATAACCAGTGAAACTAAACAGAGGGGCTAAAGCCCTGATATTCCCAACAGGCCTAGGTCTTGTAGGCAGGGCAAAATTTGACCTCAGATGACTTCTACTGCGAAAGGCACATGAAATCACTTCAAGAGCATCAAGTTAATAAGCAATGTTCCAATACCCCCTACCTCCCCCCTTCAGAACAGTAGAGTCTTACCCTTGTGCACCTGTTACAGGCATACAGTGTCATATGCAGCAAGGTATGAGACGGAGNACAGTGTTTGCACTGATTATTCTTTAATAAATCCAAGATAATTGCAGAAATCAAAAGCAATTTGTCATTCTTGACATGTTAGGTCAGAAGGTGCAAAACATTTACAGGTGTGTGCCATATGTAAAATGTTAACACCACTGCCACTTCATTTCTCAATCTTTTGTTCAACTGTTCCAGCAGATTTTCAATGAATGAAACTGCTCAAACTGTCACCATTTTCACAAAGAGACACTTTGGCCAAAAATCTTTTTTTTTTCAAATTTCTGTTTTTTGGCAAAATCAAATCTAGTTCTGCAATTCTGCAATTACTTGCTGTAATCATTTTTTACCAAATCTACTGACATAAGCCAAATCACAAAGATCTGCCAAGGGCAAATTTCAACTACACCGCAGTTTGCGTTTTCACGAAGAGGCGAGTTTGTCTTCCATAGATAAAGCGTTGGCAATAAAGGACAAATTCATGGGCAAACTCACTTCACCGTTTTCAGGAAGAGGCAAATTTGACGCCAGCAATGTACACCAATGTAACAATGTTGCACCTGGCACATGCTATAGCAAAATAGCATGTGTTTTCACAAACAGACAAAAGTTGCGTGAATTTTAGAGTTTTCATGTAGAGGCGAATTTGTTTCTTATTGAATTCTATAATTATTATTTGGCAGTTTTGTGTCATTTAAGATCCCTTCTTTCATCCAGTAGCATTGGTTAAGTCAAAGGTATGCTAAATACAGGGAAAATAAAGCGTTTGAAACCTAGGTTTCACTCTTCAGTGAAAAATTTGCCTCTTCGTGAAAATGGTGACAAAACATTAACTTCATGGTATTGCCTCACACACGAAATTAAGATTAGCAGAGTTTACTTAGCTTACTGACATCCAAGCGCTGTTTCGGAAACTGTTGCAGTGCTACATTAAGTCAATGGCCTACATTGTCTAACTCAAAAGTATAATGAACTCCCAACCCAGAACAGGGGTGACATCTGAAAAAAATTAATCACTTATGAAATTACCACGAGAAGTTTTGCGGGCCACACGGCAATGTAGGGTCTAGGCATCCCATAGAATACATATTTCTCGTGATCTACAGGTGTATCAACTTTTATAATATGTAAAATGACCTCGGTGGTTACTTGGAATATTTCAACTTCTGCAAACGGGTTGTTTGAAAAATGCTGAAATCAGGAAAGTCTTGATGAAAAAATCCTGAAAACAGAGAAAATCTAGACAAATCTCACTCTTCCCCAGAAGTAAGCCCTTAAGTGACACCATGTACCATCCATTCAGTAATTAATCATGTAGGCTCCACTGACTGACAAAAACTAGAGAATAACACAAGCAATTGTGACATTCCTACCAGCCTATGGCAAATATCATAAGTTAGCTGAAAAATATTTCTTTACTGACCTGTCGCCCTGGTTGTCCAGGGGATCCACGATCACCCTTGTTGCCGGGTAAATTTACAGCAGGTTCCCCTGGTTCACCCTTAAAAGAATAAAAAAGAAGGTAAATCAATATAATTTTAAAAATTAGTTCAGTCGAACAAATGAAACCCGAATTTGAAGGGAAAATAGATGGAATTCAACAAAGTGGAACAGGATAACTAGAAATCTCCATAGTGATTTAAATAACAGCTTTCAATTACCACTTTTGCATTGGTAAATGCAATTTTGGAGAATGTGTTTGATTTTTTTTTCTTTTTCTTTTTCAATGGGCTTACAAGTTGTCTCAACAGACAGAGAAAAAATACAAAGGTCAGTGCAGCACAATCCTTGACTTTTTAATGCAATGACTGCATAGATCTGTCCCAGTGATCCCCCAGTCACAGATATATGACTGGTAATATATGAAGGTCATATCATGGCAGGGTTGCTCAACAGGTGTCTCTAACGAGTCAGACCAGCTGCCTGAGATCAGGTCACATCATGCAGAGAAGGGAGGCTCACAGTGTGAGTGATTATTATTTTGTAAGAGACGACCCCGGATATGAAGTTGAAATGAGAATCTGGGAATGATTCGTAACGCCCAAATGGACAGGCTGGCAAAAAAATCCATATTTCTGAGAGAACAAAAACTGGGCCCTCTAGCAGAAACCCAGGTTTTTTCCTTCTTGTCGAGTCTTCTCAATCAAATGAACTATGAATGGTACAGTTGAAAAAACTTCTTTCAGTCAGGATCAATTTTTCATTAGCTTTCCAACACTACACATAAATTGTGTCAGACTACTCTCACTGCAGATAGATGCAGAAAGGCTCAATACTTTGACAACTCATGGAATAGATTGTTTTTGCTCCTGACAAGACATTTGTTGGACATCAGAAGAGTGAACAAAGTTCCAAGTGACATATCCAATTGCATGACACAACCTGAGCCCCCTAAACTGTCAACTCCTACTATTTATGTCTAGTCTGGATCCCTAGAGGGATCTAGGAACATGTGGGTGCCTCTTTCCCCCCCCCCTTACATCCTGACACGACTCCCTGGTAGGGTTGTGCCAAATATCCAAATAATCAAATAGTCGATCAATTGTCCAATATTCAAAAATCATTTTTCAAATTTGAATATTTGAATGCAAAATTAATGAAAAGGGAAAATTTTCTTTTGTTTCAAATGAGAAAAATTACACTATGGAGGCTTGTTTCAAACAGATTCAAATGAAAAGTGACAGAAATCTTACGATTAAAAAAGTAAACTATTCAATAAACAAATAAAAAGGAATAGAAGTTTTCAACAGGGAAAGAAGTCTTGTTCATCTCTTAAATCTCGCTAAATCGTTGCTGGAGATACTCCTAGATACAGTTTGTTCATCAACAATCTCCCAGTCGGTTCGACTGAATATTCGACCAAATTGAAGATCGAATATTCAAATAGTGAATTATTTGAATTGCCTCAGCCCTACTCCCTTGGTCAGTCAGGGTCGGGGAGGCATTACTCACTTGGGGTCTAATCTCCCCAGGCAGGAAGCAGAGAATTTACAGCCAGTTACATCTGGAGGAAGTCGCACACTTGGCCCAGACATTCAGCACCACACGATGGGCTGGCATTGGGACCATTGCCAGAGTGGTAGACAAGCCCAGATAGGTCATGGGGTCGTGTCCATGATGTGTGCACTTTTTTGCAAGATTGACTACAATTGATCTTATCCTCTCCCTGATAATGGCTAATTTGATATGAAGGCTTGTCTTTCCCCATGTACATGTACACTCTTCTTGCTTCCTGACATTTCACGGCTTAAAAGACAAGGACAATGTTGAGAACTATTTCAATTCCTGTAGCTATGGTACATTAGACAACTGACCCCCTCATCATGAGTCAAAGAGGCCAGAAGAAGCCAGTTTGCCATTGCAAAATGAAAAAAAAGCCAGGACACACCAAAACTTTTCACAAGTTTTCTTTTTTCAGTCTATGAACCCCGACAAATTTTGCGAAACCACAAAAACTTCCATTTTAAAAGGTGAAGTCATATCTTAGTCCGTCATCAATCTCTCTTGTTGCCTTAGATAAGTCTGTGTCTGAGTTTGTAACCGTCCCAATCTATATGTAACTTGCTTCAACACCTTGTGAGATCCATTGATCAAGTCCAGTACACAGCTGCGCCTGCCACTTACATGTACTTTGCTCTCCACCTCAGTTAAAGCAACTTTTTACTGTGATGACTATATTTGGCATGTAATCTGGGCAACTGTAATTGCAACTAATCAGGGCAGGACAATTAAGGTCTACTTTTATACCAAGCTAATGACCAAGCAGAATTCATGATTATCGTTATTACAGGGGGATTACAGAAGTGTTCCTTCATTATTACTAGGTACCCTCCTGAATGCACAATTGGATTGCTTTGATTGGTCAACAATTTTGTGCAAATTCTGTTAAAAACTGGTTGTGCATACTGCCAACACACCTACATGTACACACGGCTTCCATTTTGACAAAAAATGGACCAATGCACAGACACACTGATCCCTTTATACTTGGCCTGCTACAGTTGTCTGCCAAATCAAAAAGGCCCTGCTTACCTTTGGTCCCATGAGACCTGATGGTCCCTGGGGTCCAGCAGGTCCAGTGCCTGGCTGACCTGGTCTTCCTGGATCTCCCTGAAGATTAACAGCAAAGACAACACTTTCAGGTTAGTTTGTAGTGAGGTGAACATCCAGAGGATGGGGGAATAAAATAGTAAGACCCTACAAAAACTTATTAAATTACAGCCATCGAGATCGTCAAATGCTTTAACATGCTTTAACCAAGATATGCAAGTGTAAATTAAATCAAAATATCCTAATAAGTCAAGGACAGTTTACCATTAGTTTCGGATTTTACTTTATTTCAAGAATCACATAGGAAGGTGATGAAAACTACAATAATTCTGGCATTTCTAAACCAATAATGTGAAACTGGATCTCTTTGTAACTTTCCCTTGTTTCCAATGCCACCAAACTTTCTGTTAACATACAAGCATAAATTATGTACAGTATGTTCAACACAAAGAAATTCCCTCCTCTCCCATTTGCTCACCCTAGTTAATCTTTTTAAAAAAGAACAAGTAACTCTTCAAAGATGACACGAAAGCAACCAAGTAAGCTATTCTTGGCAAAGCAACCAGTAAAGTGATAGGTACTTATCATCCACTACATGAACAGTCCTCTACTTAATTTTCGAGTGGATATCCCCTCTGGCAGTGTAAGAGCCAATTTGGGTTCCAGTTTGCTCCAAGTGGCTAGTGAAAGTGCAAATACTTCAGTCTGGAGGGCCTGTGAACTGACCTTCATGGCTTCAAGGACCACCTGATTTCTGTAACAAGAGCCTGCTCTCTTCTGACCATTCACAAAACAAGAATTGCGCCCTCAATCTTGTAAACCAACATTCAGACTTTTTTTTTCTGGTATTTGTTGCACTTGCCAGCCGGCCTTGTTGGCTTGTTTACTTGTCAGTCAGTCTTTCATTTTGTTTCCACGGCTTTGCACATTTAACCTTGCAAGGTTGATTTTAATGTCATATGTAAAGGTGTCACGCAATTTGATCATTTGGTGGGGATGGTTCAAAACTTTCAAAACCTAACCAAAAAACCCATCTCCGTTTTCAAAAAACATCTTGTAGTTTGAAGTCACATCCTCCCAGTTCCTTCAGATGGCCTAAAGGTCTATTCCTGTATCTTACAGGACAGAATATTGACCAATTGGCACCCCTTGAGGTCTTACAGAAACTATTAAGGCAAAAAATATCTACACGATACTAAGGGATTCTTGTGGGGCATTTAAGGACCAACCTTTGTTCCGTTACATCCCGGCGTTCCAGGTTCTCCGATTGGTCCTTCCGGTCCCGGGAGTCCCGGAAGACCTGGGCTGCCAGGAAAACCAGGAACGCCCTGACTTCCCTGTGAGAGAATGTTGAAGGAGAATAACATTAGAACTTAACGCAGTGAGATGGTCCTCCACCCCAGAACTTCATTAAGCTACTACAATGTACAGACAACGGGGTAAACAACAAAGTTTTTTGAACGGACAGGAAAAGAAGCACTGCCACCAGCAAACATGGTTAAAGAGAAAACAGGAAGAATCATGTGCACAGGCAGAATGTGAACATTTTAATCTGAATTTCCTTAAAGAAAGTTCTTTCCTCGTGTTGCTTGCCACACATCGTCATTATTAAGCCTTGGCAGTAGAGTAGGGTATAGTCTGAGTCTGTTGCATGTGGCTTGTTACTGAAAGATACAACAGCAGTTGGGCACAAGCTTACTACTCTTTCCTGTGGTTTCTTTGCAAATTTAATGGTTTGAGGGTGCAAAGGACATCCAGGTAGGGATTTAAAACCATTTAGAACAATTTTTGTTGTCCAAAAAACAAAATTTACACCATTGCAACACAATTCTCCAAAATGGATATACCGACTGCCACAAAAAAAGACCACCTGACGCGCAAGGTTAAATAGAAAATGTGATGAGTGTGAGACCAACCTGTTACACTCAGAAGTGTGCCTTGCCATTAACTGTTACTCTATCTAGAAAATCTCAAGGATCACCTCATTGTCTTGAAAGATACTGTCAAATTATTCATGATTCAAGAATGAAAATTGTCAAAAAGTCAAAACGTTTCGGAGTATTTGTATCCTGAATCAATACTTCGGGGGGAACTTGCTAAACAGCTTTTCATTCTGCTTTTTGGGAGACTTTATGAATGAAGGAAGGAATTATTGGTGTCACTTACTCTGTAGCCTTTGGGTCCAACAGCACCAGATGAGCCAGTGTCTCCCTGGGGGGAAGAAGGGGGGGAAGAAGACAAAACACACCCATGAACCTTTCATCAGAGGTGTGGTACTGCAACTTTGTCATTCAAACAAGGATCTGTTTTGTGTTAGCTTGACCTCTTGCCCCCAACCCTTACTCCACTGCCGCTCCTGGGGTCAGGTCAACCCTCAGTGGCCCGGTAAATTGTTTCTGGGTGTTGTATTCCATGAGCTATAGCTATCCTGATTAGAAAGGCCCAGAAATAGACCGCTGGAGAATTTCTTGGGTGATTCAGTGTTTATTTTGCTGGTGGATCTGGGTTACAGTTAGGGCATGAACTTGATGGTCACTAGCTCTGAGCTTCTAGAGAAATTTAGTGCATTTTGGGAAGGAAACAGTGTTGCTTCGGCAGAGTACTTGTGATGCTTCATTTAACATGTCACCAGGACACAACTATTTGACTTATCATAGTTCAGCACTCAAGTAACTAGTAACTGGACCCTGTCCTCTCAGAAGAAAAATGAGTGGGGCATTTAAGCATGTACACATTCTTTCCAAAATTTATCTTTGACTATAATATACATGTAGGCCCCCTACCAGTTGTACCAAGTGCCACTGATTTATAAAGAACCCCCCCTCTACTTTCTCAACTTCCTACCAAAAGCTGTCATGGTATCAACCTTTCCTCGCCTCCCCCCCCCACCCCACCCCCAAACAAATCAACTTACTTTGCTTCCTTTGGGTCCAATAGGACCCTCAGGACCTGGGTATCCCGGCTGCCCCACATGCCCTGGAAGACCGATGTATCCTCTATCACCCTGGAAATAAGCAGGAAAAAAAATCAAACAGAATATACACTGACAACACATATTTACTCAAAAAACTGATGACCCCCCAGGGTGCTGAAAACTTGTCCATAGCAATGAAGAGAAATAAAGGGCCAAATCATGTTCTTAGTGTCATTCTAACTGTGTGCTGAGTCCTTGAATAGCTGGTATATCTATCATATTTAGACCAAATTAATGACAATTACGAGATTTTTGAAAGGTCACAAACTGAGAAACTCATGGATCGTCTTTAAATCATGCTATAAAGAGGTCTACCTTAAAATAACAAAATTGTTTGAAGCACCTGCAAAACAGTGCAAAGGGACCAACAGCAAGCTGTAGTGTAGACTCAACAAACATATCCCAACACTGCCAATAGGCTGCTGAAAGCCACAAACACCTGTTAATCTATTTCCTATCATTAATCATGGGTACATTTGTCCATCATCAGCTGAAGGGTCAGTCATCACTGATTACAGCAGCAAACTGCTACAGGTCCACAATGTCAAACTCTTTAAAATGGTCCAGTGGGACTCAAGGCTAAACTAGGAGAATGTTTAGCATGTCTAAATGTTCATAATCCGATGTAGGCAGGAACAAAAGAGGCACAAATTTTTTTTAGTACTCACCGTGTTTATGCGTTTATAATGGGATCAATGGCACGTGATCCCACGTTTGACGCGGAGCAAGCTGAGTACGCATAACACATTTAGTCCTTAAAGTATGGTCTTTGCATACATGCAGAAGACGTGAAAGAACCCGCTTGAAAAGCTTACTACCATATATCTTTCTTTTGCCGTTTGGGGGCACACTTCAACTCGGGGCAGATACATATATGTCTCTTATTCATAGTGACTGTACAATAAAAATAATCATGAGGGAATGTCTGCAGTAAACCTTCGTAAATGAATGGAATACTGATCCATGCTTCTTCAGCTTGTGAAATATTCCACTGTACATGTACATGTAGTTGTTTAGTGCAAGTTTTCCAGTATGTGGTAATGAGCACAAACAAACTGATCCAATTTTGTTGAATGGCCACCCCTGTGCTTGAAACAGTCCTTCTTAATCAAAATAAACTTTCAGTCCACTGGGTTAACACAGATGCTAGACTTGTTACACTGGGGATGTCTGGAAAGTCAGATGACTTGGAGCATGGAGGAATGCTCGAGATAGCCAGAATGCACCGTAGTCTAACCAAATGCTCTGGCCTTGAAAATCCATTTTGATTACTTGTCTGCAAATCATTTGCTATCCCTTTGGACCCTCCCCATACATATTGCTTCCTTGTGGTCCCAGTGGAGGCTCAACTATTATCAAGCCTATATGCAGTATGCACAGGTCTCCCCTAACTAGTCTGTATCCCCCCCCATGGTCCACCTGATATCTTGGATTAATGGTTGTTTGATGAGGGGGACCTTTGACCAACCAGGTATGTATCACCCAGAAATGAGCCAAGTCCGTAAACAACCAACTTTATTATGTTATTTACTCAATTTATATCAGAGGAACTGCAGCCATCCCGTTCCCTTAAAGCATTCCACTATCACCCCCTCCTAACTAAAAACTGGAGTGTATGACTTCTTTCCACACATGGTCTTTTAAATCAACAAAACTTTTCAATTTGTTGATTGACTCTACATTCTTATCTCTTCTGCCTGGAAAGGTGAGTGCTTAGCACAAAATGAGAAATGCACACATAACATTAACATTAATAACAAGCGCCACTAACGAAAATGTACCTGCCCTTTACGACTCAATCAAAACCCTTTTTCCCATGATGTATTCATTTCAGTCATGAACTTGTGATAAACATGGTAAGCCTCAACCACTTGAACTCAAGGATCAAGGCCAAAATGTCAAGCTGAGAGAAGCTTTCAAACCCAGAAGAACAAGTTTAGAATTTTAAGGAGTTGGGGTTTCCCTAATCATCAGCAAATGCTTGAAGCAATTTGAGTCATAAGCTGGAAAACTTAATAGTCCCACCTGTTTTTATTCCTACATTTTTGCTGATGGCAAGGGATTTATCCAACATCTGTACAACCACACATACATGTGTACAACTTCTGATTCCTAAAAGTGCATTATAATGAAACTTCTGAAGGTCTCCTGAAAGGATTAAGTTACATTTGGCATCACCATTTGGCTGTTTTACATTTATTTCAAGGTTTATCTTATCATTTGGCCATTTAGCATCAAGTAAAGGTTGGCTACCTTTACACTTTCCAGTGATACTGACATTGCACTGGACAGGAACAATTCCAGACAGGTCTGATGTGCACATTTTTTTTTCCAACCAAAATGCACTGACCCGAACCAAGTGCAAGATAACTGCTTCCTAACTTTACTTCAGTCATATAACCAGTGATCAACAGGTGCATCTCCGCTACTTGACTGATTCATTGGGTCTTTTCTGGCCAACCAAACAACTACTAATACTACAGTGTACCTCCAAATAAAAAAATTCTTACAGTAAACAAGAGCATTTGTTATTGGGAAAAAAAAAATTGACCTTGTGTCTTGTCGCTGGTTCCTGATGTCTGGGAATACAATTTTATTTACACACATCCCTATGTCCTATTTACCTCACACATACACAATAAACCCACTCCACCTAAACAAACCGGCTTTCACTTATCCAAACAAGGGCACAAACATTTAAAGAAATAGTTATTTTCCTTCATTTAACAACTTGTCAAAGCTGACACATTGAACAGTTGCACACCACAACACTGGACACAGTAACTTCCAGAAGAGTCTATGAGTATGACAATTGGTATATTATATCCACTTGCTCTTAGCCTTTTGGAGAGTTCCAATTTATCTTACTACAGGTATCAAGGTTGCATAACCAGGTAAGACAACATGGGACCTACAAGGCTACAGACATTACAATGGTCCACAGCAAATGAAGGCATGTTTGAACACAGATATGGGTTCATTATCAGTTTAATGGAAAGAAAAAACCAAACTGTTGGAACAGTGATACTATGATAGTCTCCATTTGGAGCTACATGTAATCCCTTTATTAAGCAAAGGACCATGGAGGTGTACATGTACATACTTTTCATCACTGGATGTTTCTGTACTGTGTCTTTTTTTGCACTTATGAAAATGGGACAAAAATGATGAAATCACAAACCTTCTCTCCTTTCGTTCCATTGCAAATACATTTGTCTTTCACACATCCTGTGCAAGCCTGTAGATAAGAAAACACAAAAAAGAAAATGCATATGTATTTTTCTATGTACTATGTATCTACGTTATTAAGCTTATAAATTATCCATGTCGTGACAGACAATCTTTCAAGTAACGAAACTTCTCTGTTTGTGCTCATCCATTCTTTGGGTGAACTGTGTCATTCTGTTTATGGCAGAGCCACATTAAGCAGTCCCATATTTGCAGCTTTAAAGAACAGGAATTTCTTATGGATTACATGTGTCAAGGTGAAAATCAATGCCCCAGTGGCATAATCATTGAAACACCATGTGGGGGAGTAAATTTATCCACACAAGCACTCTCACACCTGGCGTAATCTACCTTCACAGATTTGGTTTTTAATCTCCAGACTGGGATAACACAGCTCAGTTCCCATCAGTAATCTTCTCACAGTCTACTTTATCACCCACAAATCTGTCTGTCAGTCTAGTATTATCCACACTAACCAATGAAAAACAACTTTTTGGAGGGTTAACCAGCAACCCTAATCCTATGCATCACCAGCATCTCTTGAAAATATTTCTCAATCTTGGGAAAATTTCCCCAACTACCAATTCAAGCACAATGATAAACTGCCTACTCAGTGTATTGTTTTAATTTCTGTGTGATCAATTCAAAGACATATTTACAACAAATAAATGAATTAGTAAAATCTGCATCACCAGTTGACATGTGGGTAATCTAACAGAATTCTGTGAGGGTTAAACTTGCACTGCTGGAAAAAGAATTATCAAAGTTTCTCTCGTCTCCAAACTTATAAGTAAAATGTTTACATAAATATAGGGAGAATGGTAGTCACAAAAACATTGCAGACAGTGAACAGACCAACATAGAATAACATATCTTTTCTAAAACACTGGAGGCGGTAAAGGGTTGGGAAAACCAGACATTAAAGCTGCAACTGAAACTTCTGTTATCACTGCACATTAGTTCCAGGAAATCTAGTCTGGTGACTCTGGACAAGTTTTTTCCTTCTTTTGTCCCAGACGATTTCCAAACTATTTATGCGATATGAGCACGGGCCAGTGATAATACTGGTCCTGGTCTAGACGATCCTAGAAAAGACAGTGATATCCTGTATAGACAAGGTTGTCGTCTGAGTAAATTGTCCGTGGACCTGCAGTAGGACAAGACAATTCATGGACCTGTTCCTTTTGAAACAGACCCCCTCTTGAAAAATGCTCTCATATTATGACTCATTGGTGGCTTTAGAACTAACATTTGGGCAGGACTTAAAACTCAAATTCTTATTATTGGTTTCAAATTGTTTTCTGAAAAAAATTACCAGCAAAAAACTGACAAACTGGGATGTTTGCAGACGCATATACATGTAAACTAGTGTACACAATATGTTGACATTTAGCATTCTGTTTTATCAAACAGTCACGATTGCCCTTCGCTTATTTTGACAATTAGTCATTCTTCACTTCTTCAGGATTAAGATTTTAATTTCAATTTCCTACTGAGTTGACCCGATCATGCATGGTACAGCATTTTTTATCAAAAGCCCACAAGCACAATATGATCACTATCAACAAAAAGTTTGAGTGTTATCCTTGAGATCTTTTCTTGGCCCCAGTTCCCTGCTGCGTACCTGCACGTCGGAATCCCCTGACACCATGACATCCTCAGACCCCAAAGGCTACCTTTTACAGTAACTGAGACCACTTTTTGGTAATTTCAGACCAAGCAGAAACCAGAACTGTGAGCTCTGTAATGCCATCGGAGGCCAGTGAGTCTGGCGAAGCAGCCGAAGTGTGAGAAAGTGCAAAGCAAGCCATTCATTCCTGTCCCACAAGTTGACTGTGCAGGTAAATTTCTTCAAGCATTTGATGTCTTTGCAGTCACTGGTGCTTTATCTTGCAGGGTGGCTAATTACAAAAAATCCTAAATGGGGACCAGTGACCACTAGCACTAAGCCTGGACTTCCGAACTTTTAGCTTTCAAATTTTGACTTTAAATTGAAATAAAAAGAAAAGACTTGAATTAACATATTTAGAATTTCCTTTCAGGACTCTGGATTTTGTGAACAAACAAAGTCATGGTCACTTGATTTCCCCATATGGTTTCATTTATTATTCTTGGGCCAGGGGGAAATGGGCCAGGATTTTTGGCAACCTCGGCTGGGTGCTGCTACTAGCAGTGGCACTGGTCCAATAATATAATCACCATCACTGACTGATGGACTAGGAACGTCATGGGTTTGGTATGGACTGAGCTTAACCTACCCACCGACCCCAACCCCTCACATTCCCACATGTCAACCAGATGACCCCATGTTCCCAAGGGGGTTGGTAAAGGTTTTTTTTCTCTTCTTCCTGAGGGCAACTTTTTAAATTTAACTCCTTGGCCACTATAATAACTGTAAATATTAGTGTAAATATTTGTGGGTTAACATGGATGGAATGCAAGTACACGAGAATGAGGAAGGATGTAACATGAATATGCCTACTTCTTTATGGTGTGTTTCTCCCTTAATTAATTAACCAGAATTGCAATGAAAACGATAAAAATCTCTACAATTTCTTTCTAGTGTTTCAAGTAGAACAGTAAACAGTAAATTAAGTTACAAATTACATCGCCAGCCCTTAATCTTAGAACATCTATACATTTTTGTTTCAATCATTTTTAAAAACATCTATCAAGGTGTGCATAAATCATTCCAAATTACCTCTTCAGCCTGGGAAAGTATTCTTATTACACAAAACAAAGCAGTGAGTAATTCTGTGGATGATGTTACAAGAAAATGTTGAATTCTTACCGGGAACAGGGCCCTAAGATATGAAGAGGGCCCTAAACATAAAAGAAGGCCCTTCATGTATGTGCAGTTACTTGTTTTACAAAACAAATAATCATTTTACCCTTATTTAAAGTTATATTGAGCCAGAACATAAGCCTACATTTAATCAACGTTTACAGTTTCACCGTTTGAATTGTGACAGTGTTCTTTTCAGAACAAAATAAGGTGAAAGGGAAAAATTTCTGAAAGTTGGAGAACTTCTAAAATTTCACTTTAAAGGTTTATTTTCCTACCAGAAAAAAAAAGCCTGTCAGAGGCCCGCCATCAAAAAAACCAAGTGTGAAACAAAACGAGGCGGAAAATTAACTAACAAATTGATGTGTATTTTACCATTGTAAACCACTTAGCTCTTTTTATCAACTATCGCTTTGAAGTGCAGCGAACCAAAATACTGACTATTATCCTTGAACAAAGAGATTTATGTAGCCGAAAACAAGGACATCAATGGGCCAAGTTGACTCGAAGTTCACCTCAAGACAAGTCGTGCGTGCAGCACTCATGGGCGGCTAGAACGTGCGAGCCCTGTGATTCAGGGATCGTCGTCAAAGTTCCATATTCAGCCCACTTTCAACAACACAAAAAACTCACCACTGAAATGCTCACCCAACTATTTTGCTTCACTCTCAATCAATTTGGCAGAATATTACGTTGAAACTTAAACGTGAGGGTTTTAGGTTAGACATTCATAACTAGTACATTCCTGAAAATGATGTAAGTGCCAAATTTTGCAAAATGAGGAGAAAAGCATCCGTACTTACCGCTGCATTTGCCCATTCCGTCCAGACGAACAGAACCAGCAGGCAACACACGAGAACGTGTCGTTCGATAACTTCCCGATACTTCATTTTATTTTGTACAAATAAATTAATAAAACCAAAGTTCGTTCTCACGGACGCAGGAGTCTCCACCCTCTCCCGTCTTCAGAGGGCTCGTTGGGCCAACTCTCGGCTGCAGGAGGAGAGATTCGGCCAGATTTCGAGGGAGAAATCTCAGCTTGTACGAGCCATTCTGCCGAGGAAACGAACATGCAAACCTTCAGCCACAAACCTGAAGAATCGGCACTTGGGCCGAATCACAGTGAGCTCACCAATTCGCGTAGTTGTTGAGCTCACTGGAACTACTTTCTTTTCACAAAAGTTTATGCAGTTGACAATTTTTTAACAGTATTTTGAAATGAAAGGCTGCAAATTTTTTTTACGACTCGGATGAATGTAAACTGTTTCTAATTATTCTGCTGATTGCTTCCAGTTTTCCAAACATATATGCACTTAATCCTTTGAGCGGAGGAACTGAAAAAGGGGTGTTCGTGCTCAGGCAAAATTACCATATTCAATGATTCGAAAACGAAGCTATGCACGAAACTCCGTTAGACGATTTGATCAAAGTTTGTTGGGATACGGTTGGGAGAATTGTACTCCGATCACAGCATCCAAAACGACCGGTAGTGACCTGTACATGCAGGTGATTATGCAGTGAGGTTAAAAATAGCATTGTGATGCCCATACTTTACATGCTCATGTACAGTACCTCTCGAAAGTAAATGGCAGAATGTATTGAAAATAAGCAATAATTGCAAACATCTGCACCCTTCTAATGAAGATCGAATTTGTTCATTCTTTTCGATGCTTCATTGCTTGGTTATGTTACACGACTGTGCACGAGGCTTGCAACCACTTTGCTTCCATAACTCAATCATTTCAATTAACCCGACCCGAAGCCTTAAAGGTAGGCCTACTACATTAAAGGCCTAGTCCATTAGAAGTTGGCAACCTATTATTTATCATTGACAAGTTACACGTCACAAATTGACTGCATCGTATGACTTTGAATCAATTATCAACTAAAACTGCACGGCTCACAAAACGCGTGGGGGGTTGCACGGGCTGCTCAATGTTTGTGTTCAAAACGTACATAGGGCATCGTGGGGGTGTAAACCTCTCCTTTTGAGCATCAATAAATAGGTATCCCCCTATAGATAAACATATAGACACGCCTTTTAAAGTTAAACTGCCGTCAGGTAGGTAAACCCTTACCCCATACTTATTAAAGCCGAACACGGATCATCCCCTGTGGTATGAATATTGTTCCTTTGATTAAAAGTTCCGGCGACATCTGAAGAAACGAAGGTTAGCAACCTCGATATGATAAACAAAATAGGCCTTCTGGTGATCATCTTGTATCCAGACGTAAATGGGCTTCATAAAAATCCATCCAGATGGTGAGAACGACCATGGATATAAGACACACCCGAAACCCAGCAAACAGTCTGGATTGCGGATTTCTTACAAGGGGGTCCGGGTCAATGTATGCACTGATAAACATTTCTGTGTCATGAAATGTGTGGCTATTGTCATGGTAAACATGCAACACCGCTTTCGCAATCGTCTGGCCTTACTCCTGGTTCTGTCTTGGGTTCTTGGGAAGCACATCATTGGTATACCTGTATTATCAATCATTATCAAGATCGATGTTTCGGTTTCTATGAGTGTGGTTTCCATGGTCACGACTTAACTTATGGCATGGACGTGCAGACGTTCTTAAGATGAGTCTGCCTTGCCTATTGTCATGATTTATCACGATCTATTTCAAAACGTGATACCAGTTTCGATTGGTTGCCATACATAACTTTTTTTTTACAACTGCTTTAAATCAAATAACTGGTGGGATGCATTTTTTGCATTGAAGCATTATGGATCTATTATATATACACCGTGATTAAGTTGTATAAATCAGTTCAGTTCTTTATAAGGTTCATTATATCACCAGAATATTGTGCGTGAATACTAAATGGCAATCGTCCTAACACGGTCTGTTTCAAAGTAGTGTTGCAAAGGAAGAAAACGACTGATAAGATTGTATCTAGAGGGAACTTGTATCTGTCCTTCATGGTTTCCGTGTTGGATTGGAACTTTGTCTAGCCCGGCTCCATGGCTCTTGGGATACATGCCAAAAAAGGCTGGAAAATGAGGGAATTCAATCAGGCCATGAGGGAGGGACGAGTCTGTGCCTCTCGACCAAGATCCCCAGTTCCTCGAAAATCTTGAGTCATTCGTATATGTCTGGGTAGACTCTGCATAACATTTAACCTTTTTATCACCTCCAATGGCCAGGGACGCAACGAACGTCTTGTCTTCACATTCAGTCCTATATGTTTTATATGAATAACCAGAGCTCAAGCTAAACAACACTTGGTGAAAAAAAGGAGAAAGGTTCGCGATAATTTACTTAGTTTCCTGTCCTACGCACTTGTTACCGAGCATGACAAAACGCTTTACATGTTCATTAGATAATTATACTTTTATAACTTCAGAGAAAATGGGAGTAAAAGCAGTGGAATGTCAACCTTATGGAACCTACTGTGATAACCTGCTTTATGCGGTGGAGTCCAAACATGCTTATTTTGAGGGGGGAGGTTGTGACCAGGAATGTATACTAAGTCACTTTTAATACAGAGAAAAATATATTGATGTCATTCATTGGATCTTGGAAATAGATACATGTATAGTTTGTAAGAAGTGCAAGCATTAACACGATTTCCATATCATTTATTTTTAGTTTGGGTGCCATCGCTTGCTGGTACTGGTCGCTCCCGTCAGACTAGAATTACCAGGTCAGTCGTTGACGTTGCCACCGTCCGGATGTGGCATTTCACCGGGTGTCTGGTAGAATCGGGACGGTGGTGAGACGGGCCAGTACGGACTGGGCTAGTCGACACACCCAAAAACGTCTCCACCTGGCTGATGAGACAATTTACCGTCTGACCTGGCTAATTGCTATCGTTTGAACATTAAAGCTCAGTTCTGTAGAAATTTTCCACTACACACACGTAAATATCTCATTTTAGTCGGCAGGTTAGCTTTTAAAATGCTCCGAGGGGACCTGCACGCAAAATGTTTTATGATTTTTTTCACGGCATTGCTTGGTTTACAACACCACAGACACTTTTCACGAAACAGTGAATCCAGTGCGACATTTTTCATCCCTTGCAAATAATGAAAAAGCTTAGGAACCAACGGTTTATCTGGTTATTTTGTGTTTTATCACCAAGTTAGAACTGACGGCATAAGTGTAGGCCTATAGACAAAATGCAAACCATATCAAACCGCGGACACCATGTACACGACGCTGTTCAAATTAATCCAATAATTCAATTGCTTGCTGCAGGGAAATTTGTGCTTATTTTCTTTTTCACTGACCGGCAGGGATCATTAGATTTTGAAGTAGCAGACGGATTGGCGACGCTTTGCCTACAGGGAGGTCAACATCATAGCTGGACAGACTGTGTCCAAAAAAGGATCCATGAACAAACTGCTAGGGCAGTTTGAAGTCCATACTTTTAAACGACCTCCTTTTAATTCTACCAAATGTAAACTCGGATTTTTATAGGATCTGGTAACCTGATCCAACCACCATGAAGTGCGCCGTGTATAGCCTGCCTGTGCATGTGTTTGGCCATAGGCAATGTTCTATTTCTTTTGTTTTTCGTTTGGAAACATGATCCTCAATGTCGGATGCAAGTCATGACACATTTATACCACATACGTGGATCAGAATTTCACATGTGTTATTAAGGCCAATGAAGTTGTTTCGCGATGTGAGCCTGTCATTCTCGCCATTAGCCACACCCCAGCCAGATGAAGGAGGGGTCACCTCCGATCTGTATAGTAGGCCTATACATGCCGGTCGAAGACGACCCCAAAAATATTGACAAGGGTAAGATTTAGGGGAAACTCTAGAGCTATGTTTCATCCACGAGGCTTAAAAAATTCCTTTTCAACCTTTTCCCGAGCACAACAAATGATGGAGGCATTTTGTACCACACAAAGCATTGTCGTGTAAAACTTAAGCAGCCCTTAAGATAGTTTTTGCGATCACTAGCTTCCGAACACAACTTTTCGTACTTCCATGTAATGGCACATTGCATAGATTGTCTGCAGGGTGTGCTTGCCATGATCTACAAGGGAAGAAAATGAAGTATCCTCGCCGTAAGTTGATTTTTACCATGATGGAAGGAACATAGTCAGGAGTTAATATACATGTGCAATGCTTGAAGTTGTTGCAACTGTGTGACGGCAAGAACCTGCACGAGCTTTTCTTCATCAGTTGGTCTTTGCAAAAAAAAGGGGGAAGAAAAAATTCTCTGTTTGTCGATTCAACGACCTCATCGAAGGTCGATGTACATGTACGTCTCCTGGCATCACGTGCGTTTTCTAACATACGCGCTGGATAATTAATTTGCTTCTTTTCAAACATTCACCACCCTGTACCGTTTCTAAAACCGTTGCTGAAGAAATTGCACAGCAGAGAGCGGGTTTGATGAGTCCCAACGAAGAGGAGACGTCTCTTTATAAAGAACCCCATTTAGTTTCACAGCCAAGATTTGATCTGGGTCTAGGTTACTTGCTCCCACACGAACTGTTATCCACGAGACGATGTATGGCTCCCAGCTCGTGAACTTTGCAAACGGTCAACTTCATTATTGCGCGCTGCGGGAGCCGGGACCCCAAGGGCTGTGTGGTTGGGAAATTTTTGTGGCTGAGGTCTGCATGTGTACGGTTTATATTTTGCTGGTTTAAAACCATATCAACATAAAAAAATTTTAAAAAGAAAAAACTGAACCTTCGTGCGTATGTGCTTAATTGGTATAACAGCAAGGCAGTTTTGTAAGGCCATTCAACGAAATTACTCTTTTCATTGTGATGCGACAATGGCTCAGTCCCATGCATAGCATGACTGACGGAGCAGTGGCAACGAAAAACAAAAACTATAAAAAAGCAACCGTAACAAGATTAATAATTTTGAATAAACAAGTGTGTTTTTTATTAATTAACTGACCTATTGTCATGACTAATATGACGACTTAATTGTCCAAAAATATCTCCAGATGACGTTAGTCATCAAGTTTTGTGTACATATTTGTCAGGTGGCTGATCCAGATCCATATTGTATTTTTAGACTCCGTTTATTTTTCTCTGTGGTTTCGACTCGTCATTTTTACCCCTGCTGTGACCTAAGACCAGGAAATCCCCAGTCTCTACCGGAAACATTAAAAGCAGTTAACTGTTATCACAAAATCGGTAATTAGGAAACGGGACACTGTTCGGAAAACAACCACCAGAAATCACAAAAGAAATGACTATATATCATATCATAAAGGCGCAGACTTTATTAGTTTTTTCTTGACTGAGTAAATCTGGCTGAGCCACATTGGGATCCATAGGCGTATTTCGAATTCTTTTCATACACGATTTCATTGATAACTACATACAGTCGCATGGAATGAAATGGTAACTAAAGTGAAAGAAGTTTGGGGTAAACTGAAGTTTTTATTTGAAGAGAATTTTAAAGTCGATTGTCGGGGGAACACGTAGAAGGGAATTCGAGAAACTTATCATATCAGTTGCAGCTTGAAAAAAATACTTGCTGTTAAAGACCAAATGGAAGGCGATTTAAGTAATCACGACATAGGAGAGGTCTACAGGGAAAACCAAAAAAAAAGGGTGAAAGCAAAGCCCCTGTACTTTCGCAAGTGAATTGGTTCATTCTTCAAGAATGTCGTATTTCCCACAAGACGGGCGCGAACTTAAAACCGAAACTGGATTAGCTTTAGGCGTTACGAAACGTCCAGACATCGACTTCAGAAAATTCGACGAGTTGATAACCGCCGTCTGCCTTCGGTTGATCAAAAAATAATTCTCCCAACCGGTCTGGCCATCGCTCCGCCCACCTTTCCACTCCGTGCCGCATCGTCTGCTAGCTGCAGTCGTCGCAACGGGTCTACCAGCGCGGTTCCACAAGAACCTTTCCACTCGCCCGGACAAATAATTCCCACAAAAATTGTCCATTTCTGGAGCAGAATTCGGAATTTTTTCTCCAAGGGGCGAGTGATTTTTGCCTGGAACCAGCACTGAGCAGACGGCGAGCTTTTTCCTTACTTTGGAGAGGTTTAGACGGGTACATGTAGATCGAGTCAGGAATTCGTCGGGTCGTCGTTCGGGGGTATTTTTGTGTGCAGAAACGGCAAATGAGGGCATGAAATTGGAAGCTTTTGCTGAACTTTGCCGCATTTTTAGCGGCCAGAACTCTGCACCTAGGATCCCTTCACCAATGATGTGGAGATGGTAAGAACCCTATACATACGTTCAACATTTATCTTGTCCATGAAGTCTCTGGTTCAGTGCTATTTTCTTGCAAAATGTGCACTCTCGACAAGGCCAAAACAAAAGTGGTTTGTGTTGTGCTGGCTGTAGTGTAAGGGACCACCTAAAAACGTGATCTGACGTGCTCGAGGCAAGATTGCAAGGATCATAGATCTCAATGCAAATGTTTTTTTTTTGTTTAGTTTTATTTTGTTTTGTTTTGTTTTGTTTTGTTTGTTTATATATACAATGATAGTTACTCCTGCCGGTAACACTACTGTGTACTTTGGGCACTACTCTGTTCAACAGACTTTTAATTTAATGATAAATTTCATTTATTATTGCTGTAACTTGTAAGAATGCATTTCTTGTACCAATTTTCTCGCAAAATGAAACTGGTTTCACAGTTACAGTTTTTGTGAGACATGCATTAAGTATAATTACTATCTATAATCTGAGACAGCAGAAGAAATTAAATGATCCAATTTTTCCTTCTTTTCTTGTTCTGTCTAGGGGAGTAGTTGTAATTTTTCTGGCTGTTCTTGGATCAAGTACAGCACAGCAGGCAAGTAACTTTACATTTCTAAGTTAAATAATTTGGTTTGCATTTACTGTAAATGCTAGCTTTTGGCCATGTATTGACCATTGAGCATTGTGTTAGGCCTTAGGAAACCCCACATCCTTGAGTCTTACGAATTTCTTCTGGTCTGGTACATTCGTATTTCTACAATTTATAACCTCACCAAAAAGAAAGAATTCTATCGTTACTCTCAAACCTATAGTTAGAGTGAGAAAACCTAATAATTTTATTGGTAGCCTGGAGCAAGCATGGCCCAGACTGCAATGTGGGGAAGATTTTATTGTCAGCAAATTTGGGTTTGTATTGTAGGGATTTTTGTGCGTCCCCATCGTTACTGGTCTCCCACAATATCTGTTGTCTAACAGCGCCTCCATATCTTTGAAGAAATTGTAGGCTATATATTTGTATGTGGGGGGGGTGTCTGTTCACCATTTTTCTTTTTCTGGGGGGTGATACTTCCTTGAAAGGAAATGACTCAGTTGTCTTCTGATGAGCTGTCCTCAGGTACAGTACTTGGACAAGTCTTTAATCAGACTCCAGCTATTTTCAAGAGACCAAATCTTATCTCACATCCTATCTAGCACTCTCATGCTAGAATCCTTTGTAGCATTAAACTGTTAATAGAAAGCATTACAGTTTGTTCAGCTCAGGAAGCTTGCTAAGCTGATTGAAATGTGGGAGTTGTTTATTGGAATGTTTACATGTTGGAAACCCCCCACACACACATGTACACCACCCCCTCCATGTTTTTAATCAGAATAATTTACAGAAGAGTTGTGGCAAATGAGCATTGTTGGTGTTTATTGCAGGTTTAATGTGTTAAGCCTATATAATTAAACAGTGCCAGTGTTAATTTGTCAACTCCTGTAACAGATTTCAAATTTACTGTCATTTTAATTATAATTACACTGTAAACTTTCAGAATTTCAAAAGCACAGAAAGTTGGCCTTGGTGCCTTCCTCTCTCAACCTTTTCCCTCTACTACCCCACTCCACTCCCTCCCCAGTCAGTTTAATCCAGCTGAATCATCATCATTGTTGTCAGTACTTCATCCAAACTTCCTGGGGAATCATCAGTGCGTAGGCCGGTGCACTGCACGCAAAGCCATGTTCAGGCTGTCGGGAGACAGCAGGCACGTTTCCTGCAGGAAGCCCAATTTTGTGAAGGAAATTTTCATTTCAGCCAAAGAATTATTTCTCTTGTTCTACAGCCAACATGGCTGAGTTGCTGAATGCTAAAAAGTCTAGCGCCCTCCCCTATGTAATATGCCTGGTTTCGAACAAGGAGCAATCGTCCATTCATTAATCCAGAATTTGCCGTCAGGCATCAAATTTGCACATCTCACCTTAGGTTGCTACGCATGATGTATGTTCGTGATCACGAGTTAGTTTTTCAGGAAGTCGGTGATTGGGTGGCAAATAATTTACCTCTAACCAGGCATATGTACAAACTACTGTGCATAAACTTTAACTTGAACTTCTGTTGTACACCACAGGTGACCTAACATTCCTCAATCTCTTTATTTTTTGAGAAATGCTGAAGAGAAGTATAACGCGTGCGAACAGTTATTAGGTAGACGGAAACAGTTTGAAGAAAACATTGAATTTGAACTGTTGTAAGGTATGATCACAGTGACAATATTTCTGTGCTGTTCATTGGAATAATAAAATTGCTTCATAAATTGCCACTTTTTCAAATCATTCATTTTCTGAAATTCTGTAAAGATTGCATAATGTTTTTGCTAGACTAAATAATGGGCCTGTTTGTTTCACACGGATCCAGATCTCCATCGGTGATCCCAGTGCTGGTTCATACCATCCACTATGGAGCAACTTGTACCTGTGTTACTTAGTGATAAAAAGACAAACCCTTGTTACATGTGAAATCGCAGCACTTACACATTTGTATCCAATCCTACACATGTTTTGAAACAATAGCTCAGCTGTCAAGTTTATTTGTACATGTATTTATGCACATGTGCCTTTTTATTGGAACCATCTGATAGCAGTGGGTGTTGGTTGGAGGTTCCCAGGGAATACCAAGGTCAACAAGTCAAGGCAAATTCAATGAATAAATCCACAAGGTTTCTAGGTGGCGCCATACCCCATGCAGTTGGACTTGTAAACTGCACCTTTTTTTCCTCCTGCTTTTTATTACAGCATCGGCCTTGAGGAAACACTGTCAGGGGGTGATATGTAACACTGAGCATTGACACCATTTTGTAGGGATCGTGACCCCAGGAATTTCACAGTTTAAAGTTGTGTGCTCTGCAAGTGACTTTGTTTTTGATTGAGAGGTAACAAAATTGCTTGGGAGGGGGAAAAAAAGCACAGTCTCAGACAAAAGAAGCATTCTTTGTCATTTGTAATGCCTAGAAATGAGATTTGTAAATATCTAGGTAAGCTTGTAGCTGTATACAGGAGCAGATATTAACTGCATTGTCCTATTCTGTACCATTTAAAGTGGTTGATATAAGGTTGTTTGTAAAGAAATCATTTCCAAAGTCACATGCACATACGGTTGCACAGTTACAAAACATGTGTGAGACATTAGTTGAAGAGGCACAAAGTAAATGGTTGACATGTCTTTGTAATCTATTTTTTTCCCTTTCTTCACTAAGGGTCACATTTCACAGACAACCTAATCAGATTGATAAATTGGTACAGAATGTATTCTTGTCTTGAAAAGGTATGGTTACTGACTCCACGCCTATCCTTTTAGTCAGTGATAATTGTTGTATGTCATAACCAGATGTACAGGATGAATGCTTAGACTGTGAGTTATCTGTGCAACCCTGGCTGCCGGGCAGGGCAAGACTGTCGGTATTCCTGTTGGATTCATTTCCCTAACATGGGATTGCTTCAGTCAAGGGTAGCGAGCAATGATTCTCACTTGTGCTGTGTTAAAATGGATAATAAGCATAGGCCCAGTTTCATGGGACAGACAAACAGATGAAAAGTATTGCTAAGCAAATTTTAGATGCAAGAAAACCATACATGCATTGAAAAGAACATGCTGTTTAAGACAGTAACCTTTACCTTTTTTATAGAAAAATTTCTTTGAAAATGTTAAAATGGTAAAAATGGTAGCCTGCAGAATTGATTTTTATAAAAATGGCTTTGAAAAAAAAATTTCAAAGAATGCAAGACCACAAAATATTTCTTATATCAGTGGTTCCTCCTCTTGCACAGAAATAGACGTGGTATCTTTCATCTCATACGGCAGGAATTGTTCTGATAAAACCTAAATACCAAGTTCTGATAGAAAGAGATTGTCTGCTGATAACTTTTGAATGTACACACACACAATACTGACTACTTTTAATTCATATGGTTTTTATATGCAGAATGACTGTCGAAGAACATGTGCATATTGCAGTTGTAAAGGACGACAGGGAAAGAGGGTGAGTAGCCTTTTGAAAAACCCTGGGATGTGGTCATGATCACACGGGTATTGTTGGTGCTAAACCTTAAATCCATCATCCTGAAAATTTCACACTTACATCACAAACTTTACTATTAGTAGAATGCTGATTCCGAATACAGCTCAGTGGATGGAGGCTTAATTTAATGGCACCTGTCTCGCATATTAATCAATTTACATGTAGCATCTATGCACTTTGTAGTTGATCTGTTGCCTATCTCATTACCATGGAGACATAAAGCCATTTCATACTCTAAATGCCATATTAGTCTAGAGTTTCAGGAACAGGAAATAATGCAGACTTGCTTGTATAAGGTTCGTACTTGTCCTCATCCAAATGAATAGACAATGATGAAAAAAAAAGCTTCATTGAGGTAGATGTCTTGACCATTAAGGACAAACAGTGTCTCAGGATTGGGTAAAGAAGTCATAAGTTGATTTTCTCTGAGTATGCACTGAAGGCTGACATGGTACACGTACGCTAGTAGTCCACATCATGGACTTAAGAGTAATTTCAATATATTGTCATATATTTACCTGCATCATTATCTACAAAGACTCTTTGTTTCCGAGCACAATACCTTCTTGGACCAGTTCCCGGCATCAGTTTACTTCTGCTTCATTTTCCCAGTTTAAAACCGCCCTCAGTACATTCTAACTGTTCATTGGTCTTACATTCTTGGCATGATATCTCATTGTGGAAATTTGCCAAGTATCAACTTAGAAGTAGAAAACAGTTGTGGAATGTCAGTCATTGAGTCCATGGCTGGATAATTTAAAGAGGTATGTCTCATTTTCTCAAATTCGGAAACCAAAAAGGCCGAAATTCCACAGACATTGTCAAATTATAAGTAAAATATTAGTATTATTATTTTTAATGAATTGTTGATTATTCCTCGGACTTTCAATTAATGAACCAAAAGGGAATCTTTGCTTGGAATGAAAATACATCTTTGTTGATATTTGGAAGAAGGTCGAGGCCACGCTCGTGTCTGTGAGCATTTCTCACATCCTGGAATTAAACCAACAACACTGTAAAAAAAAAAAAAGTCAAATGGAGGTATCACCCTGTTGCACCCCAAAGTGTCCCAGCACTGTGGACACAATTAAAGGGAAGTTTGTTTTTCCATTCATCTGTTCATCAGGACCCAGACAGTGCTAGGTTAAGAAAAAAAAGAGAGAAGAGGCTGCAAGAAAGATAACAAAGGCTCTGACCAGACCGTGTTTTTGTCATTGCAGGCCTATTATTGTCTAGCTACCTTGGCATTGCCAGTAGGTTTAAAAAAACACCAGCCGTCTGGCAGGAAGAGAACTGACAAGCTCCCGCCCATTCGATGCTGTAATAGCTTCCCCTAGGTATCCTGACTTATCCTGATAGTACAGGAATCACTCCTGGAAGATCAGATCAATTATGCCTGGCTCGGACACTACAGTCAGACAAATTTGAAGGGGAAAAAAAAGAGCTGCAACAATTTTCTTCAGGGAATGTGTAGATTGTCTAGACATATGCACGGGCAGGAACCACAAACCAGGTGGCTGATTTGGAGGACTTGCCCCTTTGGTGATGAGTGGGTTTTGGGAATGAATGAATCTGCTGATCCCATCCCACGTTTGTTGTCAATATTGGAGGGCCGCCAGGCAGCCCAGCTGCACCCCCTCCCCTCCATCACGCTGGCACTCGCACACATCCAGACCCAGTCGCAGCTTGTCCTTGGTTCACCTGGGACTGAACTTTTTTCGGAGGAGACTTTAGAGAGGAATGGTTGACACTTGTATGTTTGGTAAATGGATATGATTCATCTTACCTCTGGCAGGCCTTAGGGTCATTGCAAGCAATAAAACAGGCCTTGTCTGGGTTAAACGGGTGGGATCCAAACTCATGGTCAGGCAAATTACTGCTGTGTTGACCCTCTTCAAGGCTTGAGTAGAGGTCAGTCCCTTGCCAACAGTACCTTGGGAGGGGCAATAAACACCCAACCTCCCTCCCCCCCCAAAAAAGAAGTAAGTACATGTATTGTTCTTCCTGCAGACAGAACCATTTCATGAGAAAAAAAGGCCTGTATCAGTCATTAGTTTGGCTTGACTGTCCAAAACACTGTTGGTCCTCAAGTGAAATGTTTCATGTTGACTACAGTTTTGTGACCAGAAAAATTTATCAGTTATTCCAACTGGAATGACTTGACTATCAATGTCAGAAGTGTCTGATGTGTGCATACTATCTCTAAAGGGCTGGAGTGTACTATTTAGTTCTTGAGAGTATTCATTGTGTTGACGTGCCCATTTGTTTTGTGTGGATTTCCTTCCCTTTATGTGTATCCAGGCCTGGAACACATGTACACTTGTACATGATGTCTTACCCTACAGTTCTGGGTGGGTGCACATCATTTCTCATAAGCAATAAATTGAAAAGAAAGTTTCTTGCACGATGTAATCGAAGGTGCAAGGACTTTGTCAACGACGCGAATAAGCATGCCTTGATTTTGTTTGACAAACGATGGATTGCTGAAGATGTTTGCTGTCGACTTTCATTTGCGCAGCTCATTTGTAATAGGCAGATAAACATTTGGAAAGAAATGAACTGCTGAAAATTAGATAAGTGATAATGTAGAGCTGTTGCAACTGGAGTTTTATTCATCACAGTTCCAGAGAGAAGAGAGATTCTACATTTCACTTTCCATGTATTTCACTACGTATTTTTCAGACCTTTTGTAATGGATGATGAAATAAGTCAGTTCAGGTTGAAAGGAAGTTCCGTGACAAATTGAAGATGAAAACACTCACACTTGAACTGAGAAGTTGGTAACACCAGCTCAGAAATGTGACCTTCAGCATATGTAACCTCCATCAGAACATTGAAGGACAGTCTATTTACAGCTTTAAAAAAGTCAAGGAAATGGCTCTTTTAATGTACTTCATGGAGTAGACATGATGAGGCATTTCCACCTCCATAACCTCCAACTTTGGTCATCCAAGGCTCCCATGTGGCATTCACTTCACATTGACTGGTGTTATAGAAATTACAGAAAGAAAGTGGTTGGTTAGCTCAGAAGTGATCAAGGTTAAACTTGCAAATTTCCTTGCTCTGTGGTTCAAATTACCGGTTTCGTGTGCAGAGAGACCTGTTTTTATTCTCCTAACAGTTGTACTTTTTTCAAAGTACTTCTTGTTCAAAATGCCACCTTCTGCCCTCTGTTCTGCCCAATAAAGAGTAATGGGTCTCTCACCCCCTATATGTCAAGATGGAAGGGAACAGGTTAAATGTCAGTCATTTGTTATCTACAAATCAGGTGTGCCACACACAGAGATTGGCCATATGGTTTCATTGTGCCTCTGGCTGTTTCAGTAAGGATCCTTTCTGCAGCAGATCCTGGTTACTCTCCATCAACCCTTGTTTGAATTCCCCTTTTTGTGACTCTGGGCACAGGCTTTGGACTTTAGTGCATTTTGAAGATATTGAATTGCTCAAGGCACTTTCATAAAGTTATGGGCCAAACCCCTCTTCCTTTATCTTCCTTTTTTGGATCCGGATCGTTATACCAGTACTTTGATAAAATCACTCCTTACATGTCTCTTACATAAGAGAAGAAGGCGTCAAGACTGGCCCAACAGTATTTGTTGATTCATTTGTTGTTGTTACACTGCCAGAGATTCGGAAAAGCTACTGGAAAATGATAGAATAATATACACCTGCAGTGCCTTCATATACATTACAAGCAAGCAGCTCTCAGGTTTGTGTGATAACAGTCAGTGTCTTGAGGGCAAATGTGCCTGCTTTTACTTGAACGTCAATTAAAATGACTGCAGCTACTGTATACTCGTGAGATGCAGGCCATGGTTAGATCAAGCTGAAATATTTATGTTTTAATAGACTTACAGTTTTAACCTAAATAGATCAATCTTCTGCTGCCGGCCTCACACCGCGTCCCCTTAGAAGACCCCTTTATCCCTTTGTCTGTATCTAATTTGACAAAGTAGAATCCCCTTCTTTTGTATTGTTTTTCTGTAACTTTTCATGAACAGCACTCTGCTTTAAAGATTTAAAGTTGTGATTGGAGTTTCATTTCCCCCTTGAAGATAGAAATTCCATCGGTGAAATGTTAGCCTGGGATCAAAGCCCTGACCGTGTAATCACCCTAAGTAGTAAGGCAATCATGTCCACCAAACGCAGGGAGCATGTCCAGAGCCTGACAGATATGCAACTTGTACCCTAGTTGGGGGGCCGGGAGATAAACATGAAAAATCATGTGCCAGCGAGAGACGAAAGAGAAGAATGGTGTGAGGTACATGATGGAATCCATGTTCGTGACGGGGTTGCTCAGGTCATTCAGATACGGCTGTCAGTAAATAATGTTGGGGCAGTTTGCTTGGTTTTGCTGATATTGAAGTCACGCAGGAATCAACGAGGGGTCGGGTACCTTACTCAGAAAAACAAAGTGAAATCAATTCTTAACACTGTCACCGGCACTGAGAAAATGTTGAAGTTCCTGCCCTTGAAAGAGATAAGTTCTTTTATAAACTGACAACTTTGTGTCTATTTTTTTCAGTAAGGATATACAATATATAAAAAGGGATGCATGAGACTGGCTTATGACCATTGTCACTAAAGGCAGTCAGTTCTGTACATTGTCACTAAAGGCAGTCACAGTGGGTAGTGTAATAATGATAATAACATGTAGAACATAGGCCTGCTGTCACATTGTTGTTGTTGCAGCTGCAGCAGCAGCAGCAGCAGTGCAGCAGCAGTAGTAGTACTAGAAATTTAATGGGCAGATAATGTGTGACATGGACTAGTCCTAAGCACATGATGGCAGTCACCAGGTGCCCTGCATTGACAGCTACTTCACTTCCTGTGGAGTTGAGGAAGTCACACAGTGTGACTGACCACCTCACATAAATCATGGGTAAGGCTCAACAGGTGCTGTCTATAAAATACCAGTCAGACCCCACCCCCCAGTGACACTCAATATGGTCAACCATCATCACCTCTTTGTGTGTTGATAGCTAAATTGAATTAAGTACATAGTAATTAAGGTTAAATTACTCACAAATTGTCAAGCTTCTTGCCAGACAGTCTAATCTTGGAGGGTCTATCCTTTTGCACAAGATACATGTAGCGCTCCCACTTCACACTAAAAATGTGCATGGACATTAGGCATCTTTGTTCAAAAGTTTGTGATGGTAACCATCTATGTGTGGGGAAGGAAGAAAATATCAAAGACCAATTGTGTGAACTTGCTTTGGGAGTAAGACACTGCCCCTCGCTAGCCTTATCAAAAGTAACCTGTCCGGCATTTTGTACTCTCAGTAACCTTCACGTAGGTCGAAATGTTCACTTTGGTACTCTGTGTCCTATATAGGGAATTATCATACATGTATACTGTATGATATGTACACACAGGTGCAATTAGTCCCCTGTGCAGGATGACAGGTTGAAAGAAAAGAAATGAAAAGGTAATTGAAATGTAGTATTGTGCTCATAAGATGGATAGTAGAGTAACAGGTGTTGGGTGTAGAGGGGTTAATTGATTACCGGTACGTTGATGAATATTGGAAATCCATTTTCACTGTGGCGTAATGTCCCGGTATTTGCTTCTCTTCTATCAAGTTCTCTTCCTAAGTTTTCTCTTCAGAACTTAATTTGTTACAATTGTTAGTGGAGTGGTAAGGAGTTGGCATTTCCACCAATGTCTAAATGATGGTGAATGTAAGATACCCTCAGTAGCATCTGCAATACTTGTCATTCGCAGCAGCTACAGGTTGATTCCCGTGCTTGTGGACTATCTGAAAGAAGGAGGCATCATACTGCCAAATCAGCACAAAATGGTTATCACTTAATTCGCAGATGAAGTGGTGTCCCAGGCCAAGTGTCTTCCCAATGCCCTCCTGTAGTCTGGGCTGTGTTACCCCCTGTGAAATACCTGCAGAGTCACCATGTTGAGTGTCTCTAGGAGGGCATGCCAGAAGCACCAAGAGCTAACTCAGTCTGCCCAGGCCATCGGCCGTCACCTCTGAGCATGCCCAGTTGTCATGTGGTGGCTGGGTAGTGGTTAGACCATTGATTCTTTGGGAAATAATTGGAAAGGCAAAATAATGAGCTTGGGGTTCACTAGTTCAAAGAGGCGTGGTCTGGCAAAGCTGTTGCATACCATCAACAATTACCAAATGGTTAAAAGTGTGTCATCAAAACATGAAGGGCTGCGACCGAATCTCAGCGATTATCCTTCAAATCCGTACAAGCCAGATACCAAGACAAGTCTAATCTTTCCATCCTCTTTGGTCGTGGCTACAGTTTCATCAAGGAATGCGGCTATGGCATCCAGATGGGATGGCATCCCATGGCCGGTTACCAGCTGATTATCTCACATTAAGTTCACAGGGTGAAGCTGTCCTAGATTTGGAGGCAACTGCTGGAAAGAAAAAATGACCGTTGGTATTTGTAGGAATAAATGTTTCCATTGTGCAAAAAATAGTTTAGATCATCACTCAAAACCTTAACCCACATTTTCCTGAGTGCTTGCCCCCAATCTTAACTTTTACCCAAGTTAGTAACACAGTTTTCATCAGCTGACTGACTTGTTCTACTTTTCAGACTCTTGACTGCTTTGAACAAAAGAAGAAGTCCATAATTAGTGCTCATTTTTATTGACTATCAACTACATGTATATGACCATGTGTCCTATATACCCAAGGGTAGAAAAAAAGAGAAAAAATGCCCAAAGCTTTCTTATTTTGTTTTTGGGAGGGCAGACCACAGTAATGGAGAAATAAAATCCAAATTGGCAGTCTTCACTGACCACACTCTTGGGATATAAATGTTTATCACATCAGGTTTACTGCCAAATATTTGTCCCTTTCTGGTAATAACAAGAGGCAGTTTGTCCAGATTGCTCGGATAAAATGCCATTTTATTCTTGCTGAAAGAGGGAATATCAAGTCAGTTTTATGAACCAGTAGAGATAGGCCTACTGGTGAAATGTTTGTGTGGGATGTGTGACATGTGTATTTATCACTTCCAATCACATTTGTTCCTAACTTGTGCAAGAAAATCTGTCACTCCAAAAGTGTGTGTAAAATGTCCTGATACCTACACATAAAATTGTTTACTAAAATTATGGTTTTTAGTTTTAAAACCAAATTGGAATGTATCCTTGTGTTATTTGATGGAGTCTCGTTCTCGTTGAAACCTGTGTTCCGGTTTGTAAAGTTCCTTTGAGTCAGACAAAATGATTTGTAATTCTGACAAGAAATAAAAATAAAAAACTAACATTTCCAAGGTTTTTACCCGTAATGAGTGTAACCTGAGAAAATTTCATTGAAGTAGAGTAGCCTAAAAGGCCATTCAAAATGTTCAGTGTTTTAAATTTCTAATTTCTTCCAAAATATTTTGACCCACCCACCCACCCCTTTGATGTGAATTGAATGATGTGAATTGATGGTGTAATTTCAGGGAGACCCTGGCCCTGTTGGACCAGAGGGAAACAGGGGAACCCTAGGCATCCAAGGCTACCGGGGTGTACAAGGGCCCAAGGGTGATAGAGGTGATCCTGGAGCTGTGGGACCTAGAGGTCAGAAGGGTGACCAGGTGAGTTGATCAGCTGATGCACTAATGCCATAATGGTGATTTGCCAGGTTGTGCCAAGGTAATATGATATTTGGATCCAGCATCCAAGGGTGACTGGGAGGTGAGTTGTAGCTCACACTAGGTTTCTTGATAGGGGCTAGAGGTGAAAGGTACACTTGGTGAATGGTTGTACCTGTAGTTGTTTCTAAAGAAAGGACTTGATACTGGAGTTTGGAAGGTGGGGGGTCAGCAGTTGTAATTGGATATGAAACAGATGCTTCATCTTAGAAAAACTAAGGTCAGTTGCAAGATACAGTATTAGAAAAGTCGGCTGTTTGATGAGAACGTATAGTTTTGGGGTTTTATTCTCAAATGAGATGAATAATTAAGGGAATATTACCAAATGATGTAATGATATGATTTTTTTCCCTCTTTCCTGCAGGGAATGATGGGTGTTCCGGGATTTCCGGGGTTAGATGGGTATACAGGCTTGCCTGGCCCTAAAGGCCCGTATGGTAACCCAGGTGTCCCAGGATGCAATGGTTCAGTGGTAAGTCAATCTTGTCATGTGACAGCCTCTTTGAAGTCAGGTGTCACATTCGTATATTGCAATGTCAAATGTTCTAGTGTGTTAATCTTCATTCCACGTACGTGTACATGTATGACAGTCGCATTGGATGGTTCGTAATTTTGCAGCAAGTACCATTGCACTTAAAATTTTGATGATCTTTTTTCTCCTGTATCTGCTCACAGGGAGAGTCTGGTGTTCCAGGAAGGGGAGGTTACGGACCAGTAGGTCGACCGGTAAGTTGGAATATTTTGGCTGGTGGACTTTCTGTCAATACTTAACTCCAGACATTGCAGGGTTTAATCCTTTCAGTAGATGAATGTCTCTGTGTAACTGCAATGGCAAAGTAAACTTCATTTCTGTTGTTGTCTATGAGAAATTCCCAGATACACTGCCGTCATTGATGTCACTGTGTCTGACAAGTGGGTCCCCCCAACAGTGACATAAGCAAATAAAAGCCCCACCCCCACAGACCTGACTCAAATGTTTCAGCCAGCACCTGTCAGCGTTTCCAAGGTCAAAGGCTTTGTCCCAATCTAAGATTGATACTGGTGTATTCTCCTCATGTTTCATTGGATTAGCTACTGTGGAGTTTGAAGTTGCCATTTCTGGTGCGTAATTTGATTCATGCTGAATTGTATTTGTATTAGGGTTTCAACGGCCCCAAAGGAAGCAAGGGTGAACCAGCGCCTTATTCCCCAGCCATTACAGGTGCACGAGGTGAACCTGGTTCTGATGGAAATGATGGCCGACGTGTAAGTAGCCTGCCTCTGCATGGGTGTCAATTCAGGCTGATGTCTGTGGCGCCCTCATGAGACAGCCAAAGTCTGAGTAGTGTGTGTGTGTGAGGGGGGGTGGGATGCAAATGCTGACATCGTGCATGATTTGGTGGTAGTATTGATTTAAATTTAGGCAGTGATCGGCTTTTGCCTGGTTTCTGATGGACAGACAGCTGGATTGATTGAAAGATTCTTTGATGGACTGACTGACAGAGGCAGTCAACCACAGGTTGATTTTGTCTGGTATCCTGAATGTATTTTGTGCATAGGTTACCACGGAAACAGACTGTCATGGCTCAAACTTGCCCTAAACTAATTGATGGATGCATCAATGGACTGATTGACAAATGAACTAACTGATTAATTGATTGCTTGTTCACTTGATCAATTACTTGATTGACTCTGTCCCAGGGCCCAAGTGGAAACCCAGGGCGTCAAGGCCAGCCAGGAGTCCGAGGCCCCAAAGGATTTCAGGTAAGTCCTCTGAGACTACTTTACAGATCAATTTCTAGTTCCCCAATCATCTTTAACCACTTGTCGCCAGGGGCTCCGTTTTCGGGTACTGTGTGTTTATACGCGTGGCCGGGGTCTCCCAAATCGGACAAAGGGAACTGGGCCTTGTAACAAAAGACCGTACTCGGAACAAAAGACCAAGCTGCTGAGCATTACTGACATTTTTTCACTCTCAATAGTAGAGATAATCTAGCCTTGTTTTTAAACAGTATACCATGGTTTGGGGCATTTAGTGCGAGCAGATTACCACCGGGGACAAAAGTGCTCCACCACCGCAGCGATGAGCCACACAGCACCGCTACACTCTTATCTGGTCCCTATTGAAAAGAGGTCAGCAGCGCACTGTGCCAAGTTCGTGAATAAAAGAAAGTTACATAACACCGCACAATCTGGGCTCTTTTTACAAGGCTGCAGGCCTGGCTGAAATACTCGGGCGTCAGTAGATTTTGTCTGTCAGACTATAGTGGCCACCAGTCAGTAATTTGTGTGGGTGTAAACGTCCATTAATTGAAATGATGAATTTTTGAAGAATTTTGAAAACTGAAAACCTTGAAAAGTCCCAATTATATGCACTGCATTTTTCAAACCACCCGGCAGCAAGTGGTTAAATGTTTCATTTTCAAGTCAAGACTCTTTGTCGCATGCATTTGAACACTCTTGCAATATTGCCACAAAATAAGAGTAGACAGTGAGTACAAGTGGTCTTCATTGTACTTGTTTCAAAAACCTCTTCCAAGGGTCCGGAAGGTTACGCAGGAGGTCGGGGTGACCCTGGAGCAAACTCACCAGGCTACAAAGGAGCTAACGGAGAACCTGTAAGTAATGCTCCCTCCCTCCATCTGATGAAACCCGCCCACTTCCCATCAGCATATTTGCTATTTAAAGTCCATAAATAAGCAATTGCATCTCTTATATACCGATGGCTGTCTTATTTTGGCAACAGAAATGTTAGCAGCCTTTGGACAGCTCGGTGTCACATAGTTGTCTTGTATTTCTAGGAAATTGCAACATTTTCATAATGTTTTGAAAGTGAAGACGGTAAAGCTACTTCCCATTTGTCAGGGTCTATATTGAAGGGCCATGTGCAAAGGCCCCTAAAGATTTACTTGGATGAAACCTGAGATGACATCTACAGAAAGAAGACGTATAAGAAAAAAGTGTTTACCAAAATAACAATTTGAAATCAAAATTAGCTAACCCTGTTGAAAAGCTAAAGAATTAACTCCACACTGAGAAGCCATAGCCCCTCCTGCAGATTCAGAGGATCAAATCACAATGTACATGTACACCACAATAAAGGCTAAAAAATAATGGAAAAAAGACAGTAATATAAATAAGAAAAGAAAATATCATGCCAGATTGATAGGCTGATGAAGGGTTATTTACAATATTGCATACAAAAGAAAAATATAAATGTTTTTCTTTCTTTTTTTTTGAATGAATATGCTTGCTCAGGTTTGGGGATCATGCTGTTGTGTCTCCTAATCTCAGAAATGACCATGATGCGTATTTTGTACCACAGGGTCCTCCAGGTCCCAAGGGCAAAGGGGCCATTCCACCCGGCGGATTGAAGCCTGGCATCAAAGGAACCCCTGGAGCTCCTGGAGAGAAAGGTGACCGAGGACCAAAGGTGCGGTCATACCTGCCAGCGCAACTGATGATGCTGCCCTCCTTTTCTTTTTATGAGAGAGATATATGGAGAATGTGACCTTATCGAGACGTGTCCAGAAATCTCTTCCCGGAAATCTTGTCCTGATTCTCAGAATTTGCTGCCTTTTGTTGTTGTTTGTCTTGTTCTTGACATTTGTAAAAAAATTTGAGGCAAGATTTAGCGTGATAAATGCCTTTTTTCATCTCAGCCCACCCCAGGATCCAGATTGCTTTTGAAAAGAAGTTTAGTTGACAAAACGAAGTTTCATACAATATTCAGTGTTGATGGGTTACACTCTTTGTCTTTTTAAGTGAATGTCCATTTGATGATCGGTGCTATCTTAATTCCTTCAGGGTCAGTTTGGTATACCCGGAGATCGAGGTGACCCTGGAGATACTGGGCGAAAGGTAAGATGTCTATGTTCTAGCCAGAACAAGGCTGTGCAAGTGGGCACAGGAACAACCCTTGTGACTCCATTTTGAACCCATGGCACCACTTCCTGTTGTTACTCCAATTAGCAGCATGAAAAGTTTCAAACATTATTAAAAAGTCATTTCTGCATGGCACATCATAACCTCAGCAGTACCTTGACGCCAATGTTGTCCGACTTCCTTATCAAACAATATGACTTTGTGTGACTTGGATGTACTGCATTGTTTGTAAACAAGAGTTTCTTGACTTTGACTTGACTTTCAAGACTTTCTTTGCCTTTTAAAGGGTGAAAAAGGGTTCCTTGGCATGAAAGGAGAGAAGGGAGTTCTTGGCATAGCTGGACCACGGGTGAGTCTTCCAGGTTTCTTATTTTTTTTTTTTTTTAAATCAAGTTGAACTATATTTCCTGTTCTGGAATGTTTTTCTGGACAACTGAATACCTAATCACTGTTTGGGTTAGTGAATTACCTCGAGTTCTCTGAAAAGATATCATGATATAGCTTCTTTTGTATTTGTGTTACAAAGCCTTCTCATGACAGCAAGCGTCGACACGTTTATTTAGCAATACAAGAAGATGTTACGACTGCTTGTGATAAGCATCTGCTCGTGTATGCCAAGGAAAGAACGTTCACTTGACCCCCCCCGACTTCTAACCATAATTTTTTTAGGGGCCTATTGGCTATGAAGGTCTTCCTGGTACCCCAGGATTCCGTGGAGAACGAGGGTATGGCGGAAGTAGGGGCCAAGATGGAGTACCAGGATACAAGGTATTTTACCCTGAACTTTCAGATTATAGAACTAGTCATTTTTCATTTTCAAGATCTGTTTTCAGGGTACCAGTCTTTAGAAAGAAGACAGGAAAACTGACATTAAACAGAAAAAAAATGTAACAGATTGACTCCTAAACATGGGAGACAGTAATGGCAAGTGGAGATATAGGGTGATACCTGTAAGCTGGCATCACTTCCAATTCCAATGTAAGCTTTACACACTTCTGAGATTCCTTGTTCTTTGTATTAAACATTGTTCTATGTGTTTACTTCACACCCCTCCTTATATTTCTTGTTCTACTCCGCAGGGTATACCAGGAGATGCAGGAGAAGAAGGACCTCAGGGACCAAAGGGAGACCCAGCAAGACCAGATGTGGGTGTTGGTTAAGATTTTAAATGATTTTCCATGTTGAAATGTGTCACGAGTGTGGTTTATATGGTTTCCCTTTGGTGGTTATTTTTCACTTTGTTCAACAGGAGATTGGGCCCGGACCAAGGGGACTGCCCGGACCCCCTGGGAACCCAGGCCCGCCAGGTTGGCCTGGGGTCCGGGGTGCCGTTGGTGATCCTGGCGAGGAAGGTTTGTCAGGGCGACTGGGTGACATCGGTGCCCCAGGACCAGAGGGACCGCGGGGGCTCAGCCGCGACGGCCAAACAGGGGAGCGAGGAGTGGAAGGTGAGGACTTAAGATGGGAAATCCTGAAGCCGTTCCTCAGAAACTTACCCAGAAAATGACCGAGAACCAGTCGCATGCAGTATGCATCCTTGGACAGTTTGGGCGATGACTTTTATTTTTTGCCCTGAAAATACCTTTTGAGCTTTGCATTTTCATGAAATTGGTATTGAGCCTGTCACATGAGGAAGCCCATGGAAGCCAGTGGCTAGCAACTGCATTCGCTATCATAGACAAGTGCATCACTCCCAGCAATAGCCATTGGAATCTTGCTTCTCTTCAGTCTGTTGGCCAGGCTAAAGAATGAGCTCAAACTTAATACTAAAGACTTGCATGTATACATCTACAAATACGCAAACCAGTCTCAGACGTCCAGTCTTTAGTTGATGACAAGAGTTTCAATTCTTTCTGAGGGATCTTCAGTTTGTCTTCAATCGTGTGAAGTCCAGTAAGTCATGTGGCATCGAAACTGAAACTGAATCCATTATTAAAGCCTCCCACCCCAAGTACTGCCTCAAAATCTGATCACCTCTTCACTTTCGATGCCCACAGGCATCCCAGGGAAACAAGGCGGTCAAGGCCGGCCTGGAGAGACTGGATCAAAGGGTCAACCAGGAGACAAGGGTGCTCCAGGATTTCCCAGAGCTGGCGAGCCAGGCATGGATGGATCACCAGGCAGGGTTGGACAGTCGGGAGCCAAGGGTGTCCAGGGAGCTCGAGGCCCACCCGGTAAGGGGCTCTAGGATAAGTTCAAAGCTGGAAGGAGTGTTTCCATGATCAAGCTGCCACACATGGCTTGTTTAGGTGATCATCAAAGTCAACTTGGATCTTTGTCCTCAGATATTAACTTCTTATACTTTTAATCATGCAGAATGGTCCAAGCCTTTGTGTGTGAGCCTTTGTATGTGAGCCCCTGACAATCATGAAATTCCCTGGAAAAACACTAGCAAGCAAGAAATTCTTGCAAAATGTGCCTCGCTGGGTGTTTCTAGATAATATTTTACAAGTCGAAATGAACATGAACTGCCACCTCCAAAAACCACCACTTCAGATTTTATTTCATAGATGTGATGTGTTTCTTTACTGTCATTAAGGTCCACCGGGCACCACACCATCTGGAGAGGAAATTGTGGGACCAGATGGCGAACGAGGATCCAGAGGACCCAAGGGTGTGCAGGGGGCTACAGGCCCTCAAGGTCCACCTGGCACCAAAGGATTCCCAGGTAAAACTTGCCTCCAAGGAGAATTGGGTCATCACTTCTTACAACAGGTCAGAGCTGACATCTCTGAGGCCATGTCGGAAACGGGCTTCCAGAGCTACGGCTAGGTCTATTGTCTACGCGTCTCCACGCATTTCTAATGGAGTGAAGACCAAGACCTAGCTCTAGACAAGAGATTCGGATTCGAAGAAACAAAGAGGGCATGTTTTGAAGTGAAATTGACAGTCCTTTAGTATACACCAACCGCATAGGCATTCAAGTTTATATGCGTTTGACGTGGAGCATGCTGAGTACGCACCATGAATTTAGTCTGGAATGTATGGTCTTCGCGTGCACGCTAAACGTGTGCAAGAACCCGGTTGGAAAACGTAGTACCATCTGTCTTTCTTTGGCCGGTCAGGGTGCATTTCAGCTCAGTGCAAATTAATAGTGGGTTTCTATAATCACATGTAACCAAAATCACATCTGAAGCTTGCGGTTTGTTTGCTGCTACATTTGTGAAACATGTTGACCATTTCTTAAGAGTCTTTTGATCAAGGGTGATAGCATCATGTCACATGACAGACTCCCACCAAGCAGCTTATCTGTTATGCGTAATGTTAACCCTTTCCCATTCACTCATGTACTGCAGGTCGGCCGGCAGCACCATGCCCACTCTGTCCCCAGGGTGACAAAGGCGTACCCGGTGAGATTGGATTCCCTGGCGTCGAGGGACGATTTGGCCCAGATGGAGCAAGGGGTCCCCCTGGTCAACCTGGTGCCAATGGTGAGCAGGGTTTCCCAGGAAGGCAGGGACAACCAGGCTTCCAGGTCAGCAGATATTTCATTTCAGGCTTGCATTCAGAAGGGTTTCTCCACTGAAAAACACCACCAGTGTCAAGTTCCATAGAGCTCGTAATCTTAACTATGTGATAAGTGTGGAAATACCAACCAAAAATGTCATATATACATCTTGTTTTTATTGGTACCCTGCTTATATTTGTTTAGCACGTACATTTGTCAGGAAGACTGTCTGCTCTGTGGCTTTGTGTTATAATTGGTCCTGTAGGTGCAGTTCCATTGTTCCTGTTTTAATTTTGTGATAAATTTTATCCGTTTTTACTAAATAAAGAGAGTGTGTTTCTTACGCCCTTTTACAGGAACATTTTTTCTACTGTGATCGTGCTTCCTGGCAAAAGGGTGTAAGCCCGCTCATGACCTTTTGCCGGGCACACGATGAACTAACTACCGGTATTTGTAATCTAGAGCTGCTGTTTATACCCGTTGGATTGTTTTTACCGAGAACAAAAAACAAAACATTTGATCATAACATTTAAAGGCAGAAACTTGAGGAAGAACAAATACAGCGCATAGCATGGCGAAACAATTTTACGTGCTCCACCACGGGGTGTTAACGTGGCAAAACGAGCTCACACAGTTTACATTAGGTCTGATCATGCGCCACGCAGCAGTGATGCATAGTTATGTGATGCAAACATAGCGTGAATGCATTGACCATTGCAGTACGAGCTACGAGGGGATATTAAAGATAACCAATAATCATTTCAAAACTAATAGTCAATAACCAGTACATGTCACATAATTTCACAACAGTACTTTGCCAGGTACTTTGGTCGTTAACCTTCTGTTTTTGCACTTGACAAATTTGCAAGCTTAGCAGCTCCGTATTTTCTTCCTGGCAGGGATTAAGGGGACTAAAGGGAGATAAGGGAGAAATTGGTGAGCAAGGAACGCCAGGCCGTACTATTCCCCTCAGAGGTAAGATCAAATATTCTATTTCTATTTGAGAAAAGCCTTTTTTTAGAAGTGTAGCCCTTTATCTGTAAGACCACTGTAGTTTTTGATATCGTGAATGTTTGATTTTCCTTCTTAAGATGAACCCAGTGCCAGGAATTTTGTTACATTTTGTGTAGAAAATTTCGTCTGTACCCATTTAATAAACTCCAGTGCTTCATAGGTACAGCTATCTATAGAAGGTAGCCTTCTGTGCCTGATTTGGTATCGAGAGCTAGGTTGGTATTTTTCATCTTCACAGGTTTTAGGGGAGAACCAGGAGAGATAGGAGAGAAGGGTCAAGTGGGTTTCCCTGGAGAACAAGGCAGTGCGGCCCCCTTCAATTTGAACCTGTTCAGGAACCTAACGCAGGAGGTAAATGGGCAGAGGAGCATTTTCCTGCCAACAATTGGGAAAATGCATGAGTCTGGTGAAGATAGTTCAGAGAGAACCTTTAACTTGAAATCTGATTTTCCAGTCCATATGTCTTTCGCATCCTGTCGTCAAGAACAGTATAATTAAAAAGGGGTTGAAACTTTTCGCATCATACCAATTACATCCTGATCAATTTGATATTGGTACTGAAATTGCCAGGGTCCCTGGCACTAACTCTCTGTGAAGTAACTGGACTTGAATGGGTTAGAATCAGCAGAAGAGACAGAAGGTTTAGGTGTCGGTGATAACTTTCATGGGGACCAAGGCCAGGACAAGATCTCAGTATCATGGATTTGATTGTTTTCCTGACGAGATCTTCTTCTGGAGCAAAAATCAAGTGGGAACTATTATCAGTAATGTACTTAACATGGCAGTTGCACGGCCATGCCCAGCCCCTCCAAACCACCGATGGGGGGTTCCACACTGTTTTCTGCAACTCAACTGTCTCTGTTGATGCTTCTCCCATCCAGGGTGAATCCGGAGAGAAGGGACGCAAAGGTGCAAGTGGTACCCCTGGTGCCCCAGGCCCAGCTGGTGAAGATGGTCCCGATGGAGAGAGTCGTAATGGGCCCAGGGGTCCCAAAGGTGCCAGAGGTGAACCAGGCAGCTTTGGAATTCCAGGCTTCAAAGGAGATAAGGGAGAACGAGGTAAGTCGTTTAACCAACTACCAACACTTGAGCGGGTCAACATCATCAAAAAGATGTCCGATAGACAAGCGTTCCAACAGATTTTGGCACAGCTGTGCCCACATCCATACAAGAAACGCAAGCCAGAGTAACCTTCAAAGTCCAAGAAACGGGCAGTTAATTTGCGAAGGTATAAGCAACGAACGAACCCAAAATGTAGTCTGGAAGAGAGTGTGGTTTGTTAGATTTGTAAGAGTTATTTGTTAAGGCCTGAAAACTGGAAATGGAAGCTCAGCTTTTGCATGTTCAAATTGGCGTCATTGCTCAGAGAATGGCAATATGTGTAATAGATATCACAAAGATCCGATTTATGTTAACATCCTAGTCTTGCTTTCATTGTAAATTGAACTTGCATCACTTTACAAGGAAGAATTTTGCTGGAAAGGGGATGGTTTATTGTATTATAAATGGTCCATCCTGGCTCTCATTGTAAATGTTCAAAGAAGGGATATCTGGCACCTTCAGTGAAGTAGCTCAAATGTTAACCCAGAAGTGAGTCGCATGAAAACTTGTTGATTTAAATACGCTGACTGTGTTTCTATTTGTGGATACAGCGGAGGACGTGGACGTGGAACAACCAATACCAGGGCCTCGGGGTGACCCAGGGCCTCGGGGTGCCAAGGGACTTAAAGGTTTCCCCGGTGCCTCTGGACAGACTGGTTTCCCGGGGAACTTTGGAGAAGAAGGTTTCAAAGGAACCAAAGGTGCTCCAGGATTCCCCGGTGTTCCGTCATTCCCTGGTCCCAAAGGTGAGGCTATTCACATTATTGACTATTAAATGGTAAAGTTTTCTTTCCCCAGGGATCTCAATAATAAAGTGTAAGACCTACTTCGAGGAAAAGGCATTGAACAAAGACGGCATGTTTTTTTTAGTATTATCTACTTTTCTAAATTAATGTTAAATGGGGGAGATAAAACTAGATGAAGATTGGGGAAGATCAGATTGATTGATTTGTCCAATGGAGACTTTTATACTGAGTTTCACTGATGCAAAGTGGACTCATCATGGTTCTCATTATGGTCACAATTTTCCTGGTCAGGCTTCCCGGGACCGCGCGGTGACAAGGGCTTCATAGGGTTGCAAGGTGAGATTGGACGGCCAGGCCGGCAAGGCCCACCTGGTGAGCCAGGCTTCCCTGGAAGGAGGGGCATGGGTGGAGATCAAGGGGAGGATGGACAGTCAGGCTCCACGGGTCCTGTAGGCTTCCCCGGCGAAGAAGGACTCCTAGGGAACAAGGGAGTGAATGGATTCAACGGCGTTCCAGGTTTGCACCTTTTCTTTCCCAGGTCTTGAGATTCAAAAACACAACTTACCTGGGCCCAATTTCATGGCACTGCTTACCACAGAATTCCACGCTTACGATCTCCATTCTATGCTTACCCTTTAAGCACAGAGTCCTTAGTTACGGGATGTACACATGTGCACAAACCCAAATTCCTTACTAACCCGTGAAATACATTCGCCGTAAGCACAGAATTTTCTGCTACAGTAAGCACTGAATTTTCGCTTGCAGTAAGCAGTGACGTGAAATTGGGCCCTGCTAAAGCATTGTGCATTTTGTGTGACTAGTTCCTAGCTGGGTTTGCTTTGGCATGTAAGGCCATGTCTGAATTCACTTGGCTGTGGCTAAAAAATTACTTAAAAGTCTATGATATGGCTGTAGCAACTTTCCAACTTTCCATAGAGTATTGCACAACTCTGAGCCACAGCCAAGTAGTTCAGCCACAGCCTAAGTCTGTGAAGCATTGTAATCTGTACAGCAAGTCCATGATGTGAACTATGTTTCTATTTATTGTGGCTTCTCAATACTTGAAACCACTTGAAACGTATTACTCAGCAACACATGCTTTTTTCCCAGTTGGAAAAAAAAAGCGACATTTCAGCTGATGCCTGGTCCTGCAAACTGTTTTGGCCTTCAGTAGTTAGATGAAGATGTACTCGCCTGCCTGACTCTTTTATCACAGTTTTGTGATTATAATCTGTTTCTCTAGGCCAGCCTGGGTTTCCAGGCTTCCGAGGGCTTGTAGGTGATCAAGGTGATGCAGGCCCTAGCGGCCCTCAAGGAGAGAAAGGACTGAGGGGACCCAATGGCTTTGGTTTCCCCGGTAGACAAGGTCCTCCTGGCAGAGATGGCAATCCTGGATCCAAAGGTAAGAGAACAAAGCTTGCCTTTGGCTAGAATTAAGACAGCAAGCAGAAAGATACTGTACCACACAATCTGTTTGGTATTAGGTTGTGCAGAACAGTTAGCCTCACAAGATGGCGAAAACCCCTCAATTTTTCTGATGGGCACCTGCACAATTCAGCTCAAGCCAACACTTCGTTACACCTTTTTCAGTTCAGGGAGTTCAAAATGGGATAGTCAAAAACTGGATTGTAAGAAATAAAGAGCTGGCATATTTGAAGAGGATACTTATATGCAGACAACACGTTCATTTATCACTTTGTTTTGAGGTTTGTTTGTTGCGTCATTCCCTATTTTAACCTATTACAGTTCTAACCTATTCCTCTGCATAAGGTCTGCAAGGTGTTCAGGGCCCCCCTGGTGAGAGAGGGGTCTTTGGTGGTATTGGAGCCAATGGTGACAGGGGTGAGGAGGGGATACCCGGTGAGAGAGGAAATCGGGGTCAACCTGGTGAGAAGGGCTTCCCCGGTCGCTTTGGCAGGCCTGGTGTGTTCGGTGCTCGCGGTGAGTCGTTAGATTCAGGGGCAGTATTGTAGTAAAGCTCAGCTGGATACCGAATATTTTGCTGTCTTCACCTTTGAGTGTTAGGTCTATTACTTGAATCTATCGCAAGTCCAGTCACCAGTCCAGTCACAAGTGGTAGGATGAACGGTGACAAAGGAATTCTTGTGTCACAGTTCATTTGAAAAGCTTGTGACTTGGCTTATTTCTTGTTTTTGGTAAGCAGAACTTTTCCATACTTGATAAATCTAATGCTGTGCTTAAAAATTGGCACCTTTATGCATAGAACAAACTTGAAAACCCAAAGATTTCAGATTAATGTGGTCAAAGTTATGTTTGTTTTTTTTCTACAAATTGCAGGTGAGCTGGGGAGTCCAGGTGTGGACGGTCCATCCGGGAATCAGGGCTCTAAGGGGAACCCTGGATTCCCAGGCTTTGGAGGCCGACCTGGTGAGCCTGGCTTACGGGGTCTGCCTGGGCAAGATGGTGCACCCGGGGAACCAGGTAGGCTGCCGTCCCCATGCTTCATCTATTGCAAGCAGTGTTGAGCTTTAATCTAACAGGAGCCAAAGGCTGTGTCTATTGAAGTGGCAATGGCTAGGAGTGACATTTAATCTATGGGACGTGGCTGTAGCCACTAACTCGTGCCATCCACAAATATTTGTTCTAGCCATAGCCGCAATATTTGGACTCTGCCAAAGATCCGCACCTGCCTGAGCAAAGCGACACCCTCTTCAGCCATGGCTATGAATTGTAATATAATCTTGATGTCCGTATTGTTCTTGTAGATATACTACTGTACACAATTTTTTTGGGGGGGGGTATTTTTCTCCAAATGGCTCCTTGTTTTATTGGTGTCTTTTTGTTTAAGCTGTTACAATGAGCTGGTTCAGTATTCCAACAAAGCACACCAAAAAAACGAGCATTCAAGGTCATTTAGGAACAGGAGTAAGATCCCCTGACCTATCAGCGCAGCTATGCACTGACTGACACATATGCTTTGTTCTCAAATATCTTTGCCTTTTTAAAATACCAAACTAACTAATTAATGGAGTAATTTAAAAATACTGAACTTAGTGTCTCATTTTTCTTGTGAGTTTCCTGTCACAGGTCTTTTGGACAGGAATGATTGGATAGGATTTGATGATTTTACTACATGCTTTGTTTTTTTTTGTCGGCTTACATTGTCAGGTGAGGGAGGTGACCCTGGACGTCCAGGCTTCTTTGGTCTCTTTGGTGACCCTGGAGATGTCGGAGATATTGGAGAACCAGGGGAGGACGGCGCTGATGGACTGATTGGACCCCTCGGTCAAGACGGCCGACCAGGTCACAATTCTTACTAATCTTAAAATACAACAACAAAATTAATGCATTTTGGACAATTTGCTAAAGTGTTGTCTACAATGCCCATTTTCCGAATTTTGGGTGGGACAGCATTTTCCAAATGTCAGCTACAATGTAAGAACCTTAGCAGGTGGTACCTTTACAAGTACCTTGTCGGGTGAAGAAGATTTTTGAAATATTTGGCTGCCTTTTATTCTCGTGTTTTCTTCATGATAACTCGTACAGGACCTCCAGGATTCACGGGTCCAGTAGGTGACAGAGGTGCATCAGGACAGAAGGGCGCGACAGGTGCTCAGGGTGGACCAGGTGAACCGGGCGAGCCAGGCAACGTTGGCCTGGATGGCCAACAGGGGGAGACAGGTGCACAAGGTCTGACGGGATTCCCTGGCATCAGGGGAATTGAGGTAAGTAGGTAGCCGTGACTGAATCAAATGGCTACGGATAGGAGTATTACCACTGGCTTTCCTAGTCGTAGCCAAAGCCACAACTTTTTGCCGTTGACCAATGCTTCAAGGAGCAGTAGTCCAAATTTGACTGCGGTCATATTCGCCAGTTCTGTAGGCGGTATTTGTCTATTCTTTTATCTTAAAGTTGTCTGTGGTCTTTTTCTTTTTTAGGGAGAGCAGGGCTTGATTGGAACACCAGGCCCTAAAGGTCAACGAGGACCATCTGGAAACAAAGGTATGAACTCATATGCGTTGCCTACAGGAGGGCACTTTAACTCGTGTGCAGTTTTAAATGAAAGTCTTTCTGACTGCTTTAAACTCTCAATAACTCAAAGTCAGTTATCATGAAACTCTGCTTATCTCAAAGACCTTCTTCATTCCCGAGGTACGAAAGTACCTCCGTAACTCGAAATGGCCACATCACTACATCCGCTTAACTCAAAAATTTTTCAGGGCCATTCCAAAAAGACCACCACCACATTACTGACAATGAGTGGAAAACAAACGAGGAGACTTTAATAATGAGTTATTTCTGCAAACCACACTTTGTCTTCTTATGTGAGGACACGAGCGTGCTTGCAGTCAGTGCCATTGTAATTGACTCGTTGTGACCACAACCTAAACAAACCCCAGATTTCAAGCAGGCCCAACTGTAGCCCACACGCATGCAGGCTAATCGTCGATTCTTTTTGTTGGCCATGTGAAGCTTTTTGCATGCTGCAGCCTGGCTGCTGCCGTCTGCCCAATTGCAGCACTCACACACTGCTCACATGCCGACCGAGATGTTCCCAGCATGGTGCTGGAAATGCTGTTTTGAGTTGCCAAATTTCTTTCAGATTTTTAACAAAGGAAACGTAAAGGCATAAAAAGACAAAAAACCACCAATTTAAAAAAAATTTTTTTTTTACTCAAACGTTTTGAAGTGCAAAATGGTGTGCCCTCAAGCGATTCAAACACAATGATTATGTGGCCAAACAGGAGAACCCCGGGCCCGGCCTACCCCGGCAAATTAAGCAAGCACAGGGCTATGCGCTTCACGCCGTGGTGTACGCCAATCAGAAGAATTGTCACAAAAAAGCACACAGTTTTGGTGATTTATGTTCTATTCATGAATAGAATAGACAATTTCACATAAGGAAAACATGAAATCTCAGCAAACTAATGATTTTTAGAAGAAATTCATTCTTGGATATGAGGAAATAACCGCTTATAATGTCTCCAATGGCTGCCGCAGGAGCAAGTAAGGTTACTTGCATACACGCATTGTGCGTGTATGTGTGGGCAAGACTCTGGAACTTTCTTAAACTCACGATTTAGATAACTCGAATTTTTTATCCATTCCCCTGAGGTTCGAGTTATCGAGAGTTTACTGTAGTTCATGGATGTCCTCACAACCCTTGACATTGTAAATTTCTTCTTTTGGGATTGTTTTGTGACTCTAGTGCAGTTAGAAATTATTTATAAATACCTCAGATAGTTTCTCTATTCAACAACGCGCAACGCGACCATATTAACTGGTAACATTTAATAATGCCGCTGAGATTTGAGTATGCCTGCTGCATAAAAAATGCATAGGCACCTGGATATGAGACAGTTTAATCCATCCCTATTGGTCTGCATGCGATGCGGCACATAGAATGCACCACACACGTGCCAAGTCCATATATGGAGATTTTTCTGGACAACTTGCGCAGGGAATATAACATAAAATGGACAGGGGGTTCAGGAAAATGAAAGTAAAATTCAAGAACATAATCATCAGAAATGCATCATATATTGACTTCTTTTGACTCTCTGACTAAAAGCAGTATTTATGAATGAGAATGGATATGTGCTTGACTGGTCTTAAACATTAAAGACTGGTTCAGGAGAATGAACGCTGATAATGCCCTCGCCCGCGATTAGGGCATCAGTCGTGTCCACTTTTCCTGAGCCAGTGGGTTGAGCCTGGGGCAAGCGGGTTGTTGCTTATCTGGTTCACTCCATGGCTTTTTTCCCCTCTCTTTTCAACAGGTGGCACTGGTGTCCCAGGTCCCCAGGGCCCATTTGGTGTGACTGGTCCCCCTGGCGATGCTGGCAACCAGGGTCCAAGGGGTAGCAAAGGAGAATCCTTCAATCCTAATGACATTAAGGAACCGAGTTCCGGTGAGAAGGGTGCCAAGGGAGAAAAGGGAGACCAAGGTAAACTTTTCAACATCAGTTTTCCATTTTTTTAATCTTTTTTTTTTATTTGTTTGTCCCGCGTGTATCCTAGTTAATCATAGAGCATTGTCAACAACCTGTGCCCATATTAAGTTTCTTCCTTTGACTGTCAGAGAGCTGCTACTTAGAGATGTTGTTGCTTGTAGACACATAGAGAATGTTGCATAACAGGCATTTGTAATCCCATTTGTTACAGAAAAACCTCTCTGGGATGAGCTAGAAACTGTGTGTGCCTGGTTACAATATATTAATAAGAGTGGAATTCAGAGGCATATGTAAAGGGGGCCATTTTTCCGGGTGCAGGAGGGGGGGGCAGAAATTTAGAAATTCTGTATGTAGCCTTTTATGGCCATTCTGAGGAGGAAGCTACATATTTGTGCTTTTGACCAACTTTCTGGAGAAAGAAAAGGGAATGAGGGTATAGAATTGCTTTTTGCTTATTGATTTTCCAAATCAAACCAAGTTTTGCTTGGGGGGTGGGATGGCGCCTGTTGCACCCCTTTCCCACACCCATCAGCTGGTGCCTTTGAACATTGTTGGTGGACATTCCTCTTTATTTGGCAGGACCCCGTGGACTGAATGGGCAGAGGGGAGATGTCGGAGACCCAGGATCTGATGGAGAACAAGGCAATCCAGGCTACGATGGCTACGATGGCTTCAATGGAAACACAGGCATGTCAATCTAAAAGAGACTTTCGGGGACCACTCACTCACAGAAACACACTCGAGGAACCCATCCGTACCGTCATCCTGTGAAATCTGACAGAATCTCTTTCTTCACCAACTAAAGGACTCCTTGGTTTTTATTTTCAGGCCTTTGTAGAGAGGGTCTTTGTAGGGGTTTATATGTGCAAGATGGGGTCTTCTAAAGAACCAAGAATTTTGGTCAGGTTTTTTCATGTATTTGTGTGGTTTTTAACACACAGTAATTAACACTCTGTTTTTGATTTGTTTGCCGATGTTAGGTGCAAGAGGTGAACCAGGTCTCCCAGGACTTTTTGGTATCGATGGCCCTCCAGGAATGACTGGAGATGATGGTGAGTATTGTCTCCTGGTTCACTAAAGGAATTTGTGGCACAGCAGCAGGATAAACTTGTGCATTTTGGGATGGATGTTACTTGACAAGCTAATTATCCGCTCCGAGCGGGAACAAAGGAGGGCGTGTTTTTAAATGAAACTGACAGTCCTTTGGTACCAAGTCATCACGTAGGCGCGCAAGTTTGTGGGCGTTTAAAGCGGGGCACGCTGAGTACGCGCAAAGAATTTCATTTTGGAATGTATTGTTTTCGCGTGCACGCCGAACGTGTACAAGAACCCTTCCAGAACCTGGTTGGAAATCTTTGTATCATCGGTCTTTTTTCGCCGGTAAGGGTGCACTTCAACCCAGGGCGGCTTGGAATATTTCTTGTGCTGTGTTGAAGTATATTCCAGCATCAAATTAAAGGTGTGAAATAAGCGTGTGCTCAATACCAGAGGAGCAGTAAACAGTAGGGAAAATTTATTCTAAAGACCTTACTGCTGTGAGAAAAAAACCCTAATGTCCTTGAGATTATTACGCAGTTGAGCACAAAACCTGAAAGTGAGATTGCAACAAAATTTGGCCCATGATTCTTGTTCCTTTCAGGCAATCCTGGAGTTAAAGGGCGGCAGGGTATACCAGGTCCAGAAGGTCCCAAGGGGGCAGAGGGCTTCCGTGGGTTCTCTGGGTTCCCTGGCTCATCAGGCAACCCGGGACGCCCAGGCCAAAAAGGTAAGAGCATCCAGGAAGTTTGCCAAACTTTAATAGTGAAGCAGAGTTTGACTGACATGGAGTGACAGACCAGTTGGGGAGTAGATGTGATGAGTGTAATAGTGGGAGTAGTGAGTAGGTAGCCATGGATCTGAGACGTTAATCTGATGGTTAGTAATAGGAAATCTGAAAATTGGCCCGTAGTGGACAAGTGGCCACCATGGACAGATGGACACAACAGAGAGATTTTAGGGCTACAATTGACTGTGTTGCCACTTTAAAAAGCCACATTAGACTTACAACTGAACTGGTTGGTCACTATGTACTAGAGTTGTAATGTCACATCCTGGCTCACCATTGTTCTTATTTCTTGTTTGATTCATTGTGCAGGTGGACAGGGCATTAAAGGCTTCCCTGGTTTACCAGGAAACCCTGGTGTCCCTGCATTTGTTGCCCCACAAGGAGAACCAGGCAGCATTGGACCCCAAGGCCCAGATGGTGCCAGAGGTCAGTTATCATGCATTCATGACCATTTTCATTTGTGGACTCTTCGTGACTTTACTTTTTCTCAACCAGCAGTAATGCTTTGCGGACCGCATATGCTATAGAGTCCCGAATGAAAATGTCACGTGCACAATTTGTGTCTAAAAGACATTATTGCAAGAACCAGCGTGTGAACCAACACATGCGCGTACTCCATTCGTTTGCACTACACTTCCTGGTTGTGAGTGATGTCACAGGTCAGTACTCCTTAAGGCCATATATATCATGGGTACATGCAATCCATTTGGATCAAGATGCTACTTATTTGTGCACATTCAGTTGAAAAATAGTCTTTGTGCACATTCATTAGAAAGATTGATCTTGATCTGTTTTGCACATCCAGATTAAATTGGTCCTTGTTCACATTCAGTTGAAAATCAATCTTTGTGCACATTCTGTAAAAACCTGGTTACATGTATTTAGCAAACACGCTAATGGCATTTCTTGGTGTAACTTAGTAGACCAGTCCTGTGACATGTATTTAGCAAACACGCTAATGGCTTTTCTTGGTGTAACTTAGTAGACCAGTCCTGTGACATGTATTTAGCAAACACGCTAATGGCTTTACTTGGTGTAACTTAGTAGACCAGTCCTGTGACATGTATTTAGCAAACACGCTAATGGCTTTTCTTGGTGTAACTTAGTAGACCAGTCCTGTGTTAGACACAGCTTCATAACATTTGGTTACAACAAATATTCATTTCTTTTTGGATGTTCTACTGTTTGAGATGGTGCTTTGCAGATGAGCAGATTTGTGCCTCCCATCAACAGATGTATGTCATTCCTTTGTGCAGGTGACCTTGGTCGACCGGGTCAGACAGGTTTCCCTGGCTTCAGCGGTGTCAAGGGACAGAAGGGAGATCGTGGACCAATTGGACCAATTACCCCACCCGTCGTGAGCCCCCGTGGCCCCAAAGGTGAACCAGGAGTACCAGGACGGCCAGGTGAGTACCAGCGTCTGGAACTAAGAAAAATATACAGTGTTGTGCACAATATTGTCACTTCAGAGAGGCCCTTACCCAAGGGAAACGTCCAAGGAAAAATGAGGGTGTAGCTGCCAGAATTACAGAAGCGCAAGTGGTCTCACATCGAGGATTACATTCTGGCAGAAAAAAATTAAATAGACTTCTGCAAGCTGCTGTAGTTTCAAGGGAGCCATTGTATACAGGCCTGCCTTTTTTTGGTAAGGTAGTGATTGTGTCAGATCTTGAAGGAAACTGAAACAAGTGCATAAGTTGATTCCATGGGAAGACGCATTTGCTGATGTGGGAAATAATGAATTCACCCCCAAAGTTTGGAGATAAGCCACGTATGGGAAATGAGCAACTTCGTTCGTGATCTTGAGTCCATCGAAGCTTCCGAATTTTGATTTCAAGTCTCTCTCTCTTCTTTCTCTCTTGGTCAGGACTGAAGGGCAGAATCGGGGATATTGGCTTCCCTGGTGACTTTGGAGATCAAGGTCCGCAAGGAGAGAAGGGCTACCCAGGCTACCCAGGAAGGCGTGGCAGGCCAGGTGGGTGTGGCTAGTGTGTGTCTTGAAGGAAAATAGATAATTCGCACACAGGGATTAGCTCTCTCAGGGTATACACGTTTTGTTTCAAAGTAGTTTGGGAGGATGCAGAAGAGACTTTTCGGTATGCCCACACTTCGTTGTCTGGAGAGGGTCAAATATTGCTCTCCTCAACTCCCACAACCCCGTTCTTGACCTTGTGCATGAGGAGATTGGATTCTTGGAGTAGTGCTGGCCAATGGAATGAGCAAACAACCAGTTGAAACATATTCATGTATGCGATACAAATATCGACTTCTTGGAGTGGTGTAGTAAAACCAGCCTCTTGAGGTGATCCATGGAGCATTCTTATTTTCCAGAGGCAAAGAATGCTCCATGGATCACTGAAAGAGACTAGTTTGACTATATCACAAGATAAAGCAGTCAATATTTGTTTTCTGACACCTCACCTACAGATTCTGCACAATTTATGCTAATATCAATAATGAAACACCAAAGATCAAAGCGTCAGTGTTCCATTTTACAAATTGTGTGTGACGTTAGAATGTGTGTACTGACAACATACGCCACATAACGTACCAGACCTATAGACATTTTCATTGTCTTATTAAACCTATTCAACTTGTAGCTACTACATAGCCTGGTTCAACAGGTCCGAGAGTAACAGGTGAAGGTTTACGCTATATATGAGCCGAAACACGCGCCTGGGCACTATTCATGGTTTCATTGCTACAGATATAGTTCTTTGGTTGCTGAGGGTGTCGTTCTTTTTCAGAGCGAGGCTGAATGTGTATAGTCTTTTTGGAGTAGTGGTACGAAAATAGGAAATCTAGCAAGCATCACATGACACACTTTCGGCCAATCAAGATTCAGAATCTGTAGGTGAGATGCTGTAATGGCTACTATCCATTCCTAGTTCTTGCCAGTACTGACCATGAGATGTCTGCTTTGGAAACAGCAGTAAGAAGTTTACTCCAAGTAAGGGACGGCGACCATTTAGACCCGGTTTGAAAAGGGCCCCCCGGTAGCCCACCCGGTATAATGCCTGCCCGGTATTCAGGCTACTCCAGGCCGGTATCAGGCCTGTCAGCACGTTGGCATTTCAAAGTCCCTGATGGAAGGCTTCCCCCACCATGCTTCCACAGATGAATAGGGGTCTAAGCGGATTAGTGCAAAAATTGTATAGAGCTGAAGAATTAAAAACCACAAGCCGGTTCCTTCTGGGATACTAGTAGATTACATGTACCAGTACTTGCAAACAATAGACCCTAGGATGAAGAAGTTCGATATCAACAACCAGTCCAGCATCCCAGGCCGGTAGCCAGGCTGGTAGCCAGGCCAGTATGAAAGGGGTTTTTTGCAACCGGGCGAGCTTACCGGGGGGCCCTTTTCAAACCGGGTCTAAATGGTCTCCGGCCCTAACTTCCAAGCTTTAAGCACGGCCTTATCACAAGGAGAGTTGTGTGTGGCGTTTGAATCACAATTTTATTTTCAATGATCCGTATTTTCCTTTGTAGGTCTGCCTGGTTCCAATGGCCCCAAAGGTATGCCCGGTGAACGGCCTGAAACCGAGAAGGGGGTCAAGGGTAGCAGAGGTGACCCCGGACCCCTTGGTATCCCCGGACGACCGGGCTCCCCGGGATTCCCAGGAGTGGGTGGATTTGCCGGTAAGTCGTCATGGGCAGCAATAGCCAAATAGCTCAATTATGGTATCTTTTTATATCTAGTTTCCGAGCATTGCAGAGAGCCATGCAGGATTTTCCTATGTTAGGGTTTTCTCCATCATAACTAGGTGCTAGGAGCCTGCAAACGCTGATGATGGACCCTGCCTTCGGCTTGACCATAAAAAACTAAAAACAACACCTCCATTTTGAATACACATATGTTCATGCTCACGCATTCCCAGTAGCATGAAGAGAGTTCTGTAAAGAGTTCTTCCCTCTCAAGCAGTTAACACTTTTGGTTTTTCCCTGTCTCATCTTTGCCACAACAGGTCCATCAGGAATGAAAGGGGATAATGGAGACCGTGGCATTCCTGGCGAGATAGGCTCAAAGGGACAGTCTGGTCCCCAGGGCCTGCGTGGGGACTTTGGTGGACCGGGACCTCAAGGTAGACTGTGTGATTGCATCAATTTTGTAAATAAATGTCAGCGCTCTGATATTTGCCAGAGCAGACCATATCATATGTCTGCTTACTTCACGCCAACAAAAAGAAAACTCTCGAGGGAAACAAAGTTAATGATGCTTGTTTGAAATCAATTCGTCCTGCTTTTTTTATAGGGAGTACTGTTTGGTTGGAAGGGTTTGTGACCCCTGAACAAGGGGTCTGGGGTTTTTAATCCAGGTGCTTGATTGGAACAGTTATCTTCATCAAAAATTCCCCAACAGATGGGCTCTGTCAAGCCCAGAATTGGAATTTTACCGTTTCAACATTTCTGAGCAGGTTCAAAAGGGGAGAAGGGTGTTGCTGGTGACAAGGGTCAGCCAACCTTACCACCACGACCCCTGGGCTTCATTGTGGTGAAGCACAGCCAATCCAGGACCATCCCACGCTGTGATGCGGGCATGACGCAGCTGTGGACTGGCTACAGTCTACTGTATACGGAAGGCAACGAGAAGGCCCAACATCAGGACCTGGGTAAGTGATGGGGGGAGGGAATCTGCCGGAAGAAAGTGGATGCTATTTGTGAATTCACTGTAGCTTGTGAGTAATATTTGTCTTTCATTTTGTACCTTCATGAATACTTGACGATGTGCAGTGTGAGAATCCGAAATGCCGCATGTCTTACCATGTATGTTCTGTAACGTTACCCAATAGGCCTGGCTGGGTCCTGTCTGCCCAGATTCAGTACCATGCCCTATGTCTTCTGCAACTTCAATGACATCTGCAACTACGCCCAGCGCAATGACAAGTCCTATTGGCTGGCTACAACCGAGGCTATTCCCATGATGCCTGTGGAGGGCAATGCAATCAGGCCGTTCATCAGCCGCTGTGTGGTCTGTGAGACGCCCACACAGGTCATTGCCGTGCACAGCCAGGACACGACGCTGCCCGACTGCCCTCGCAACTGGCGCTCGCTGTGGATTGGATTCAGCTTTGCTATGGTCAGTGTCCATGGTGATTGCATCATGGGGATGCTGGTAGTCACGTTGATGATAGTAATGATGGTGATGTTGACCATGGTAACAGCAATGATGATAATGTTTGCAATAGAAGTGAGGGTTGTGTTTAGAATGGTGGTTACCGTGGAGATTTATATGATAACACTGATAGTGGTCAATGAGATGGTAAAATGCTGGTAGTGCCTGGGTTTATCTCCATATCAGTCACATGATGACAATTCAAGTCCAAGTAAATTCATCAACCTTTTCAAGACTCCAGTCCAGTTTCTTTGATTGACTAATTCCATTTATTTCTGGTCACAGTACACATCTGCTGGCGCTGATGGAGGTGGTTCTGCCCTGGCCAGTCCAGGATCCTGCCTTGAAGACTTCCGGGCCACGCCCTTCATTGAATGCAACGGGCGGGGCCGCTGCTTCTTCTACCGCAACACTTACAGCTTCTGGCTGACCACGGTGGACACCAACAACATGTTCAGACCGCAGGAGTCGCAGACGCTCAAGGCGGGCTCGCTGCGCTCTCGCGTCAGTCGCTGCCAAGTATGCCAAAAGATCCTCTAGATTGATTTTTTTAATATGTCTTCCATGGGAAATTTTTTAGCCTTTCCCCATTTGAAGCAGTAATAAATTTCTTGAACAGCAATTTCAATCGTCAATTTTCTATTCTTTGTCAGAATTCATAAGTGCATTGTCAAAGAGGGCTTCCATACTGGCGTTGTTTGAAGTTTCTAGTATAGTTAAAGTCGTAAAATAAAGCAATTTCAATTGTATATTCTCAAACTTTTTGGCATGATCAGTTTTTTATCAGGTAAGAAAATTGCATAATGAAAGTTTGTAAGACAGTGTAAAATCTAAAACCCTCTTTTTGATACAAATTAAGTATCAATCTGGATGATTCGTGTGGCAAACATTTAGCTGGTTGCCAATTTGCCGTTGCAAGTGGCATATTCCTTAAAGTGTAACATACTTGTTGAAATCTGTGGTCAAGGAGGGTAAGTTATTAATAAACAGAGAGACTCTGTATGGGTTACTCTAAAACTTCCCAGCATTAGGTCTAAAACATGGAAGTTTTATCCAACTTTTTAAACCCTTAAATAAATGACTTTCATTCATCATGGTGCTAGCTGATTTGTTTTAGATGTAAATGCATGTTTTATAAGATATATATTTGTGTTTTTTCCTCTCTCATAATGATAATTGCAGTTCTCCACAATAAATTCATGTGTAATCCCGGTGTATTTTTAATCTAGTGTGGCTGTGGTTCTTTTAAATCTTGTTTCATCGATTAGTTTTACAAATCTAGACTTGTATTAATACAGTCATGTTCACACATTAGATAAAACAGAATATGCTGCAGTTCTTTTGAGATTACTTACAATACTCTCTTGGTACATTCAGGAGTTATTAGGAAGAAATCCGCTATTGTGCCAATTATTTCCATTTGTGGATTTTTCCACATTTGGGAGTCTTGTGATGGGTGTTGTGTTGTTTCTCATTTGTAAATTAAGGGCTGAGAAACGGTGGCCTAAAGTCTGCTGTAAGTTGGTGACACGTAAGGAGAGCAGTAACATGAAAAATGTGAATCGTAAAATACAGTGCCTCCATGTTGAAAAGTCGTCCTCCCAACATTAAAACCTCTAACCTTCCAAGACATAAGGAAGTGACATATCTTCCTTCCAAGTATTGAAGGAAGCTGCCTTTGTTGTCAGAATGGTGTGGGAAAGACGACAAAATGCCAACAAAAACCATTAACCTTGGACTGCTGAACATGCACATTGTAATGGCTCACCAAGTGTGTACTTCAAATTTTCAAAGTGTCGTATAATGCATTGTCCATCCTTAGCATCTGGGGTGAATTCAGTCCCGATATTTATAAATCTGTTAATCTGGTTTTGTGTATTTACGTTGTATTTTTATTTGTAGATGACATAATTGGTAACACGTTATTTGGCAAACTATTTAAATGATAAGATTTGCAGTAGCAATAGTTCAGTTATTAAAATGCTCTGAGTAAAAATTATTGAAAGAGAAAAAAAAAAGACAACTGCCAAGTTGACATTCACACAGCACATCTATCATTTGAATTTTGAAAGAAAATATTTTTGATAACATGGGAATGCTTGAATGTTGCTTAAAAAAACAATCTCGGCTTGAAAATGATTACGTTATGGTCTTCACTGGTAGAACTCATTAGTGGGTAATGCCATGCGTGCCCTTTCTGTATGGATAATAAATACACTGACATATTTCATAGGTTAAAGAGCATTAAATCTAATGGGGTAAAGTTGATTTCACAGACATTTGTTTGTCGTGTAGGTTATTTCTATCATGACTGCTTGTGAATCTTAAAAAAACAAACCAGCAACACTGTGATCTGTACAATATTGAAAACTTTATTTAGTATAATAGCAGATATTTCATCATCCTATGAATCCAAGTTAGAGTATATGGTTATTCTTGATTAAAAAACTCTAAGTGAAAAGAAGGGAAAATTTGAGAAACAAGGTATTTCATTCACCATCAATTTTTTTTTAAATTGGATTTGTTCTTTTGTCTCCTGTAGGCTTTTGATAGAAACTGTACCGAGGTGATGAAAGCTGTTTTTGAGACAAATTTGATAATAATCCAAATGTACTTATACTTGATCTTTACCTTCTGTTTTATATCCATACAGGGCAAGTAAAAACAGCAATGCAAGTCAATAGAGTCGATTAGATCTGAGGGGAAAATCAAACAATATCTGTAAGCAAATAGCTACAAGAACCTTCCTTCAGAAATAGCCGTTTAACTCCATGTCTGCAGAAACAAGTCTAGATTTGCTTTTTTTGAGGGGGGGATGAATATGAAACTGAAAAGACTGAAGTCACTCTAAATGAAGAACGATGCCCAAATTTTGTCATCAAGTAAGAATTTAAAAGCATTTAGATTAAAATCCAAGTTGGCAGAGGAATTCCACTTTGCCATTATTTTGTAGCTGGTTGCTTTGGATATTGAGAGGGGAAAAAAAACGATCATAAGGTTCTGAATTGCATTGTGTTACTGGCCCTACATTCATTTTGTAAATCCCTCGTAAAGAAATACAGAACAAGCCATAATGTAATGGAGATAAAATGCAATCGTGGCATGCAGTCCTCGACATTTACAAGTACACAGATAGGTTACATATCAATACATGCTTGAATTATCCTATGAACCTTCCCCATTCCCCATGGTAATTCCTTTAAGATTTATGTACATGATTGCAGGAAGATTCTTGTCTTAGCATTTTATCTGTACACTCAGAAGTAAGTAAAGGAGGCAGTGACAAGAACGCTACATCATCTCTTAACACGTCACTTTGGAGGTGGGCTCCAGTTCCACAAAGCCGTGTTCTGGATCAAAATGCAATGACCATGGCTTGTGAGTACTACCTTGCATGCAGCATGGGACTTGGACTGAGCAAGTCACAGCCTCTCATAACCCATGTTTACAATCAAGCTACATGACCTTGAATGCAGGGCTTTTACAGATGGGCTGATCCATTCTGCTTTAAGTTGGTCGATTTCACTGCCACTAAAACAGGGAAACCCTCGTGCCATTTCTCACACTGTCTTCCCTGATCACCAACTGCATACGCAAACATACCTGTAACAGTTTGGCTTGTTCCATTTCACAGAGTGTACACAGTCAGAAATGGAACAGTCCAGGTTGACTAAACTCCCTCAACATGGTATACATGTATTTCAATTGTTACAGCACAGGTCAACACCTTTTAAAACCCTAAACTTTTTCAGACCTGTTAGTTAGACAACATACTAGGCAGGACAACAAAAAAATCCTGTTAATCCCCCCTCCCACTTCTGTTAAAAGAGCCCATCAATCATTACAAAATCTACAGACCATCCACAAGCTGTTTCTGCTTTCGGGAAAAAAAATGCTTGAAATTTTAACACAGCTTTAGAATAGTTTGTCGATATTTTTGAACTAGATGGGCTATAGACCTGATTTCTTGCTGTCTTGTGTTATTTAATTACTCTTGTAGAAGGCAATCATTGAAAATGAATCATAACCCTGCAAATGATGTATGCCACTTGCCAGATCTGAAGTTTGTGACTTCACTTTGCCTTTGAGAAAGATTTGGCCTGGATTAAAATATCAGGCCCCGTAACTTTTTTGATTTGTAACCAGTGAAGAACATTTCCTTTAAGATTCTTGTTGGAGACACCAGGGAAACTCATCTCTTATTAAATTGCAAATTAAAAAGATATTTTAACACACTGTGTCTAGTCATTCGTGAAAGAAAAATTTATGAGAATACATTCGCAATAATGAAAACCTGAGGCTGCTTTGCATTCGGTATTGACAGAGCTGTCCGTAGAGAGTTGTGACATGAGTGTCTCACTTGTTGGCACCAAAATGGTGGATTATGCATCAGTGCACATGGACAACTGGCACACAATACCTTCATGCTGTACTGCAAACATTACCCTAACCCCCAAGGGTGTATGTAAGATCATATTGATATCGGGGTATTTGGGACTGTTCGGGATCTACTGAACAGCCATTTTGGTTCCAAGCTTTGAAGTTGGCTTCACTCTCTCTCTACGCGGCTCTGCGTATTCTGCTTGGACACCAGAAGTTCAAAAGCCACAGCAACCAACAAATGACTTTTATTTTGATTTAATGTATACTAAATTTCCACCCACAACCATGCTGGGAAGTCAGGATACCATTTCAATAACTTTACAGAGTAGCCACATGCCTTGTGGTCTGTAATTTTAAACAAACCAATTAAAGCACTCCTCAAATAGGAAAGAAAAGCTCCCTTTTAAATAATTTACACTAAAAATTATAAATATCAGTCTCATAATTCAGTATTTGAGCCAAAAACAACAATCTTCCGACACTACCTTTGGAAGTGTTTTTGATTACGTGAAATTATAAAGGAATTGAATGTGTTAGCTTTTTCCATTTCATTTGCAGCTGTTTATGAAAGCATTTTTCAGCAAGAGATGGAATTGTGACATGAGGGGTTGTTGTTTATCTAAGCAACTTGCAATACTTTCAAACGGTACAGTCTCTAGGCTGCCACACCTGATTGTCACATGTATCACATCCCCTAAAAGTTACGTGGGCCATTTTTCAAGCATCCGACTTCAGAATTACTCAGAAGCCCTGGATGGCAAAACCAACTTCAATTAACTTAAACATTTGCTTTTTCATTCGGAAGCATATGTAGCCAAGTCACAATTGCCCTAAATCAAAGGGGCCTAGAATACAGCTAGAAGGTTTGCATGGCGAGGCCTAAAATATTAAAGTTGGAGATGATACCAAGGTTTGGGAACGCCCTGTCTAATGAATAGTTGACAACTTATCCTCCTACATTTGAGTTTAAACAACAACCCCTACGGGATACACTACAATAGAGTATGGATAATATGCATATATTTACATAGTGATGAGAGGTTGGCGGGTGGTTGCTAAGGATACAGTGATGGGGGCCATCCGTCAGACGGTTGTACTTCTGTTTTGTGATGTGGATCTTGCGTACTCGACAAAGTCATCTATCAGCACTGGCCAGGCTCCTTGAAAGATGAAGAGGAACGAACAAATGAAAACAGAAGCACAAGGGAAAGAAACCAGTATTTCTAACCAAACCTCAAATCCATGTCCTCACAAGATAGAGTACATATACACATAATCACGTTCCAAGGAGCCCTGGTCATGTCAGTACTGGAAATGGATGTAAGGTCGATGTGAATTTTTTTGTGCAAAAGATATGTCTATCCATTTTTCTTCTGAGAACTGAATTCAGGATGCATTCTTCTTGGCTAGAGTAGCATACTTGATAACCCTAACCCCCCAGGGTGTATGTAAAATCATATTGAAATTGGAGGATTTGGGACTGTTAGGGTTAATGATAGCTTATCCCTCCTATGCAAAGATGCATTCTCAACAAAGTTGTTCTATCAATCAACATCAGTCAAATGACCCCCAAATCAAGTGGAAGGAATTTGTGACAGTCTGTGACTGTTACAGCCAAAGGGAAGATTTTAATTGCTGCTACAGAAACACACTTGTTCTGTAGTAAATGGGACACACAAGTGTGACCTGTCACCACAAAATGAGCTGAAAGTAGGAATTTTCGAAAATTGAGATACTGGTGTTTTTTTAATTCAGCAGAAAAAGAGCTGTCAAGTGGTATGTACATAGAACACTTAGGGTAGAAATGTGAGGTGACAATGCGACATTATTCTGGCAGCTTTGCGTCTTTGTTTCTGACATTGGTTCAACATTTCTGACCAGGCAGGAATTATGGTATCATCAAAATTGATGAGAAAATGACATTTTGAAATATATGATCCTATGAAACATTTGGAATTACATAGAAAATGGGTTACTTTTTCCAACTATTTCAAACTATCCAAAATTGAACTCCACTTTAAAATGACTTTGAACCCTCAAATAGGTAAGAGCTGGATGCATCTTTACACCCATTTTGTCGTGACAGGTTACACAACTTGGTCCACATTTGAGTATGACATAAATAATCTCCCACAATACCATACTGGCCACAGCTTAACAGCCAACAAACGGCTTTATAAGAAATAACTGAGGCAAACATCTTGAAAAGCACATTAACCAAGACCAGAAAAAGTTTTTTATGAATAATTCTGAGTGAAATGTCAGAGTAACACTATACCTTCTTCGTCGTAATTGCTCATGTCGTCTGAAATCATGTTACTGAAATCAAGCAGAAGATTCCACGTATCCCTGGGTATTGACTTTTTATGGTGCTCCTGTATTGAAGAAAGAATCAGTTCAAACCAGACTCAAGAATGGAGAATGAATTTCAGCTGGGATCAGGTTCGTGCAGTGCCTTCTATATCTCTGTGGTCTGGGTTCAAATCCCGCTCCTCATGCAGGTCGGGGGGGAGGCATTTAGGCGGTTGCTGCTATAACCAAACCAACCCCTGTAGTTTTTCCTCAAACGGTTTCCCTCCCACTTCTAAAACTGGTGAATTTCCTTCATTGCTTTTCCCAATGAAAGACTTCTGCTTTGCATGTAGGGAATCCTAGGTTTCATTACCAGCAACAATATAAACATCTTTGGGGGATTGAGGCATGACAAAAAAGCCAAAACTCACCGTGAGAAACTTGCACCAGAGTTCTAAGAATTGAAACTTTCCTTCGAGTACTATGTTCCAGTAAGCGATAGCCATATCTAGATCTGGTGACAAATTTAAATACAAGAAAAAGAATATTAGTGCTGTGCCAAATAACTGAATATTCGATCCACTATTCGAAAATTATTTTCCCAATTTGAATATTCAAATAGAAAATGCATTAAAGGAAGGGAGAGTTTTCTTTTCTTTTAAATGAGAGAAATTGCACTATGGAGGGCTTGCTTCAAGCAGATTCAAATGAAAAGCAACAGAAATCTGAAATTTAAAAGGAATAGAAATTTTTCAACAGGGCAAGAAGTATTGTTCCTCTCTTAAATCTTGCTAATCATAGCTGGAGATACTCCAGACATGAGAAGCCATTACAGTGATAATAATATACAACTGTGTGCGTTATTGCAACTGATTTCGTATATGGTTTGTTCATCAACGATCTGCCAGTTGGTACAACTCAATAGTCGAACATTTGATTGAATTGATGGTCAAATATTCGAGTAGTGAATTATTCGACTTGACTCAACCCTGTAGAATATATGAATATGATCATGTAGGAGGGAATAAAGGACAGCAAAGTTGGCATCAGGACACAAATACGCAACTGATCACAAAGTAAGCCAATCTGGCACCCTCTACAGACTTACCGAGACTCTTCTGCCCGGGGTTTTTTGCAAAATTGAAGGTGAACTGGTAAAAATCTTTGAACTTGACAGAATCTCGCAACTCATTCTCCAGCGAGGGGAGTTTTGCTTTCAGCTTATCAAGTGAATCACACCTGTAGGAAATGAAAGATAATGCAAACGAATGGTTCGATGTCAACATAGTTTTCAAGTCAATGGTTTCCCTCTCTACTTAATTTCTAGGCAAGCGCTGTGAAGATCCAATGATGCAACCAAGGCCTCACATACCATTCAAACAAGCCTAAAAATGAAATCATTACGTGTTTGACTAAAGTTAGTCAAGCCTTGGGTAAGTATCGTTTCCACTGAATTTGCTCTTCTCTGTGGCAAACTCCAAAAAGGAACCATGTCACTGTCACGTCCCAAATAAGGTATTAGTCCAAACTGTAGTTGGGACCTTCCCAACTGTGGTGATGCAGTTAGGCTGACTCAACTATAGCTGCTAATCGTCTATACAAATTTTCTCAACCTTCTCGAAGTTTTTGCAGCTCACATCAAACAGGATTCATCCAATATATGCCAGCGTGGCATTTCATCCAGAACACAAATAAAAACTACACAAACAATGTTGGGACTATCCCAACTGTATTTAGGATCTTTTTGGCTACAGTTAGGACAGATGCTATAACTGGGGCAAAACATCATCGCCGGTACCCATTTGTTCCGTGACAGACACAAGCAAAGTGTCTTCCTTAAGGGCATGATTCATTTTACCCTAAATACGTCATGCCGTCAACAAACTCTCTCTTGGTGAATTCACACTGTGTTGCCGCCTTGAACTTCCACGCTATGACTAGCACCGTCCGACTCGTAGGGTCAAGCATGAGGTCATCACAGAACCTGGCCACGCCCTCTGCCAATATCTTATCCTCATCATGGGGATCTGCAGAGCCAGTAAACATTAAAAACTGCAAAAGGTTACAAAGTGGACAAGGTTGAGCAGTCTTACGCTGCTTCATGCGTTTTGAACCAAACATGAAGTTACCTGTGACACACTGTGGAACAGGCTCTTCAAGTTTTCAAAATAACACAAAATATTATACATGTTAAGAACACCCCAGGTGGATAAAGTACAATTACCAATGTAAAACCTCACTTGAAAGTTACAACTATTCCACTGTTATTATTGTTTATCTTATTTATTCCCAAAAAGGCAGGGTAGGTAAAACTCACAACTTCAACTTTTCTTTTGTAAGTTCAAGAAATAATACAAATAAGATGAGAGTCTGGAGTGGGATCCAAAATATGTAAAATTTTGAAATCCAAAAATGAACAATTTACAATTTCCAAATTACTATCAAATTTGAATTTCCCTTTCAACCAAATTTGTACATTATTCGATATCACCTAGCTGTGTCAGTACAATAAAACATCCTGACCAGTGTGATAAGTAATGTGCCATGGTATTTTTGGCATGGCTTGACATGCAGGACACACGGGGCAGTGACTTCCAGTTGGCCTATGTAGGGCATGCAGGAAATTATTGGTGGATGGGGATACAGTGCAGGCTATGTACACGGCTGGGGCTTCTGTTAACATTTAGGGTTCACCTTTGTATCTGTTGTACAGTTTTTCAAGTTGCTTCTTATCTACAGCTGGTTTTGGTTCTCTGAGGTAAAATTCTGGGCGTGAAAAGAAGCTGTCTGATGCGTGGTCCAACCTCCAATCGTGCTGTGACAGGCAATAAATCGCTGTCTTTTCGCCAGTGTTAGTGACCGCTACAAATTGTCGGACTTTGTCCTTTTGTGACGACTTCAACTTATTCTGTAAAACAAAAATGATAATGCGTCGGTTGTGGTCACTTTTAGAGGACCTTGAACTCCATTGGCTTAGTTTAAAGTGGTAAATTCTGAAGAAATTGGAAGAAGTACTTACCATCTCGACCCGTTGTGTTTATGGGAAAAAACTCACCGCGCATGCGCCACATTGAGGGTTAATTCCGGATGGATGGAAAGAATTTATGTTGCTTGTGTAAAGACTGTGAATTCGAACTCTTTCATTCACCTTAAGTTCCAGTAAGGATTGCACTTGCGTAATTTTGTCAACTGTGAAGAGAAATGAGAATTTACAAAAAAAATTGATGAGTTCTTGGTCATTTTAGAGTGGCTTATCCCCAGGGTAACCTTCCACAGCACAGACCTGGTCTGAATCCTAGACTTCAAATTTTACAGCTCAGTCTCTTCATGACGTCATAAATAAAGCACCACTCTAAAATTAATACGAGGTTGATCAGTGGGGTCAACTAATAAGTTTGGTGGTTTGTTCGGGTCTGGGACAAAATTTAATGGGAAGGTCGTCAAATCTCATGATATCCCAACATCAGCATGTGGTATGAGATTCTTCCTGGTTTGGTCCTTATGACGGGCTGCATTGCGGCTGTTGGGGGCATAAATTACTTCGGCCAGAAGTTAGCGAACGGCGGAAAGGTCTGCATTTGGCCCTAGTTGCAGTTTTTGTTAACGTTACGTTGTTACAAATTACAACATCTTGACATGGTACAATATGGAGACTAAGTTAGTGGTGGGCACAACCTGTCGGTAGGCTGGGCCTATGCACATGATGCGCCACCTCTGCCCCGATCTTTGCGTGATCAGTCGATCTTATTATTGACGATTTGTCGATAATCACACCATCACCCAATCGTTTTTTTTATATTTTTAACTCATGCTGGTTAATTTATTTGACAGACTGTTCTAAAAAAAGACATTGTCAGATTGTAGGCCTAGGCCTAAGACTAAACTTTGAATAACTAGGGCCTAACATTTGTAGCCTAGACCCCAACCTTTATTGGCAAATCATGCATTTTGTTGCAAATCAACCTCTTACATATTATTCCTGATTTACGGTTGTGGAAGATTGTTTCAACACAGGCATGAAACGCGAAGGGGAAGTAGGCCTAGGGCTTGAACAATACCAAAGATTTTAGATTAGATCGACAGTAGGCCCTTATCACAATTTGATCGTGCTGATCGACTGATTTTGCTCAACACAAGTACAAGTACAATTATGCACTGGGTCAGAGGTGCAAGTTGACTAGTTGTATGCCTTTTAATCATTTCAGATATTTTCCCTGGTGACATAGCAAATCAAGAATATGACCATAGATTAGTCAGTTACCGTGGATATGGCAAATGAAACAAAATTTTTGAAGAATTTTTTTTTAAGTCAATCAGCATGTACACATGATAAACACAGAAAGATGATATGTTCACATTTTTCTAAACTTGTTCTTTTCTCCATCTAGCTAAGGAGACATGTGCGAAGTCCATTTGAGTACCGGCTATACAGACGAGATGAGATGATCGCGGGCAAAGCGTACATTTCAAAGGTAGGAAATGATCTGCTGCGACAACCCATCAATTAGCAGTAATTCTCCCCATGCTTGACCTTGATCAAAACGAACAACTTCTGCTATTAACCCTTTCGCGCCAGTAATTCTTTTGACTGTGACTGCTGGGCTGTGGTATGCCCTGAATGGAGGGCTTTGTCCATCAGCAGCCCCATTGAACCAGCAGCTGCATGGTGAATAGACTGTAGTGTGGTATGCACTAATCCTCACACAAAGCCGCGGCTCTTGCCATCTCTCCTGGAGCAAAGGGGTTAAGACACTAAGAGCTTTTCAACTCTTAAAAACAGCTTTTCATATGTCCAACCTGCTAAGTTTATTGTAATAGATTTTCTACTTTTAGCAGAAAAGCACCTCCTAATTGGTTGAAAAGAGCCGCGTTGGTCAGAAGTATTCATTTGGTTGGTAGCGATACAGTTGCATTTCCTAGTCATTTGTGAATGTGCGATGTGCAGTTATACGAAAGGAGCCTCTATTGTGAAATATATATCGCCCTCTCTTGGTCCAGCTGGAGGCCCAAACTAGAGTCGAGTCAGTGATCAGTTCACCGCAGCATGCTGGAAATTTACTGGGCTTTTTCCTTCATTTCTTTTCAGGGTCTAGAGGGGTTGAATGATGCTTCTTCCAAGAGATAAGCAAAGTGTTATGCTCAGAGAAGTTCCCACGGAATGGCCTCTTCCATTGAAAACAACACAAGCATCGTATTGACTAGTGTCGTAAGAATATGCAGCACATCTGTAAGAAACAAGTCCTGGGTGACACAAAACGTCAGGGAAATTCATCTCCTTCCCTTCTTTCGAGCTCGAAGACCACTTTGAAGTTGACAAAGTTTGCTCATGTGAAAGCTCACTACCCCCCACCCAAAAGTTGATCATCAAAGGTAACCATTCAGACAATCATGGGACATCTTACATCACCAAGGATTTATCCACTATTCCCACTGTGGGGCTTTTGTGTGAAGCATTTTTGGCTGCAACCTGGCATTAGAATTTACCAGGAAAACAGCCTATTGGTTGAGGCCCATCCTCAAGGTGATGCTGATAATCACACCCCTAAATTGACTGTTTTTGGAACCAGTGTGCATGTTTTTACATTAGGAAATGGGGCAAGGTCAGCAGGCTATGTCTCTGCTCATTTCTCAGTTTACGCACGGCAGCAGTTTGAAATTGGTGCATTTGGTTAGTTGATAAATTGTTCAGGAAGAAAGAATGTTTGACCTTAAAAGTAACTTGTACAAAAGTTGGCTTTTAAGCAAAACATTGCAATGGGAACTTGTCAAAGATTTGAATTTAACTATTTCAAAAGAGGTAATGTTCACTAGTAATTTAATTTGTCATATGTTATTCTTTGTGTAAATAGCTTACCAGTTCAAAGTTTGTCAAAAGGCAAATCAAAGGTACAAACAAAAAATCCACTTTCAAAAACCTTGTAGTATGGATTGATGTGATAAGTGTTCAGAAAGCAACGAAAGGACATTACAAAAGCATGTTGTTCGGGTAGCTCTGGAAGATTCAACTTGAATGCAACTTATTTGCCGCTGGAGATCGACTTTTTTAAAGTCCACTAGGAACTTAATATTAATTCTCTTATATCGTTAAAGCTTCAGGAAATCAAGAACTAAACATAAGTACCTCACAGATTCAGCAAGCATTTGGCAGAGATTTTGGTCAAGGCACCGTTCCATAGGCAAGTGTTTTCATAATTAGAATATGGTGGTCCACTAGATCCCTGCAACTTGATTGCCAATCTAAATTTTCACCAATGTATCTTAGATTGCAGTGAGGATTGAAGTTTCGTTTGGAATATGGACATTTTATAAACTCTCAATAAATTTGAAATGTAAAAGCCACAAGTAAGATTTTTTAGGTTTCTCTTGTCAATAATATTGTTGACTCTGCATCTTGAAATGAACATTGTCTATGAAAATAGACAATAGCAATAAATGTCACAAATCTTTCACTACAAACTTTGTTTTACTTTAGTAATTTTGCTTTCTTTCTTAGCAAAACTGTACATTTACTTTTGTTGCGAAGATGTACCCCTTTTTCAACTTTTTAATGTAATTTTAGGAGGAATTGATTTTATTTGCCATCATTATGACGATTTCAAAACTCATCCTTAGATTCTTCATTTCTCTCAGATTCAGATCGTTTGTACACTTCAGTAATGGGCTGCACTATATCCCACAGTTCTTTCCTTCGCTTGTCAAAATCGTCCTTGTCTGCTTGCCGATTATCATGCAGCCACTTCAGTGTTTTATCCACAGCTTGCGTGAGGGTTTCCTTGTCTCTCGATGTCAGAGTTTTCCAAAGATCTTTCTCATGACCCCTTAACTTTCTATTCACGGTGTAAGCATAGCTTTGCAAAGAGTTCAAGGATTGCAGTCGCTCTTTCACTAGCTTATCCTCTTGGGTAGCTGCTTTGGAATCATCATCAGTGTGACGGTAGTCACATGATAACCTTGCATCGTCGTCGCTGGGGAAACTGACTACCCTCCCAGAATGTAATTCCTTAGCCATTACGTGGACTCTGCCGTTGACGTCCATCAAAAGTGAGATGTTAATGCTCGGTACGCCGCATGGTGCCGGCTGCAGACCACTGAGGTCAAAGGAACCCAAGAAAAAATTGTCCTTTGCAACTGGTCGGTCACCTAGATGAAGACAGACATTTGGTTTTAAAGTTGGGATATGGTGAAAATTTGGAGGTTATAGTTACTTCACTGGCAGTATCGGCTCTGAATCTGTGATAAATGATACTTAACAAAATCATACACTTCACTTTTCGTTTGCAACTTAGCTTCACTGAACAAAGATTTGGCTGTGAATGTCAGGTAATCAAAACCCAAGGAAAAAGTGTAAAAACACTCCAGACTTTGTTTTAAAAATCAATGTTCAGTAACAAAAATCACTCTCAATTACATTAACCTTGTTAATGATATTTTGTAGAATGCGAACCTTCATAAATCTTGATTGTAACAGTTGACTGGTTGTCCATCGCGGTTGTGAACATATCTGAAACTTCTTGGTATAGGAAGGCGTCTTTAGCAAGGAGTACATGCATGGCACCCCCAGCGGTCTCGATGCCCACAGATTGCGGAGCCCATGAACAACGGCACAGTGTGTCACCTGGCAGAAACATAATCATGAGATGATTTGAGACATTGGAAGTCAAAAATCTTGTATTGTTTGATTGGAAGATACCAAATTGAAGATAGATAGAAATTGTGCCATCTACTGGTCTTTGGAAATCTCTGTCAGACCTTCTGATTTCTGTTTGATTAAAGAACTGGATGTCAAATGTTCATATGAATGAACATCAGAAGTTGAAGTGCACATCTATGAAAAAGGCTACTAGAAATGGAGCTCAAGGGCTGGCCATGGGTTTTTAAGAAGTAAGTTTTTAAGGAATATGAAATTGGTACATTTGACAATGTTTGATGTACACATTTATCAGGATGTACATGTATCTACATTTTTACAGCTTTTGTTCAACCGTAACAGACTTCGATCTCAGGCTCCTCAGTCCTTTACCAGCTGCTGGGGGATTGAGGGCCATTAGGGTTCATTATGATACCTTCTTTTGCTGAAGAATGAGCTATCTCAGCGAGGCCAGAGACAAAGGCGTCTTCCAAGTCCGCTCTGACAGTCAACTCTGTACTGTCAAACATCTCTTGCAAAAATGGTTGCATACGTCGCAAGAGTAGTGCATTGCCAGCAAGGACAACATTGACTTGGGGCATCGGAAGGTGATAATCGGCCAAGACTTGCTTCACAAGATGCTGTGACCACAAACGCAACTTCTCCTGTAAAAGTCAAACATAATCTTTGTAAGACTTCAGATCAAAGTAACTTGCAGGAATTTCCCCATGGGTGAAAGGAAGTTTTGATATAAATGAACACAGACACAGTGTAAGTCTTGAATCACAAATAGCATGAAATGTAAGTTATCTTGGCTTTAAAATTTACATTTGGAATGCTACATATTCATAAATGATATGCCCTACAGATATTCACATTATCCAGAGTTACCATGGTCAATTCCTCATATTTATCCTTTATGAGGATCTGTGAGAAGTCCTGGCCTTCGTAAAATGATTCAATCTCGATGTAAGCATGAGGGTTGGCCGTCAAGGCTAACGCAGACAGCTCTACTTCCTGACGAAGCCGGTGCATGGCAGCACTGTCTGCGCTGAGGACTTTGCCCATTGTCTCTTGGAACTGGTCCAGGAGGTAGTCCATAACAGGCTGGTTGATGTCACGTCCACCTAACAGGGTACAGAAAGTAAGCAACAACATCTAGCACAAACTGGGTTTCTAGATTTTGTCAAACATGACCTAAACCAAAAAAATTATTGAAAGGCTAAAGTTAGGAGAAAATGTTTGTAATTACCCAAATCATGGTCATGAGCAGCGGCCATTATCTCAAATACGCCAGTCTCAATCACTGAGAGCGATACATCCAATGTGGTAGTGCCAAGGTCATAGACAAGGACATAAACCTCATCTCTATGCGTCTCCATGCGATCCAAACCATACGCAACTGCGGCAGAGGTCCTCAAATGAAAAAGAGAAACAACATAATGAAATAGTGTACAAGTTTGTTCTTGAGCAGAAGCAAGATTTTTGTTTAGTAAGGTACAGAGTTAGCCAGAGTGAGTAACAACAATCACTGCAGTGGTTACCGGGGAAAATGTAGCCGTGTACTGCTTGATTTTCCCCGGTAACCTATTCACAAAACATATCCTGGGTACCACTACCGGGCAAGATTGACCACATGGTCATCACTAAAACCTGCCCACACACCTAAGCAACAGAAAAACTGTCTGCAGCACGGAAATGAAGCTAGTTGTGTTGGAAGCATAGGATTTACGGTCAGTTTTATTTTCTTACGATTCAGGGATTAGTCTCTTGACATCAATTCCCGCTGCAGTACCAGCTTCCTTGGTGGCCTGACGTTGCTGGTCATTGAAGTAGCTTGGTACTCCTATCACAGCCTCTGTGATGTCTGTGCCAAGGAAATCTTCAGCCATGCTCTGCAATAACAGTATTACATAGAACAGATTTCAGATGCTGTGGTCCTCTGTGACTTAACCTGATATGCACTGTGCCTTGGTCTTTAGAATGTTCATTAATTCACAGAATTTACAATGAATTTAATGGTACAAAATTTAGAAATTCTTACCCTCAACTTTGATATTATCATTGAGGTAACCTCCTGGGGGGAAATTATCCTTTTGTTTTCTCCAACTTTTACTTCAAAGTATGGAAGTTTCTCCTTCTCAACCACCTTGGATGAACATAAAAAGAAAGATTCCTATTTCAGTACCTCATTATTTCCATACATTCAAGGGAAAGTAAAAGGTCTAATTAATGAGTAAAATGTACCAAGAATCCTGATCGTACTTCTAAATACTGCGTACCTTGATGGGAAATCTCTCCATGAATTTCTTGACCTCTGGGTCATCCCAGGTTCGGCCAATGAGCCTCTTTGCTTGATACATTGTGCTCTCTGGTTGATCAATCTGATATCGCCGAGCCGATTCACCCACCAAGACATCCCCTCCCTCTGTGAATGCGACACACGATGGGACCATCTTGTTTCCTAGCTCATCTCGAAGCACTAGGACTGTACCATTCTGGTGCACAGCCACACTGCCATAAAAAGGGCCAATAGATATGATTCAATCAGAATTTAAAATGTTGGCAAACTAGTTTTGTCTTCCAAGGGCCCTTGAGAAGTTTTGTTGATGACAGAAGCGGAAGTTGCAGCCGTAAAAAAAGAAGCAATGAATTGGGCGGGATGGAGCTTGCGCACATGAAAGGGTTAATTGATGGCAACAAAGTTGCATTTATACTGAGTATCACGGTGCATATGTCATGCGCACAATTATACATGTAAAAGGCATAAGTGTGAGAACCAGCGTGGGAACTAACATGTCTGTACTCCATTGACTTGCACTACGCTTCCTGGTTTAAATGATGTCACGCTTTGGTAGTCTGTAGTAAAGCACTGGTTTACGAGACAAGATTGAATAGTTTAGATGGGGCTTTTATTGGGGGGGAGGGGAATTAGTTACAACTAAGATCCATTGGGTATGTAGGTATGTCATGCATACCTGGAGTGAGTGTAACCCAGATAGATCCCAATTTGGGGCTCCTCCTGCGCATCATCAGGCTCTGCATCTGGCACGCCTGGTATGTCGCTCTCCTTAAAGGATTCAGGCACCAAGGAGGTACTCCAATCTGTTTCCATAGAGACCACTGATGATGCTCTGGATACCGCACAGATGCTTATTATAAGCAGCACAGCAGTGGTGCCTGCAGTCATAGCCTAGTTTTTGGAAAAGAGTTCAAATTGTTATAGTTCCAATCTCAGCTACAGCTCTGGTGGTGGTCTTACGTAGTTGGGACAGCATCAATTTCAGCTGTGACCTTTGCAGCTGTAGATATCAAATTCACACACGGCTGCTCCGTAAAACAGTTTATCTACACCAATACCACCATGAGCCCCAACCTTTTTGCGTATTTCACTTAAATAATACACATCTCTTCATCACAGCTAAAAGTCAAGAAATGCTGTTACATACCTTCTGTTAAAAAAATCACCTAAAACCAATATCCAACTAGGCCTATTAGTGTCCGTGAGCAATTTAACACGCTGCACATAGGGTCTAGGACCCTAATCTGTTAATTAAACTTCTGACCAATCAAATGAGACGCCGAACTGCCGACAAGTGTTAGCCAAACTGTTGTGATATTGTCCTCCGATTTAAAGCTTCTTACAATTACTTACACTCACACAAGTTATGACGAAATGTCTGAGCCACTTGGCCACATCTTATTGGTGTCAGTTGTCACCTGGTATGATTCAAAGGACATCGACAGGATTTCATCATTGCATTCGATTTCAGTCCCGGCGGGGTCGTGATTCCACTAGGCCAACACAACAACGTGTAACACGTGTACATAAACTTGGCTCACAGGACCGGGCTAGGCTACACGGCGCCCTCTGTAGCTAGCATTTTGAAAAGGCTGTCAACTTCTCGTTTTGTCAATGGCAGTGGTACCTCCTTGGTCAATCTATGTGCTGTGGTGTTTCGAAAAAAAATTAAGATTTAGACCGTTTTTCCATTTATTGCCACAAAGTGTCAAAATCAGAAGATGATATAGTGCTTCTGAAGCTAAGGACACGTGTCACAAGAGCATGGGCATGACGGGGGAGTTTATGATGCAACCATTGACTGAACCAATCATCGTGCATATCGATGATGTGTTGAGGATAACTCTGCAACTTAGTGCATGAATGATCAAGAAAGGCCACCGCGAAGTGTGGGATATTGTTAATTCGTTCATTTTTGATAAGGCTTAATCCTACGTGTCACTTTATTGCTTTCGTGGTCATTGTTTGAAGAGGTGAGTTGGCCGGGCTTTACAAACTTAAGTAAAACATGGAGGTAGAATGAGTAAAAACACAGGAAGTATTAATAATTATTATCAAAAAGCTTGGAAAACCTAACTTGACTGTTCCTCCATTCAGCTTGAATACAGTGTATTGGAGATTTTATAATGTACTTTTTCGACCAGTTGACTCATTAATTCAGTGTTTAATTGCGTACTTAGCTTAATCATGTTAATGCATAATGTTATTCCATCACAAAGTTCCTGATGCCATGCACATAATCATTTCTTTATTCTGCGTGTACGTGTCCTACGTGTCTCAACTTGCCCTTGCTGTGATTAGAAGTTGGTGCTCTTTGCTCCGTCTCTCTGAACTCAGAGAGGCCAAGGCCTGAGCAAGGAGCCCCATAGCTCTAGGGATGTATTCTTTGCTGACTTGATTTCACTTCTTCAACAAAAGTCACATTCCATTTCAGAATTACAGCTTTTGGAGAATACGACTTCTGTCTCCATTGGGAGGTTGGTTGCTGTCGCCGATATGTTTCAACCTAGGAGAAGGAGAGAGGGGCTTGGATTACTGCTCCTGGTTGGTCAGTTGATGCGCGTTGGCTTTGACCGCATTCCACCGACCACCCTAGGAACCATTGCTATCAATGTTGCTATTTATCTCAAGGTATTTTTTATACAGTCATGGTAGTTGTTACATCAAACCGTTAACAATTAGTTGAACAATAGGGATATTTTCATTTCATAATTTTTCTAAATATAACCTAATCTATTACAATTTTAAAAACAGTGTATAATGATTTTTTAAAGATTTTTTGGGAATATGTGGCAACTAAAAGTTCAAACTGACCTTTTGACGTTGACCAGTGCAACACTCTACAAATATACTTTAAAATTATTTTTCATGTCGAGAGGAAAGAACTGAAGTTAATACTGATCTCTTATTCACAAATACTTTGCAACAAGCTTCAAGATTCCTTTCCTTGTATCTGCTCCAATCAGGTCCTTGATCCATACATTCGGATGTACTTTCGTTCTCCATCGATCAAGAATATTTGTGTGAGTACGTACAGTGTCTGGTACCAGGGCGACTGGGCACGGCTGGCCTTGGCAGCGTGGTTCCATTTGGATGACTGGCATCTTTACTTCAACATGGTGTCGTTCCTGTGGAAAGGTTAGATACAATGCTGCCATGCCTACACAACATAAGGAACTCTGTTTGCTTTGCATTGATGCCCCAGTTTTGCACGTCCAGGGTAATTTACATGGACTTGTAGCTGTGAGTTTGCATATTCAAATGGTGTCCAAGAGGAAAACTGAATGTGATCCTCTAATTCTACATCGTCAGTTTTCAATTCAAAGGAAAAACCTCCTTTTTGTGAAAGTCGTACAAGCTCTAAAAGTTTAGATTTCAGTGATGGCTGTATTTGTAAGCTTTGTGAACAATTTAGTCTTTACTTTCAAGCTTAGAAGAATTCCAGCAATCCAATTTTCACTCTTTTCTGTTTGATTCATAGGTCTGTCACTAGAGCGACGTTTTGGAACGTTCTACTTTGCATACCTTATCGCAGCGTTCTCCTTACTCACCAACATAACAATGATTGGGCTCAATGTGGCTGTGGCAGAAGCACTGGACGACGATTCATACATTGTCTCATGCGCCGCAGGCTTTTCAGGTAACGAGATACAAGTCTTAAAAGTCAAGACAAGTGATTCGAAAGAACGGGATCTTTTCCCCCAGTTGAACTGAAATAACTTTCAGAACAAGAGGTCTAGGTATCAAGTTCTGCCTAAGCAAGCGTGCACTTTTGCGACAGTTCTAGTGGAAGTCGAATTCCTGTTTGTAATATTTGGCCTGAAAATGTTTTCAAGTCTTGAGCCTTTTTTTGGCTAAAATGTTCAAAAGAAAAAAGTTCACAGACTTATTTTTATCACTGTTGGCAGCAGATTTGCATGAAGTTGTGTGGGACCTGCTGTCTAATATTTCATTTGTTCCCCTAGGGGTTATATTTGCCTTGAAGGTTCTGACAACTCACTACACCCCAGCCGGCACCCAATACGTCATGGGATTTCCCGTACCATCACGCTACGCATGCTGGGCGGAGCTTGTACTCATCCAGCTCCTGGTACCAAGGGCGTCATTTACAGGCCATCTAGCTGGGATTTTGGTGGGTCTGGCCTTTGTTAAGGGGCCGCTGAAGCCAATAATGGATGTCATCCCGTCGATGCTGGAACCAAGACAAGGCACACGTAAGGCCTTGTTTTTTGCTTGTGACATACGTATATGAGAAGTGGCTGTAGCTGCCAGCTTGTGGCTCCTATAGGTTCACAGGTTGTTCCAGCCAACGCCGTAACTTTCAGACATAGCCTAAGAGTGCTTGTGAACTGATTGGAGTGTATTAAATTCCCGTTTACTGTGAAAGAAACAAAGCAAACACAGAGTCTTAGCTTTACAACACACCTCCCTGCACAAGCCTGTTACGAATCTGATGTATACTTTCCTCTGGAACTTTCTTTCGTCAGGTTTTCACGGTTCAGGTAGGCTTGGTCGTAGTTCCTACGCCCAAGGAGGTACCGCAACTAGGGGCAGAGCCACGGGTAGGCAACCTGGGGGGTATGACTACGCAGGCGGCATGAGTGAAGAGGAACAGATGCAGGAGGCTATCAGGGCCAGTCTACAAACAGGTCAGTACAATACCTGACCAAGTTGTAGAAGTCTGAAACAGTCTCTGCCTTGAGCAGAAGCACCCCCTCGTCGGTTGAAAAGAGCCATGCTGGTGGGGAGTGTTCATTTTGTTGGTAGCAAGTTAACTGCTATGCATGCATTTCATAGTCTATTGTGAACCAGTGAAAAGCAGTTCCCATTAATGAAGTGTCCCTCTGTTGGTCCCGCTCGGGGCAGATTGTTGTTGAAAGGCATTTCTCCAATGCACCTGTCACACAGGGATATTCCACTTTTGTAAATATCCCTACAGGGTTTTGGATATTCTGAGAAGTTGGAAAAGTTTACCTTTCTGGAATGGGGAGAATTGTGCTAAGCAAATGTCAGCAAGACAGTTCTGCTTACAATCTTGTGCTAGCATTTTTTTCATAAAACACCATCTGCTTATTAGCAAAAGCAAATTCTGCCCCATCCCAACTCTTGGGCTTGGCATAGGGATTTGCAGTTGGCTTTTCACAAATTATACATTTGTATCTATTTCAGGCAGCAGTCGACCCCCTACTGCCCCACCCATGCCCAGCGCACCTCCTTACAATGAACAGCAGAACACCCCACGGCTATACCCTGACCTCAGTGATTTATCCCAGGAGCGAGGTCCAAGGTCGCAGGCTCCTGGTTATTTGGACGATGAGGAGTTACGCAGAAGACGTCTGGCAAGATTTGATAGATAGGGGTTGTGGTGCATGCTGTAAATATTCATTATGGACTAGTTTTATTCCCGTCAAGAAATAAGCTTGACACGACATTTTTCTCTTGCTGGAGTTGGAACACCAACTGTAAATTTACTAGCCAGCTCAGGTGACCCAATCAAAGATGACCAATCAGAAGCCACAGACCATGCGTTGTGCTCGAGGGGCAAGTAGGTCCCAAGGTTTCTCCTGTAAGAGCTGCCTTCATTATTCTGCTCGTGAAATTTGTGTCAAATCTTGATAAACCTAGCATTTAAAAATGGGCAGCTGGGAAAGGTCAAGGTTGAAAGGAGGTGTTCAGGACTGGTCACATGACTAAAGGAAGAGTAGGGGGCCATTCTCAGAATTTTTGAAATTTATAATGGAGAATGCTCAATGACAAACTTTGGATTTGTGCAGCCATTTTGGTTTTACTTTATTGCTTTGAAGGATGTACCATGTGGGAAATAAGTGTCATTTTCGACAGATTTAAGCTTGTTTAAAGGAATAGTGAATATTTAATGGTAGTACTGAGTAAACAAAGTTGTAAATGTATTTGTAATTAATATTTAATTTTTCCTTTACTATGTTGAATAAAAATCTTTTCAACTGCTGCTTTTGACTTTGTTTCCATTTCTGTTAGTTTTGTGCCCAAAACGATATCAGCCCAAGAAGAACAAAAAGAAATACTCGAGTCAGAAATATCCTCCCCAAATGGGTCACCCGTTTCTTAAAGTTGGCACGAGAAACACAGAAAATACAGCCCCCTTCTTATCACCCGCTCCCTTCCCGGTCTCAAAATGGAAGGGAGCCCTCTGTTGACGAGATTTGTTGGCTGATTGAATGAGGGCGCAATGCACTAGACTACGAAGACCATTCGGGAAAAAAATGTGAAGAGGGCCAATTCCCTTTAGAGAGAAACGGTCAAAATTGGTGTTAATGTACCATGGTAAAGGTGACGTTGATTGCCTAAACGTGACAATTTTATCTTTGGTAAGTGAACTTAAAAGGAAGGGACTAGCCACATCTGAGGCGATTTGTGCAGTAGGCGTATATTGATCAAGATGGGCCTATGTCGTGTATGTCTTCTCAAACTGCCCAACATAGCAAGTAATTACATGCCCTAACGTTGATGTATTTTTGCGGTCGGCATGACGTCACTATGACACACGGCAAAGGGGCAAATTTACCCTTTGTGTTATTCATTAGTATCAATAATGTGTAGAAGTTCCTGGACATCCATACCCCTTGAATGATGTGCATTAGCTAGCTATGTAAAAAGTAGAGCGCTAATTGGGCAGGGTGTACCCGACCAGCCCCAGAACTGTGGAGTCTGATGTAGATGTCGGACCCCACAGTTCTGGGGAGGAACCTTGGCACTGATATTTTGAATTTACCATGTGCAATCCACCACAGTTCTGGGGTTACAGAGCCATTTCACATGTTTATTTACATCCACAGCTGATTGTTTCAAAACGACTGTTTTATACATTTGAGCAAGGTCAGCCGATTTCGTATGCATGTCTGTCAATGGCTGTCTTTCAGTCAATAAGTTCAGCTAAATTAATAATTTGTTCCCTTAATACAGTCAATTTTATTGAGTTGACAGCTCTATAGCAGTAGCTGTCATGCACAACAGGTGGCGATGAGAAAGTCCAATTAAAAAAGTCACAGCAAAATTCAAAATACGCTCACACGTTTGCATTTGTTTCTTTCGCGTAGAGCAAAATCAAATGCTCATTCACTTATTATGTGTTCAGTTTATTTACGTATCATTTTAGAATTCAGACACAGATATGCAAATATTCATTGAAAAGCCAGACCAAATTTCTAATTTCCATAGGTTTTTGCACAAACATGGATGTGCCCACCAGGCATCAGTTTGTACATGAGTTGGCGCTCTAGTTTTTGTATATAGCTTTATGGTGGGAGCCCTGTTTCAATGTTTGGCCTGGCACGTAACACCATGCATAGTCGCATGGCCCGATCGACTCACCTAGTCACCACAGAAACATGGGAAACCATGCCGGTAATTTTAGTGTGGATTTAGCGTTTGGAGAACTTTTGAGTGAACACCTTTTTTGATCATATTTTCCCCAATCCCAGATCAAGAATGACTATTTACAACCTGTACATATTCGACCGTAATGGTGTGTGTTTGTACTATCAAGAATGGATGCGTGAAAAGCAACCAGGAATGTCACAGGATGAGGTACCTGCTTAAAGCTTTACAAACCCCTCCTCCCTGCTATAGGTCATCACCATTTGTGTACCACAAAGAACCAGAAGTGGGAGTGGGAAATCTGCCGCCCCCCCCTTACTGGCTTTAGGTTGCTGAGCCTGGGTTAAGCTGTCCCATTTGGTTTATGTCTAAACCACTTTAACCACATCATCTGTGCCAGCAAAAGCTGCTTAGCTTGGACCGTTCAGAATCTTTGAAAATCTTCAGAAATCCAACTGCATGAAATCGCCTGGATGAGTTATCTGAACATGCAGTACCATTCCAACCTAAGTGGTGCACTTTGACCTGCCCAACTTTTGATGGCAAATTTCTTGGAAAATTTCTCAACCTTTTGTAGCCTTTGATCAAGATGCCCACGGTAAAATGGATAGTTGCTCAAGAGCGAGGAGCTGGAGGAGACCGGTTTAAGCACCAAACCAACGCACGAAGAAAGACTACACGATGAACCGCACGCATGCCCCGAACGCATTTGGAGATCTGCCCCAAGTTGCTTATGATTTTCTTTACATTTGCTACCGTTTCGGTAGCAGATACGATATATGCATAGGCATAAGTCTCCACCAATCAAAACGATTGCCTCTGTGGTGCATGTAATAAATTATTCATCATTACAATGGCGCGCATATTCAACACAGCGTCCTTTCTGGCAGTGGTGTAAGCTCTAGAAGACAATCTCTTCCAGAATTGCCTCAAATATGCAACACCGAAGCTTAGGATTCCGATCGACAAATTGAAACCACAGCAAATGTTGGCCGTGAAGGCTGTTTTGGAGGGTCGAGACGTACTGTATTTGTCAATCTTCCAACTGTATAAGGCAAAAGTTTTAAATACTTGGCCGCACAGTTGTGCAAAGACTTCACGAACGCAACATAAGTGGCCTAACATAGGATCGGTCACCCTCCAGTGCTCCCAGTCAGCTTATAAGCCCCACTCTCGGTCGGCATCTCTTCAGTCTCCTGACGACAGACAGAGCATACTGTTCGAAACGTTGAGTTCCTCACGGTTCTTTTCAGAACCATACAGACTCACAAAAGAGATTGTATCCTTGCACGGTGCTACCGCAAGCTTTCCACCTTAGTGGCCTAACATACTCGGACTACTTAGCTCCCAAAACACGATTGGTTCAGAGAAATGTGAATAATTCATAAACATTAGAATATTGAATAATTCAGATAAAACACTGGAAACAAAGCTCCAAAGGCGCTTTCAGCGGCGCGCACAGTCCACGACACACACAGCTCGGCTACTGCATGCAGGGCTTGCATGCAGTTCGTCGTGTGGTCTTGACTATCCATTTCGCCGCGGGCATCTTGATCAAAGGCTAACCTTTTGCAGCTCACACCCAGCAGAATCGATCCAAAATACGCCAATTTTCATTTATAAATATGAAAACTAGATACTGCTAGGACAAGAAACAAAATGACGTTGGTACATGCAGGCTTACACTGGTACTCTGCTATAGTTGGACCAGCCCACTTATAATTGGGACCAGTGACATCCTTGGGGCATAACGGTCTTAAGATAAATGTACATATATTTGTTATTATGCATTGGCTTCTCAAATGGATAAAATATACCGTGTCCATTTTTATCCTTTACCCAAGAAAAAAAGCTCAAGTGTTTACTATCCAACATCAAAAGATATCATCAATTAAGTATGCATTTTACTTTGTCTGTCAATAATGGAAATTTATATTTTTTTCCCCCATTACAGGAGTTCAAGCTCATGTATGGAATGATTTTCTCCATCAAGTCATTTGTCAGTCGGATGGCACCTGTAGATTTGTATCCTTTAAAAAAATTGGAATTTTAAAGGGAAATGAAATTTTCTGGTCGTCGGATCTAGTTATGTCTTTGGTGTACCTTGTCAAGACTCAAGGCTATAAACACTCCTTTAATGGAAAGGAAGAATATCAGACAGAAACCAGCCTTCGGGAAAAGTTACACATACCCAATAATCCAGCATTTTCATTGTCGTTTTTTTACCACAGGTCAAATATTTACAAATTTTTGGCTACAATCCTTGCCAAGGTAAAAAAACTTTTGTGCGCTTTCTAAAGATTGTGGCTACAAAATTAACATTTAGCTAAAACTTGACAAGTATTTATACTTTGCCAACTGAACCCTTTGATCCACAGTGCCTCTTTGGCTGAAGTGCAACCTTAGACACTCAAGTGAAGGTCACAGCTTATATCTCATAACTAGGATTGAATTTAACCTGTTCCCTCACCAATTGTCCCAATATTTGCTATGGAAATTAAGAAACTTCCAACATCTGGCTGGAAATCTCAGTTCAGCACCAGTAAAGTAATTCAGGTGGCCTGAGGTTTTACCCCCACTTCACTCTTCATTGTTTCCATGACGGGTTTTACCATGAAGTAAGGATGGCTTCTCCAGTTTTTGCACCAGCTCGTACAAGCTACATTTCCATGAGACAGCCAGTGGCTTGAAATTTGTCATGAACACGAGTCTCAATGTCAGCTCCATCCGCGACGAGCTACAACACATCTACAGTGCAGTAAGTGTACAGCACAACTTTCACTCTAGCTTTTTGCTGTCACATTGCACAAATTTTTGAGATGTTTGACCAATGTATTAAGTTCGTTTAAGCTTTGAAAATGTGGTTTCTCTTACTTGAAGTTGGCCCAGACTTTACGTTATTTCAATGATGCATGTAACTTATTACCAGAAGTCTTCTGAAGCCATTGAGTAAGCTACACAATTCTTCTGTAATAGATGGCTAACTTTTCTACTCTTGTCTCATTCCATATTTATCCAGCTATTTGTAGAGTACGTTGTGAGGAATCCTTTATGTAAGCTAAGCCAGCCCATCAACAGTCAACTCTTCAAGACCAAACTTGACAGCTACATCAGGGGGCTACCTTTCTTCTCTGCAAAAGTGAACTGAACCAACTTGTAATGTCGGAAATCCTGAATTGATTATTGTAGTATTTTCCCACTTGCAAAGGACAGCCCGGGAGGCTGAAACCAGACCCATAGACATCCTGCATATGAAGTGTGTATACATGTACATATCGATTTCCTTGGCATTCCCAGACCAGTTGTGTTGGTAGGAATGAGGTGTGTTGGAATTATCAGGAGAATAGCCTGGAATCTGCCTCTGAGGACCCAAAACTTTGTATCTTTATGTGTTTTAGTCCGGTCCTCGCCGTCATCAACCAAAACTACTATTTCAGCTGGGCTCACGTTCAGAAAGTGAGAGCTCTTTGAACTTGATACAGAAGGTGTAGATTGACACTAAGAGGTGGGGAGCTGTACATGACTAGTTTTCGACAGAATTTGCACAAATGCATTGATGGAAGTAGCGTTTGTACTGCTTAGGCTTAAGCTGTGCACAGTGTCCAGAGAGGCTGCCAAGGAGTTAATTCTGCTGAGCACAAAAATATTGCTTAGCAAAAACGGTTTACCAGCTACAGTCTCTTTGACTGCTCTCTGTCTGTTGTAGCATAATGCATTTATTCTCTGAGCACTGTTTTAAGCAGAATAGCTAAGCGTCTGAAGAGAAGTTCCCTAATGTCAAACAGTTTGAATGCCAGCTATATCCCATCCGTGCACTCTATGCTTTATACCTCAACACACCAACTGCTGTCAAGCATTTTGGCACCTGCTGTCGCTACATCACACTTGTTGGGTCAGTTTGGTATTTCAAAAATACACGAGTACGAGGGAACAAAGTGCCCACGTTAGGTGGCATATGGCTGTGCTAAATAGCTCTGATAGGGCAGACGATTTGTGCATGAATGCTGCTGTTCCCAAATGGATGTGCTCCAGTCAAGGCATGCACTGTTGGTATATACAATGTGTACCCAACTGGCTTATTCCTTTCCCCAAACTTTGTTATTAAAACCTGATTCTTAGTAAGAAGTTCTCTCTCTCTCTTCTTGTAAATAAATGCACATGTTTGTAGATGGTATATTTGCTGCCCATGTGAGAGTATTTCCATTAATTTCTATAATGAAGTGATGATACTAGTTGATGAATATTTATTTTTAGTCCTAAATTGGACTCGGACTGCAATTTTTTTTAATGCTCAATTTCTCAAGAAAAAGTTGCCCCCACCCGTTGGAAGGGAATGTAAGAATTCCTTCTTATCCCAGTAACAAAAGCAACCTTCATACATTTGCATAATGGAAGTTTTTAGAATCTGACTTCCAAATGCATGTTAGAGCAACGCACCCCCCCCCCCACACACACACACAGACTTCATATAAAAAGTTAATGACGTCCGTACATAGTTTAGAAAAGGTGCTCTTTAGTGATTTCAAGATAAGCGGACGGGGTTCATGGACATACAGTTTTACTGATTGATGTTGTAATCTATTCGGTATTCCAGAGATATGTAATACAAAACTGCTGCAAACTGCTTGCTGACTACCGTGACCTAAATACAAATCTCAAAACATGGAGGGCCTGACGTTTCGATCCAAGCAGAATCTATGCCTTTTGTCTTTGAGAAAGATTCTGGTAGGATCGAAAACGATTTATTCGGTTTTCACAATACAGACACATGTAGGTACAGACAAAGGTGCAACACAGACAAGAAGACTGTTGACAGGAAAGAAAAGGTAAAAAGGTCATAGGCCCTAAAGGGAAAACTTTGGATAACGACAAAATTGAAATAATGAAAATTATTTCTGTTGGGGTCCTAATGACGCCTTGCTTGTGTGGAAAGGTAGGCCTACTTCAGTATGTCACTATGTGAAAGGTCCTACCTCCATGGTTCAACTGGCAAACATTAGAATAACAAAGGAATTGATCATGGGTTTCATTTAGTCTCGGAAGCTCGCTCGCCGTTCCATTGATGTACGCACCAAAAGACATCAACAAAGCTAAGTGGTTGGGGAGGGATGCGTGTTCAGCACGGCGGAATATTTTCCTGTTGCGAAGCACACGCGGTACACGTACTGGGGTTCATCTGAAATTCTTCGTGTCCAGAGCAAATCCGACCCCAGAGCTGGAGCTCAGTGATCCTACGTCAACGCTCGTTGATGATCCGACAGCAGTCATGCCTGATTCAGACCCGACCGCTGCGGATGCGGAATGGAAAAAAATCCAGCAAAATACATTCACAAGATGGATCAACGAGCAGCTGAAGCCGGCGGGGAAATATGTGTACAATGTCGAGACAGATCTGGGGGATGGATTGATCCTGATTGCTCTGTTGGACCAGCTGATAGCATCTGACGGCCGCTCCCCCGATCTGCCCCGCTGTAATAAGAGACCTGTGTTTAAATCACAGAGGTTGGAGAACATCTCTATCGTCTTGAAGAAGATAGAAGATGAACAGATCAGGCTGGTCAACATCGGTTTGTGGTTTGGAAAGAGTTCCATGTACAGACTTCAAGTTGGGGGTACCCGGGCACAAACCTGTGATAATGAGACTGGTCTGAAAAGTTTTGTTGGAAAGAGTTCCATTTATGGACAACACTAATTTTCCCATAAAATGTTATAACATTCGTCTGAAAGTGGTAACGTGTCCTAAAAAGCAAAATTTAGCTCAGAAAACTCTGAAGCATTTAGATGCTACTTAACACCAATTTTTTTTTTCAGACAAGTCTCATAGGTTTGTGCACAGGGGCATCAAAGTGTTTTACATTGTGGAACTCTTTCCATTTTGTTTTTTAAGTAATGCTTCAATATTTACCCTGCTAAATTTGACTTGTTCAGGACATTTTAGCTTTTTAAATAGCTGATAAATAATTGCATGGGAAAATAAGTGATATCTGTGTGTGGAACTCCTTCCCCAAGGGAAGTTATGCCTGATTGCATTGAAACTACTATCGCAAGTTCCAAAAAGCAAAATTTCATATGGATGAAGCAAGCTTGTTGATGGCTGCTCTTATTCAGAGCAACAGGGAGAACCATACATATGCATGCTTTTGACAAGTCGCTACACCCTGTTATTGGTGGAAGGGATAATTAATGTGCATATCAATCAGACCATGGAATGTTGCACAGTTTGTAGGAATTCTTGTTACTAATGAGCACATCATACTTCAACTTTCTGGTCCAAAGGAGATTTATAATGAGCTGACCAAGATAAACTTCACAATCAAGATCAATGTGAAACAAACAGGCTCCATACATTGTGCCAGATGTCGGTGTTTTATCAACTGTTAATTGGAAATATTTTTAAGAAGCTATAAAGTTAGTGAAAACATATTAGTTTACTATGGAGAATATTTTTGCCATTTTTCTCCATATCCATTAGATGCATCCGACATCTTGAAGGGCAACCTCAAGTTGATCTTGGGTTTAATTTGGACACTGATTCTGAAGTATCAAATAAGCCTGGATTCTTCTTCCAAGACACCCAAACAGGCTATGCTAGAGTGGATAAACACTGTTCTGCCAGATAGGTGCATCACTAACTTCACCACGGACTGGAACGATGGAATAGCACTCAGGTAATTAGGACTGATCTGTTGTTGCTGGGTTGTTGTGAGACAGTGCCAACTTGACAGCTGTGACTCTTGGTGGCAAGGAATGGTGTTGATGACAGTTGTGGTGGTGGCTGATGTAGAAGTTATGGAATGGCAATGACATTGAGGGTGATAGTGACAGTAACAGTGACAATGATTTTGCCGTAGCAGTCATGATGTAACAAAAACAAGCACAACTGCATACATTTTCTTGATCCATATGAAACCAAGTCATACCATCCTTATCATTACTGTTCGCAGTGCGCTGATCAATTTCTGCGACCCAACACTGCTGACCAACGTCAAGTCCCTCGACCCAGCCAGTGCCCTCGACAACTGCACCCATGCCATTCAATTGGCCAAGGATAAATTTGAAATCCCTCAAATCCTGGACCCAGCAGACATGAACAATCCTAAAGTGGATGAACTGAGTGTGATGACATACTTATCCTACTTCCCAAGGAAAGGGGGGCCGGGATGGAAAACAACCTTGAACTGGGTCCGCAACAAAGTCCCAGAACTCAACGTACAAAATTTTCAGGTTATTTCCTGTGTTCATTTAACGCTTTTGTCATTCAAGCAACATGTGCACTCAAATTTCAATCATGATGGTTTATTGAATCAAGTATTTGCAAGATTTCTATTTGTTTTCTAATCTTTTTTCTACTACAAAGTGAAGCAAAATGCCAGAGCTTGTAACTTTATTTTTGATTCAAGTAAAAAACTGTTTGAAAAAAAATACTTTTAAAAAATCTACATGGCATGATTGGAATTTTTAAAGTGTATTTGGTCTGTTAATCAGTTCCTGATATGACACATTTCCCAAAATGTTATAATTACTGCAGAAACATTGTAAACTCAGGCTATGATAGAGAAGCTTGATCGCCAAACTACCAAGTCCTGTAAGGAGTCATAATTTTAAGTGGATTTTATGTGCAGATTAAAATCTGTCTCATATCTGTTAATGTGGCTGTCGTAAATACACATAGGAGTAGTTTGGGAGCAAGGAATTGGTAAGGTGGTCGAAACCAGCAGATATGTACAATGTTTTTTAATCAATTCATTTGGTTATAAAAAATCAGGTACACAATGTGTACATAGCATTCACCAAGATTCTCAGAAATTCTCGGAAGTTCTTTGACAAGATGAAATCACTATTTTAATTGCTGATGATTTAAATGTTTCTCTCTTTTCAATAGAGTGACTGGAATGATGGGCGTGTCCTGTGTGCTCTTGCGGAGGCAGTGGCTGAGGGCGCATGCCCAGAATGGAGAGAGCTCAACAAAGATGAAAAGCTGGCAAACTGCCAAAAAGGTACGTATGTAAAGAGGGATTAACAGTAAAACAACATTTGTAATAGTGTCATTAAAAGTCATTAATACATGTAATTGAGACAATTGAGAGATTATTTATAGACTTATTCCAAGGAAACTGTGATTCTCACCAGTCCAATGCCACTTTCTCGTTGACCTTTGCTCATCTTTTGTACTGATTTCGTGAGTTTGTGCTGAGTTTTTTTAACTTGTTTTTATCCTAGGTATTGAAGCAGGTACCAAGTTGGGTATCAAACCCACATTGAGTGCCCAGCAGCTCATGAGCCATGATGTAAAGGAGCATGATGTGTTGTTTTATGCCGTTCACTTCCAGCTCTTTGAGCTTAAACAATAGTCTGACTACAGCATGGAATTAATGATAAGGCACAATGTGAGTACTGCAAATGCCTTCTATTCTTTTTGAAATTTTGTTTGAGAAAAACGAAAGCTCTAAAATGATTATTTAGAGGTTTTTATTTAGATGATTCCTTGAATTGGTACAGGTGCCGGCAGCTGCTTTTATTTTAGTAGTCATTGAAATATATGTAGCATGTATAGCATTGATTTCCATTAACCCTAACCCCCTAGGGTGTATATAATATTATCTTGAAATCAGAGGATTCGGTAAAAAGCCTTCTATAGCTTTCAAATATGCTAAAAACTTCAAACTTCGTTGTTCACGTTGGCCCTGATAGTTTAACATGGCACTTGAGTCAGTGTTTACAGACCATGTACTGATTTGCTGTCACACTTTAAGCCAGGTCTTACAAGCTGCAATTAGTACTTCTCTTGGGCAGGCCAGCACACCAGATTTCGCTCTACTGAACAAGTTCAAGCTAGTGTTGAACTGCTGAACATGTTCTGCTGCAACAACTTTGTGATTTTGTGTTGTTGGAAATTTCAAAAATGTGTGATATATTTTATTTGAATGCATATTCATAGCAACAAAGATGATATATATATACATTTATATATATTTTTCATACTTTCAAAATTTTAGGGATTCCATTTTACTTGAGTCTTGTACTTGTAGACATGAAATGAATTAATTATGAAAATGGTAAAACTCATTTTTTTAACCCTAGGTAACTTCCCCAGATATGTGTGAATGAGAGTTATCTTTATCCAGTCAAAGTTTGAAGAAGTTACAGATTTAAGCTAGGAATATAGTTTTGGAGTGACAGAAGGGGAGTTTAATTGATGAGGAGGTTATTTAGAATATTGGTATAAGATGTTAAAAAAGTAGAATATTAAGAAATATTCGTAAAATTTGAAATCAGATCTGCTAACTTTTTTCTTAGATTTTAATTACGGGGCATTTAGTTGTGTACATTATACATGTAATTGCATTTGTATCATGAAAACATTGTCATCCTGATATCTGATTTGTTTCTTCTATTTTGCTATTTAAATAATGTCTCGTTTGATTGGTTTGACGATAGAAGCCTTTCACAAATACAAATACATGTACCTATAAGAATTAGGGTTAGATTTTTCTTCGTTATGACATAAGAGGGAGAAAAGGTAATCAATAAATTAACAATGTAATTTATTGGTAGATCATTCATAGGGATCAACTATTGTCACGGCTGTAATACGTAGACTCATAACATAGACCAAGAAAGAAGGAATAGACTTAGTGGCGCTAACACTTTCAATTTTGTATAGCTTGCTTGGTGCTTTTGAATATTGCCTAGGTCCATAGATGAAATAGAATTAAATAATCCAGTAACTACACAAATGAATTTTTCGTAAATGATAGTTTTTTGTGCGTATATGTGGGTGTACTATCGTGTCATTGTTGACCTCTGCACAAAAGAAGTCCACATAATGCAGGGTACGATGGCGTTGGCAAATCACGTTGGCCAATCACGATGGGCGAAATCTGTCGACCCAACGCGCGTTCGGAAAGGGTCAACAAATTTGGCGCATCGTGATTGGCCAACGTGTTGCAAACTCTCGGAGGCGCACTATTGTGAATCGCCCGGATTGATATCGTCTGTGGTCGCCACGAAAATAAATTAACAGAGGGCGCTCTACTGTTGCTGCGCGCGCTCCGACGTTCCGTCGTCATTGGACCACGTGTTGTCACTTCCACAGATAAAATTGATCTCTTTCGAAAGTGTAACAGTGCCCTTTAAAGTTATTTCAAACAATTTATTTTAAAAATTAGTGTTTGGTCTGAAATAAAAATAGATAAAGCATATCTGCCAGAGCGCTATTGATTAATTCTCGATAACGCAATACAGTATGCGCTGCGTATTGATCAATTATTCACATAATGAATCGACCTTTGGTATGGTCGCCAGGTGTGTCGTATGCAGGCGAATTCGCGCCTGTGCACTTACAATTATGCATCGTAAAGCTGACGCATGTAGCAGCTGGAAAATGGGTAGATGGTATAGGGCAAAAGCTTGAGTTTATCCATGTTAGACGGTGGCTAACCGAAGAATATGGAGGCCTGATGAAAACGTAATCACGCGTTCAGGAGATTCTGTGAGAATTGTGAAACGAACCTGATTTGCCACAAGTGGACAACAACACGAGGTTCTTGTACTGGACATAAGACTGTTGATCTAGGCCTTATCACCCTCTGCGGTTCTTAAGGGATACGATATTGTGAGCCTGGTGTGCTGTACGGAATTTTATTCATAGAGATGGATTTTACCCCCCCCCCTAAAAAATTTGATTTTCTTAGATGCAACTGTCTATTTTAGCTGTTATCCGAAATTCAGTGAGCGCCCGTTTTGTGTGTGGTAGCAATCTTCTCTTTCTTGGAGCGCTGGAGGTCAGTCAGAAACTAACTTCAGTGTCTTCCGGTCCAGAATAACGTGAGAGATTTAAGAAGGAAACAAAAATAGGTCATGGAAAGTTCGACCGAGGGCAAGCCACAGCGCACTGAGTCCCAGCGATGGGTTCAAATCCAGGAAAAAACCTTCATGAACTGGTGCAACGAGCAGCTCAAGCCGACGGGGAAGAAAGTGGAAAATCTCCAGACGGATCTGGAGGATGGTTTGATCCTGATTGCTTTGATGGACCAGATGATGGCATCTAGGGGCGGGGCCCTCTACAAGAGGCAGAGCCGCTACTCAAAGAACCCCAAGATGAGGGCACAGAAACTGGAGAACATCACCCATGCCCTGCAAATGATGGAACGGGAAGGCATCAAATTGGTCAACATTGGTGAGTATTTTTCTTTTTCTGGAGGTTGTTTTGAACAAAAGGTTAATTGGGGAATTGTATAGTGTTGTGGCATATATAGGAAACTGATGAATCTGATTACATGTGCATTGAAATTGGTTTTGTATGTTCATTAATTGATGGAATTATGAATTTCTCTTGATTGGAGGCTGTTCGACCATTGCATACCTGTCTGGGCGAAGGGGAAACCCACCATCCATTTTGTAGGCCTACAGGGAATTCTTGTTTTGTTCATTTTCTACAATTTTAATACAATGTGTTCAATATTTTTACGGTGTAAAATACTGAGTACAATTTTTTAGATATTTTCAGTGAAATTGTGTTGTGTAAGGAGAGTAAATTAGATTTTCCCCATAGACTACAACATATTCGTGTCTCTTTGAGGGGGGAGGGAAGAAACCGCCATCACTGACCTAGAGACAAGGAACAAGACCAAGTAATGTTGACCGTGAGAAAAGCTGTATTGATAGTAGTCACTCTTATATTAAAAGTGCAAACAAATCAGTGTTATAAGTTTCATATTGAACGTTAAGTTCTTATAGACATTAGTCTTGCTTGTTTGCTTCGAAAAAATTAATAATAGGTGTTCAGTCTCAAGGGGTGCATCTATTCTTCCTATAAAGAATAAATGAGTCAGATGTTTTGTTTTTACTCCTGAGACATGATATCTTTCCTTTTTTTTTCTAGGGTTTTACTCAATTTCCATTTTGTCAGATCTGGTGTTGCATTATGGGGGTCATTTTCACACTGCCGTCATTTTGTGTTCTCAAGATACAAAGCGAACTTTGGCACCAGCAGCAGTATCATGCATACCAGCCTGAACAGCAAATACTCACAGGGCTACAGATGCCATGTTAATATGTTTACTTTGGGGAATTGAATGCCATATGGTGGCTTATGACCACACACAGCTCCTGGCATTGGTTAGACAAATATTTAATTTATATGGAAATGGTCAGCAGTTGCACTGTTGGTAATCCAAATTTTCCCCAATGTAAATATAAATATAAGTGATAAAATAAATGATGAAAAATTAATGTTTTTTGTAGCAACTTTTTCAGTTTAATGCTGAAATTATAAATGGTTATTTATTTTATTATCTAGAATAAACAAACTCAGTCCAAAAGTTACCCCTCTCCCAAAACAACTACATTCAAACACACAGCGACAAATTGTAACAAAACTGAATGAATTTAAAACTTTATATTGTTTGTTTTCTTGTTATACATGTTTTCTGATTTTGATCGACAAAAGGAACTAATTTCTTACTTCAGGCAACTCTTTACAAAAAAATTGTGTTATCTGAGCTATTCCATCAGGAGTATAATTTTGAAACAAATAAAAATCAACGTAATTAACATAATAAAATGTGTATCCTTTGGGGGTATATTGCGTGGATTTCATGTTGCAATCGATTGGTTGCTTGTTTTGAAAGCTGTCTTTGTGTTTCTGAGCCATCTGTCATAGGAGGATAGCCACATGACATAAACAGACTGTTATTGATTTTTGTTGAAATAGGCCGACCTGACCACAGTTTTTTTCCCTGTTAATATCTCTGTGACCATGCACTGATAATGCTTAGAGTTACAGATGTGTTTGGAAATCCACCATTTCACTCAAGAAGATAACATTGAAAAAGATGTCGACATATGTAGCACATGAAAAAAGAAAGGAAGGTGTGAGCTAATAGGAAGATTGGAGATAATTTTTCAATTTTATTTTGGACTTTGAATATAATTCCAGAAGCGTTTGCCATCTTTTTGGTTATTGTTGGTTGAAGCATACTGGGTAGTTTGCTAGCCAGTTGCACATTCAGCTGGCTGGCTTGTTTGTTTTCTGTTTTGTTTACTACACACGTTGTGTCAGACATCCATGTCTTGTCCACTTCTTAAAAAGAACCTTAAAAAACCTAATAATGTATCGGTATTGTTGTGCTTGAATTTGAAATTCCGAAGAGAGTTATTTCTGTTTCCATCAGGTACGGAGGACATTATAGGAGGTAACGTGAAGCTCATCTTAGGCTTGCTATGGAGACTGATTCAGAAGTATCAGATCAGCACTGGCTCCTCTAAGCAAACGAAGGTCCCCAGTAAGAAGTCCATGCTAGACTGGATGGATGCTGTCCTGCCTGACAGGCGCATCACTAACTTCAACAAGGACTGGAACGATGGAACAGCACTCAGGTATATAATTGGGACAGAAATACTGATGCTAAGTTAAAGTGACAATGCCAGCTTGACAGCTGTGACTGTTGGTGGTCGGGAATGATGCTAACAGTTAATTGTAGTGGTGGTATTGTGGCCTCTGTGGGATGGCAATGGCATTGAAGATGACAATGACAAAACAAATATAGTCACATGACATTGACTTTTCTATGGCAGGGGCAATGATCATGAAAGGGATCGTTAAAATTATTAAGTTTGCAAAGATGGTTGACTCTTATGTAAATTAGAAATAGGTAAGACTTATATTTTCTTGACAAAGGTTCAGTGGGCTAAATACTAGAGTCAACTCTGACCATTCTGATTGTTGTTTCAGTGCCCTGATCAACTATTGTGACCCAACACTGCTGACCGACTTCAAGTCTCTAGATCCGGCCAATGCCCGCGACAACTGTTTCCGTGCCATGCACCTGGCCAAGGACAAATTTGAAATCCCGATGATCCTGTCCCCCGATGACATGTGCAACCCTCACATGGACGAGCTGAGCGGTATGACGTACTTATCCTACTTTCTGAGGAACGAGGGGCCGGGATGGTACGCCACCCTGAACTGGGTCCGCAAAAAAGTCCCAGAACTCAACGTACAAAATTTTCAGGTTAGTTCACCTGATCATTAAATTTCTCTCACCATGCAAACTGCGGACTCAAATTTTAGCCGTGGTTTGAAGTGCATGTGATATTGATTTGAAGTGCATCTATTTAAAGTTTTTGCGAGGTTCGATTTTAAGGTGGGAGGGGCTTGTTTCTAATTTTTCATTTGCTCTAAGAAAAGTTGAAAAGATTGATGTGAAACTACTGCATAGCATCATGAAACTTTGGAGTGCAATTGGACAGGAAATCAGTGCCATATACTGTACATTTTCCAGCGTACACATTACCATTGGAAAAGTGTGATACTCAGGGTGTGACAGAAAAAGCTTGTACAAACTTCAAAGTCCCATAGTATTATGTTCCCACAGTCGGTGTGGACAAATTCGTATCTGTCTCATGTCTGTTGACATTGTGTGTTAATCGTTAACAGGAGCTCTTCAGTAGCAAATAATTGATAAGTGGGTTGAAAATGACTGAAATGAAAGGGTGGATCCAGGGGGACCAACTGAGGCCATGCCCCCCCATCCCTCAGGGAACCAAGTTGTTTTGTTGAAGGAAAAAAAGGCATATTTTTGGTCTATTTAATTTCCCTTCCATTTTCCTTCCTTTGTAAAGTGTGTAAAAAGCCTAAATTGTAGTCTCAACCCTCTGAAAGGCCATCAAAGGTTATATCATGTCCACAAAATATTGGCTCTGGATTTGTCCTTGTTGACAGATACAGTGGTTTCTATTGATTCATTTGCTTGTAAAGAAAAAAATTTAGGCCAAGAGTCTCAGAAGTTAATTTGTTGGCAGGTTGGGACCACTATTTTAATCACTATTTTGATTGCTTTTAGATTTAAATTTCTCTCTCTCTTTTTATTCAATAGAGTGACTGGAATGATGGGCGTGTCCTGTGTGCTCTTGCGGAGGCAGTGGCTGAGGGCGCATGCCCGGAATGGAGAGAACTCAACAAAGATGAAAAGGTGGCAAACTGCCAAAAAGGTAAGCATGCTAAAAATGATGAACTGGAGCAGTAAAACCCCAAAATGATATTCACAAGACATTAAAAGTATGAAGCATCTCAAATTGAACGTTTTCGTTATCATTATTACAAACAAGTTTACTCCACACAGCATTCACTGGACCTTGTGAAAAATCCCAGGTGCTCAAAATAGTTGGTAAAAATTCCCCTTGCAGCACTGAGCTTCTGGGAAAAATGGACCTGAAGCCCAAACCTATGAGTAAACAAAGCACTCCAGAAATCATGTGATTCAATGCCAGACTTAAGAACTGACTTTGAGAAATTGACTGTCATTCTGATAATACCAAAGTACTTCCATTGTGAGAACAGTCTTGAAATTTGTTTCACTCTTGACTCTGTTATCAACTTACCAACAACAAACCTTATCAAGTTGGTTCCATATTTGGACATTTACTCTGCCTTTTGAAATCTCAGTTCATGAATTAAAATACATGTATAACCCATCATGGAAATATAGAATGATCATTTCTACAAAGAAATCCTGGAATGAGAAGATAGTATTTTCATTCAACTTGAAGTGTAATCTCAATAATGTGACCAAGGCCTTGACATTGTCAAACTCAGCCAACGCAAGCCCATAAGTCCTTGGTAGGTGTGTCCACGGTGTGCCATGCATGGTTGCCACACAATCCCACTGTTTCTTTAGTAACAGAAAGTCGTTTTGCAAACATCGCAAGAATCCAAGTACTGGCACCATTGCCTGCCAAAGCTCATAACCGCACATGCAACAAGTACACATTTTCAAACTATATATACTTCAGAATGTGGTTGAAATGACTAGTTTGATATTCGACGCTGAGTAATGCGAGACAGTTTGGTCAGGCTAGAACGGATTGAGCTTCATTAGCTGGCATGTGGGTGTGGTGTTTCTATAAGTAACCACAAACATGCAATTAAGTTTATGTTTGGCATGCCAAAGTGATATATTAGTTTTCAACAAAGAAGTTGCAAGTATTTTGGAAATCGGTTGCCATGGTGATGGCACACTTCTGAAGCACCCATAGAGATATTCCAATTGTTCAGTGAGCCCATGGTGACCCTGAGTCAAGAAAATGCAGACAACTTGGAGTCACCAGAACTCAGATGTGTCCAAAACAAGTCCATGAGTTTCAAACTGAGTCATCATTAGTCAAAGATCTGATGAGAGTTGAAGTCAAAGGACTCATTCCTTTGACTCTGTCAATTGCAAAGAGATTCCCAGTGATGTAAGCAACGCATCATCACAACTTGACAAGAATTCCAAGATCAAGTTTCCTCTGGTACTCCTCAAATTCCTCACTTATCATGGCTGCCAGGGGTAATGCCTGAGCAAGCCTCAGGAATGGAATCTGGCAAAGCCTGCCCAGCTCACTGAGTTTTTGTCATATGCTCCATGTACGGCCTCACCCCCTTCAGAGCATAGGAAATCACTCAGGCGTGACCACCTAACACATCAGTGCAGTATCTACTCCCACTGCAGTAAACACAAGCCCTCATGTATTATGCTCAGGAATGCCATGTTTGACAGGCTGTGTGGAATTGTATCTTGCCAAGTCTGTTGTTCCCAGAGTAAGCTCCGCCTGTCTCTCCTCATCGAATTCATCAGAAACTGGCCTGATTGTGTAGTCGATAAGAAGTATAAACCCATTGTTGGTTGTTGAAGAACTCTTACTGTGGTATTGTGCAGTGCAACCATAGTGGACGTTTTGTGGAATGGTATCTCGAGAGCTTTACTGCTTTGGATTGGTAAATTTTTGTTAAACCCTTGGTTGACAAGGTTGCAGTTATTCTTCCGCGATTGCAGCTAGTCTTCACATACCTCGTAGTGCTTACACAGATAGAGAACTGGAAATTTACTTGCCTTGTCCACACTTTTTGTCTCGCTGAATGCATGAGTCTTCATTTTCTCGAGGTAAGGATTTGAAACACATGTACTAACGTTAGTGTTGTGAATGGAAGTGTTAAATTTGCCCAAACAGACCAAGCAATTTACTTTCATGCATAAACATGATGTAATCATTTTTTCAGCATCTTTAAAACCACAATTACTTTCATCTCAACTTCAATATTTACATGGATATAAAGTGAAACATTATCAGTATATCGCCGCCATTTTACTAAGCATGGAGGATATGGGATAAGTTTGTGATCAGTATTGCTAAACATCTTAACTGATCACTGTGTGATTCTCAAACTTAACTTTATGATCTAATGTACTTGGTAATTCCTTTTTGGAAGGTTGCTTTTCTTTTTGTTGGTGTTTACGTATGGAATTTTTGTGTCAAGTTCAAAAGATCATGAGAATGTCTTTATTTGTTGTACAAAATGAAAGAAAAATGAAGTCTTGTTCAAGATAACACGCGGTTTGCCATCTGAAACAGATTAGGACTAATCTTGTCCTATTTATTGTCCCAAATGAGTTCTTGTATCAACAAACTTTGATCAGGCTGATTAAGCTCTACCAGTAACATAAAAACTTGGATGTAAGGTTTATTGTTAAATACCGGGATTTTAGGTCAATTAATTTTTTGAAAATAGTTCTTTATTTGCATCATTTTCAAGGTTAACAAATTGAACCTCTTATTTGAAATTGTCTGAGTTGTTCTTCTGCAAGCATTTCCACAGAGTCAATCTCAGTCCGGACAGTTTTTCTCTGTATGTTCTCTTAGATGTTAAAGAAGTGTTTAGAATATTTAGTTTAAACATTTGAGAAGGGAAATGTCTACCATTTTTACCTTGCCCATTTGTCGGGCTTTTATGTAGGGAATTCTGTACTTTTTAATCAGCCGCGCAAAATGTAAATGGAAGTTATACATAATGATATGGTGCAAAACACAAACGCAAAACCACTATGACATCATCAGCTTCACCCAACAGTCTCAAAATACTGAATCATGATTGCTTTTATGTAAAGGATGATGTCCATATATTGTTATGAGTCATTTGAAAAAAAAAGTTTCCTAGGATTTACCCTTTCAAGAATGTTTTTATCACAAAACCCATTTGAAGAACTGGATAGTTTTTCTCATTCAACTTTGTTTCAATTTCACGATTGGTCTTATGTGTCCATGTTGCTTTAGTGTAGATCTCTGTTAACAATCTAGACTTTGACAATTTGGGAAATACATGCATTACACTAGCACACATTCAAATGTGACCTTGAGTTTGTAAATGGTTGGAGAGAATCAAAATGGCTGCCATGGGAACTGTTCTTTCAGGTTAAGGCAACAGCCCGTCCCTCTGCCATTGTGCGACGGCAGTCAAGTTTGGCCCAATTCAAGGATGCCTGAGCATTGTGTGGGAAAATAGAATCCATACTGTCTGTCCAAGGGTAATTGTGTCATCTCTTACTTGACTTTTCGTTTTATTTTAATAGCTCCATGGTTCTTTGGGAAATATTCAAGGTGCCTTGGCTAAAATTGGGTCTGGTAATGTCGTGTCAATATTGTTCTGCCCACTGACCTCTGTTTTGATTTGTCTCATGCAGGCACCCTCACTATATTGTCTTAGTGTTTGATTTTCTGAAGCAAAGGTTGCTTCCACATTCGTGTACATGACAGCAGCTGCTACTGTGGGAACCAATGGTGAAATTTCTCCATGCATTGATCCTTTATGTAACAAATTGAAATTTCTTTTTATTCATGATGTATATACATGTATTCATTCGTTACTTCTTTATTCATATGTAGTTTCATTTGTCACTTTTTTTTCTTTTTTCTTTCTTTGATCAAATGTCACCTTTCTTGCCTCCAACATACAAGCAGAAAAGTGGTAAATTTTTCATGATTGGATGTGCTTACAGTTTGTTTCACAACTTCAACATTAACTGCACAGTTTTCGAAATGTTTGTTGGTTGGTGTGAGTGTATGCGTCAAATCAAATTAATCGTTCTTTCTCCAAGTGTTTAATGCTTGCTTTTTGATTTGATTTCGGTTTTCAGGAGAAATTGTATTTATTTTATGTGGTTTTTGTCTGTCTCAAATTGTACAAATGCTGTATTGAGAGACAGAGATTGTGGTCCATGCCTGCTAGTTTTTTCTTGGAGGTTGTAAAAAAGTGCACTAGACTGACTGAAATGCTCAAAAACTTCAGAAGATAACAAAGTCTGGCCAAAATCAAATAGTACTTCATTTCTAAGCTGATTTCATAAACATTTCCCTTTCCAACACTAGGACGTTAAGTCATCTTCGTAATTTGAAATAAAAAACGCCTGTAAGCCTACCTGAGGCTTTTTGGTGAACCCATCACCCACCTTGGAGGAAATGCCGGTATAATGTCATCTTCAACGTTTTCCTCGTCAACCTCCTCCGCCCAGCGGAAAAAATACAAGTATGGCTCCTCCTCGCACATCCAACATGGTGTGAACCGAGCCCAGAGTGTGCCAGTGCACCACGTCAATGGAGGCCTGGCTACGCAGCACGTTAAGCGTAGCATCTCTCAGCAGTACAGCCACATGAATGGTATGCCAATTCTCTTCCAGCATCTGTCAGAATGTGCTGCTTCGCCCAGAGGAACGATGGAAAACTGACCAAATGTACTTACTAACCTGCTTGTCACTAATGGACCTCTGTATTGGTATCCCCTTATAGTTTGCCCTAAGCTTGCTCCTTGGACTTTCCTTTAATGAACCTAACATCAAGAACGTGGACATCATTTAAAGAGGAAAAACAGAACAAAATCTAGCAAAGACACTTGTTAACATTTTTTGTCACACCCAGTCTTTTTCATCCATTCAGGTTTCTTCTCTCATTTATGCTTTTCTCATTCGATTGCATTTCAGTTTATAATTATGTGTGATACTTTTGATGTAAATATATGTGCAGTTAGTTTCTACAAACTTCAGTCTTTAAATGCATCTGCTTGGCTTGTTACTAATTATCAAAAGGCAAGTACTGGAGTCTTGTGTACACTAATAACTCTTCTCATGCTTTAACTTATGGTGGTGATGTATAGTCTACAATATTAACTTGATTTGAATCAGTGAAAAAACAACAGGAATTTTCTGTTATTGAGGTAGATCTCAGTCTTTAAGGTTTGTCAAACAAAAATCAACTAAAGGAAAAGAGAATGCAGTTTGACTCTTATAGTATGGAGTCGTGTGCTGCAGAAATCTCTCCTAGTAGAATGTAGAGAATACAGGGAAAGGCCGGCCCATGGATCTATCGGTGACCTCGAACAGTCACGCACCAACAATTGAACTCACCAGGCTTGCTTTTGGCACGTTTTTATTCATGCACATAAAAGAGACAAATATGCCAGTTTGACATGTTACGGAAAGAAAATTGAAAAAGGATATATTAGTTGTGAATGGTTACAATGCAGGAGTTATTTGCAACTTTCACCGGTACTCTGAATATTATCATAATGATAGCCAAAATACCAGATTAAAACATGAAAAAAACAAAGATATATATTTTGGGACCAGTGTATATTTTTGGAAGTGTTTTTGCCTTAAGTTAATGATGGACTTATAACACACATGTGTGAAGTTGGTCATTCACTTTGGAAAGCCTCATTTTAAACATGGCCAGCGAATACGCATGCACACCCATAGGTACAAAGTTATCTTTTACAGACAGTTCTCAAGTCATATTGACTGCATTTCTGTCTAGCACTGGGCCTGGTGCAAATTAATTGGTGCCTGTATCAACCAGCATTCCGAAATGGACAAGCTCTGCCCTAATTGAGGCAATCTTTTCTACAGAACAACCTTTTGTATTCTCTCCTGCCATGATTTGTTCCCCCAGGCATTTATTAAAAAAAAGGCAGGGGGGGTCTTGACATGTGACCGACTGTGTTGCGCACTTCAGTTCAAAAAGGTAGATGCAACATTGTGCCGTAAAAGCAAAGGAGCATTCTGCCATGAAGCTAGCAAAATTCGACTACCAGTGCAGCAGCAAGTACTTATATTGCTATAAGTAGAGGTTAAGTGGCTGGAACAAAATTTGACTAACAATACCTTCTGTAAATGCCCTGGATTACTAGGAGTTGAATGGTGTATTTTTGTACTGGTGAAGCAGTCACCCATGAAAAAAAAGAAAGGGTCATTGCCATGTTGTTGTTTGTTAGCTTATTCTTGTCCCAGATTTGTACATCGGAAGTTGATTTCACCCATCGGAAGTTGATTTCACCATGTTTCACTTGAAGTACTTTTCCTGTGTACTTCTTGGATATTAGAGGTAGACATTAGCTTCTTGTGGTTTGGCGGTACTTTTAGAATTCAGTTCTTGTTCTAGATTGGCTTTCCGTACTAACTGCCCTCTTTGCTGCTGATAAGATGTGAAAGTTGCAGCCTATTGCTGTGGAATTACTTCAACCCACAAACAGCTCTGGTGATGATAAACATTTAACGTTCAGTTGTAGTCCGCAAGTTGAACTAATCCATGTTATTTTGCATATTTTATGTTTGTGGTTGCACAGTTAGCATTCGGTTTGCTGTCGTTTTGTTTACAAAGAAGTTTTATTTAATAGCTTCTATGTCTTTAACAGTGTTTAAGTACTAACCAGAAATTCTCTGTCACTGCCAAAAACCAACACAAGTTACAGAAATCTTTCAATGGATTCAGGCTGTGCATCGGTTAGCCTGCTGTTACAAATGTACTTTATGTGTTGCTTGATCTCCCAAGCCCAAAAAATGAACAAAAACCTGGTTTTTTTTGCAGCACAGTGTTGGATTTGGATTGACTATGAAAAAGTAACCACCAGCAATGATTGATATTAAGATGCAAATAGTGGCTTGTTAAACGATTTCTCTCATTTTTGTTTTTGATTTTGTCCTGAGATTAGCAGAGGGCAGGAAGTGGATAGATTCCTTGTGTCATTAAATTGCATGAAAGACAAAATTCCCTGAATATGCTGAATATTCAAGTAAACAAAAGTAGCTGAATCAAAATGGCTCATGATAACAGAGAAGCATTTCTTCCAAGAGAGAGGTAGACATGTTTCCGAACTCTTTCCCAGGGAAATTACCTGAATCATTCTGACCTTACTCCTTTTTTGTATTGATATTTATACATTCAAGTGTGTTGAGATTTCTTATACTTGTTTTAACCTAGGTATTGAAGCCGGCACCAAGTTGGGCATCAAGCCCACCCTGAGTGTCCAGGAGTTCACGAGCCCTGATGTGGATGAGCTTGGGGTGATGTCATATGCCGCTCGCTTCCAGCATGCGCCCCCCTGGCCTAAGGAAGCCTACAAGGTGGAGAGTGAACCGCCACCACCCAAGGTACAAAGCATTCAAACCTTTCAATGTAAAGTACATCCCAAGAATTTTGTCTCTTAAAATTGAGAATCAAGTTACCCATCTTCGATCAATTTTAAGTAAAACAAATTTAGTAATCTCCCCCTCTCCCAAAGCAAAGATGCAGGTAATTTGGAAGACTGTCAACATAGTGCTGATTATTTCTGTCAATAACATGACCCTCTTCAAATCTGAAAGCCAGTTTATTTTCTTGTTTTCATCATCCTGAGAATTTTTAATCTATAGACAGAAGACCTTATGTAGAATATTTATGCCCACCATGCATAAGGTGGACCTATAAGTTATAAAATATTTTCTTGATTGAAAACTTGATCTATCCATCTACGGCCATTTCTACAGGTTAACTGGAGTGAGTGTGTACAGTTGACCAGTGTACGGGTCCAAGACCGTGTGACCTCTGGAAACACCGCTCTAAAAACAACTCTTCAAGGAAACGTCAATATCCCAGTAAGTTTCAACATTTGAAAAATGGATATTATGGTTGGGTAGGAATTGCCACACCCCCAGTGTCTGGATCCTCATGATTCGATACATGTACCCGGGGGGGGGGGAATATATCCCAGTTCACAATGCTGAATTCATGACAGTTATCTCTGTTTGGACGAATCTTGTTTTCTTGTTACACCATAAGAATCAAAACATTACCATTGTGAGAGGACGCACTACTGTGAAGTTAATTGCAGAAAAAAGCTTGAATAAACATGGTTTTTCCATTGGATGCTGAGTCACCATGCTAACAATGTAAGAATTTCCAGTGTTTGTGATACACAAAAGAACAGCACTCAAGCAGAAGTTTCTCTAAATTAAGCATGCTCAGTTCATGGAGTACATATTCATCACAGAAATGACTAAATCTCATCACAGGTAATCCTAAGACTCAGCATCATCAACAGCAAGGCAACTCTGAAGGACATTCGGGCTGAGTTGCAGGCTCCTGGCCAGCCAATTGCCATCGCCCTAAAAGCTCTGGCTGAGGACCAGGTGGAGACTACCTTCACACCCCTACAGGAGGGACTCCACAAGGTAAAGCTTCAAAAGAAGATGGCCTCCTTGACCCAGGGAGGGTTGAAAGTGGTCTGACCCAGGGAGGCTTGAAAGTGGTCTGACCCAAGGAGGGTTTGAAGTGGTATGACCCAAGGATGACTCAGATCTTCTTGGGGATGTTCCTTACTTTTATGCTTAATATTGGTCATTGTTATTGAAAACAGGCTGAAGACCTCTTTCAAAATCTTGGGCAGCTTAGAATTTCTTCCTATTTTCTGATTTCAGAATTGCTCTGTCTGAATCGTGTACTTTCTCCCAAAAGGTTAAAACTGGACTTGTTGGTCTTTGTTTTGTAGCTGACAATATGGTGTAAAGATGACATCGTAGACGGCTTTCCCATTGACATTCTGGTGGAGCCAGACATGACATCACACCCAAGGAATGTCCGCATCGGTACCATGTCCTCGGCTTCTGTAGGAGAGCAGTTGCAGTTTCAAGGTAGGTCCTCTTACTAAACTGTCTAGGAAGGCATCCCACTCACAAAGAGATCACTGCGCTGATCCGCAAAGCAAATTCATCACAGTGTACCAAATTTATCCTAAACTATATCCAGAAAGTCTCAAAACAATACCAAACTTCTGTTGAAAAGTGAATAGGGCATCCTCCCCCCAAACATTTCCAGTTATACATGGCCTAAAATTGACGAGGAAGTTTGCTTGTCAGTTCAAATTGTAAGAGGTATGCAGATCAGAAAACAAAATGTAGAAAATGCTGTTTTAGGTTTGGAACTGTATAGAGGTCATTCTTCTGAACCTGCTGCAAAGTCCCCCTGCTTTGACCAAAAAAAAAACCAATTTGTGTAAAATTGAAGTATAATGTGTTGTTTATCACTCTCACAAATGTTTTTTTAATTTTTGTCCAGTTGATGTCTCGGATGCAGGGCACGGGGATCTCTCTGTAGACATAACCAACGGTTTCATTCAGCTGCCAGTGCGCATCGTGCGTCAGGGTAAGGTGTACACGGTTCACACCATGGCTAAGGAATGCGGCACCTACAGAGTCTACATCAAATGGAACGGAGAGGACATCACAGGTATTCCATGATGAGTTGTGGATCATGTGATCAGCACCTCCATTCAGTGAGGGAGAATTTTTGGAGGGGTGGATTGGGAGGTCAGTTCCTTAACAGCTGCACTTTGTACACATTTAAGTCTGTTGTTTGTCAGCAATTTACAAGTCAGTATTAAAAGAATGGCTTGGAAATGATTTGAAGACCTAAGTAACCTCCTTGCTACCACTTAAAAAGCAAGAGTTTAAAGAAAACCCAAACTTCCTGCTCAAATTCTCACTGTTGAGCAGTCTTAATTGCTTAATCATCTAAGTAGCTGAGCTCACTTTTCTAGGATAGTTTCAAAATGCCATCCAGGGTTTGGAAACAAAGGTTCTGTGCTTAAAAACACACGTAAGTTGTCTTCCTTTCATTGCAGATGATCCCATGCAGATTGAGGTGCATGACGCATCACAGTGCGTCGCAAGCGGTGAGGGTCTATCCAAAGCTAAAGAAGACCAACCTGCTCTCTTCACTGTAGACACGCGCCAAGCCGGCAAAGGAGAGCTAAGAGTAGTTGTAGAAGGTCAGCTATGCTTTCTTGCTTATTCTTACAAAATGTCAGTCTCTTATCTCACCGTCCTTCCAGTGTAATGATCTTTCGTCAGTGAGTGAAACTTTCCAGGTTCCGGATATTCTGGGAGCAAAAAGCAAAGATGTATGATATACCTCGCAGGATATCTTGGAGGCAGAATCTCTAACTCTGTGATATTGCCTGAAATATATCCTGCAGTTAGGATCATTAAGTTTCAGAAATAGCCTGTGGTGTCACAGTAAAATAGCTGAAGATTTGTGACTATAATTTGAGATCTCCTGGGTGCAGGAACTAAAGAGTTAACAGTGAGTCAGACACTGGGTCAACTTTTTTTCAGATGGCTAATGCTTTATAAAGATCTGATTCTACTTTCATGCTTTCCGCAGTGAGCCATGCTAACACGGTAGGCCAGGCTGACCATGAAATGTTACTTCACTTTGTCTCTGCAGTTACCGTCCAGGCTCATGCATTTTTAATGGGCCTGGTTGTAATATTTTCTTGCAGGTCTTTGTGGCTTGGCTGAAGGAAAAATTAACAAGTGTTGCCAATTTTAAAGATGCTCTCCCCAATTAGCTGTCATTTTTCTGTTCAAATAATGTATAGCAAAAAGTGATCTTGAAAAAGTGTGATTCACCCAGAGTATAGTCAGTGCCTTTAAATTTATGCAGCAATGAGCAAAGTCACTTTAAAAATTCCTGTTTTTATCAGAAGAATGAACTCTCCTTATCTCAGGTCCGCATTCTATTGCCAAGTGCAGCATTGATAGGAATAGTAACGGCACATACACTGTGACCTACATCCCTGTAGAGGTCGGCCTGTTCAGCATTAAGGTCACATGGAATGGAAAAGACATCTATGGTAAGAGATTCCAGTTTCCATGTCTTGGAGATTGACTAGAAATTCATCAGCACTTAATTTCTCTCTGCTTAGCTTGCTTTGAGCTACAGTCTGTCCTGCGGTGTGACTTTTCATCAGAAATGTATCCTGAAAGCGAGCACAAATTCAATTTTGTATTGGCGTTAATGGGTCAGAATTCTTCGCGGTTCACAGGGAGCCCATTCCATCCTAAAGTGACCGACCCACGAAAGGTGCGTGTCATCGGTGGCCATGTGCCTGGCATGGGGGACAACGGATTGATCCACATGACCATGGGCAAGGCCTACATACTGGAGCTGGGCACAGCAGAGGCAGGACCAGGTAAAAACTAGGATGACAAGGAAGAACGGTTGGACTTCACATTTTGGGATGATTAAGTAGTAGGCCGTGTACGGTCACTGTGCATTATTATCAGTAATATTTGCTTGTATTTTTTATCTCCTTTAGGTAAGATGGTTGCTGAGTTACAGACGCCTAGCAACCGGAGATTGCAGCTGCCAATCGATGTGGAGGCAGATGGCAGAGTCACCATTCGATTCGTCCCTGATGAGGAAGGTAGGAGCACACATTTATTTTTTAGACGATTCAGTGAATGAATTTTCCATTTCTTGCTGAAAGACAGTAGTCCACAGAACTATCATCATACCCAGTGACCTCTACAGCCATAGTACCAAACATAGGCAGTAACTTTTCTTTTCTATCGAAATGCACCTGTGGATGCTAGTAATGAGGCATGTTATTAAACTTCATTCAAGCTGGTATCTCATCGGTTGCTAGTTGGCAGAAACATTAGAGATGTTCTTTAATGACTTGATTTCTCATTTGGCTAGGGGACTACATGTTGCGGATTCTGTGGTCAGGCAACCCCATCAAGGGCTCCCCCTACAGGATGACATGTAGGAAACAACGGGTACCGATCGACCACACCCAGGTCAAATGTCACGGTGTAGGTCTACAGCAGGGCAAGGTTTTTCAGCAGTGCGAGTTCATTGTGGACGGCTCATTGGCAGGACCAGGTACGTCCCCACCCCCCCCCTCAGTTTGGTGGGAACAAAAATGTTGTCTTAATATGGCTCAACCAAATTTTCTTTTACAATCAGTTGCATCGTATAGAACAACTAAAACCTGTGAACTAACATTTCACAAAAATTAATCGGAATTTTGCATTACATATTTTGAACCCATCACAAGTTGTGTGCAATAGTTTTGTTTTAGTCGTTGATATTTGATTGTAGTTTTATCAAGCCACAATTTTCTACTATGGTCGGCCAGCATTACTAACTCCTACCTTGGCGTTATCTTCTTTAAGGTACCCCGGGTGTGCGGATGAGTGGGGTTAAGTCAGATATCGTTGTGAGTCTGATACCTCAGGGAGGTAACATCTACAAAGCCATCTATACACCAGAGGTTGCAGGTATGAACACAATTAATTGTCAACATTTTTAAAAGCGAGAGTTTCCAAAATGATAAGTTTTGAGCGTGGGTGAATTGTCCAAATCGTTGCAGCATGTTTTCTTTCTCATGAGCCAATATGTTTTCTCAGAGTAAGTCAGCACCGAAATTTGATAAGCAATTAAGACAATTTTGCTAAGCAACTCTGTGAAATTAACCTCTGTCTTTGTAGTTTTGTTCTGAAAATGATGTGCCAGCTCTTCCTGTTCTTACTCCTTTTTTTGGTTCATTTTCCAGGTGCCTACCTACTGCACCTGACGTGGTCTGACAGACAGGTGCCGGGATCCCCCTTCAAGGTGACTGTTGGGGAGAGTCCTCGGGCTAGCCGTGTGACCGCCACAGGGGCCGCACTCAAGACCATTGTGGCCAACCAGACCTCCAGACTGGTGATCGATAGCAGGGAGGCTGGCTCAGGTAGGTGGTTTCTAGCAGTTCCGCCTTTCCTCAAACAGATTGCGTTGGATTCAGGCATCATAAGATATTATGCTATTGTGTAATAACCCAATAATCTAGCTTTTTAATGAAAGTCGATTGAGTGCACCTTTAGTTTTCTCTTGATAATGAAACACAAAATTTCTGCCTGTCTTTAGAATCCTCCACACTCTCCCCGTTCTTCTTTTTTTGTGCCTTGTGCTTCATCCTTATCCTGATATCAAACTTTATGATCTGCCTCTCCATATAACCCTTGTAGGTCAGTGGTTTAATTAACTGCTAAACAAAAGTGCTTGCCCTCAAGAAAGTACTCAGTTACCGAAAGCTTGGCAATCACATATTTCAGAGCGCTGATTTGATATTATATTCTTGTCGATACACTAAACAAAAGATCTTGGCTCAAATCCCATCAAAGTAAGTCTGTAAACTTTCAATTCAGGAAAGCCTGAGCAAAATGTAGGCAAAACCCATGTGCGCATTCATGTTCATCAGGCTAGCAAGCACAGTTCTGTTAACTGATCCAACAGGGGAATTGACGGCACGCTGCATTGGACCCAATACCATGGCAGAGGTTCACATCGGTGACAATCGCAACGGGACCTACTCGCTACTCATCTGCCCCTCCGAACCTGGCAGACACACACTGGAGGTCAAATATGGAGAGGACCATATACAGGGTAAAAAACTGACAACTTTTACCACAAAACAAAGGATTTACCAGACAGGCCAGATAACACGCAAGTTTACTGTACTTCCTGACAAGCTGGCCTGTAACAACAAAGCGATTTCAACAGGAAAAATCTCCTACTGTTTGAGGGTGTCTTTCACCTTTCCTTTATCATCTGACCTGGTTTCCTTCAACTGCAACTTCATCATATTTGTTCCAAGACATCTTCAATCGCCACTCTTGCTTCTACATTGATGTTTGTTTCCTCCACTCAGGGAGTCCCTTTTTACTACGAGTCGCAGCTGCCCCTGATGCCAGCAAGGTCCGATGCTTCGGACCGGGGCTGAACCATGGCGTACTGTCCACATTCAACGGCAGGTTCATCTGTGAAACGAAAGGAGCTGGGGCAGGACAGCTGAAAGTCAGGGTACATGGCCCTAAAGGTAGGCCAGTAATATCCCCAGTAGCAGCAGGGCTTTAAGTGTTTTGATGAGCATGATTATATCAACAGTAACACACCTGTTCCTCCTTCACCTTAGAAGATTTGATCACTTTTTTTTTAATTACAAAATAATGAAATGGACAGATTTTGAACTATTAGTACAAGACTATCGATTTCAAACTTCTATGCAGTTTTTAAAACCTGGAAGAGTTGGGACATGTTTTTTAAAACAGTAGTGAACTTTTTACCATCAGTACCCTGGAAATCACATTTTGCCATACAAGAAGTTGGATGAGGCATTATTTGTTCATGTCTTTACAACTTGAGTAGCCTGGTCACAAATAGTTACCGTAAATTTCAGAGATGTTTTTCAACTAGTCAGTGTTCACATATTTACCCTGCCAATCACCAGGAACGGTATAACTGTTTTGGTTTGTTTGTTAAAGGCGCCTTCAAGGTTGAGATGCGACGCAGTGACACCAAGGATCGCACCATCGATGTCCGCTACAACCCCGAGGAGAGTGGAGAATACGCCATCCAAGTCAAGTGGTCTGACAAGCACGTACCCGGTTCCCCGTTCCTCATCAAGGTTGTGGATACCAGGGAAGAACTGGAGGCTCTCATGCGGGAAATGTCATCCTTTGACGAGAGACCAACCGGCCAAAATGGCTGGTCTGAAGAAATATGAGGCTGATGAACAGTTAACATGGTAGGTGATTTTGTTGGCAAACAAGAAAACTTACAGTGCCTTTTGTAGGAGTTACATAAAAAATCCTCAAGTTTTTGATTGGAATAACTATGTAAACAACAATTAGGTTTCCACAATTATGGTGAGACTCAACTATGGTGAGCAACATTTGAGAAAATTTGTATTTGCTTCAATCCTTGCCATTTGGACATTCTGCTTGCTTTCTTGTAATTGGGGCTTGTAAAATATTGCACACTAATTATACCAAGTATGGAGTGCTAGATTTACAGAATTGCCGTACCATAATTTAAAATTGTAGTTGGGCTAACAGGAGGTAGAAGTTGATGGTATTCACTGTAAATATTCTTATCAGGTATTGATTGGTTCATTCAATCTCACGTTCCGTTGTCACAGGGCTTTTGATGATTATAGCTGGAACTCAGAACGACTCATGATTCCTAAAATCATTTGCTATTGAAAATTTACAATACAGTGTTCCCCGGTACGGTACAAACATAAAGGAAGTCTCACTTATCCATTAATTTAATGACCCTTTTGATTAATCAATTACTCATATAAAGATACTTACCATTATATACTTATTGATTACTCAGAAGTCTTCCTTGTGTATAAATAATTATTATCCTGTTAAATTTGATAGTATTCGATGTTTAATGTATTACGAATAATTTATACCGCATATGTAATTATGTTACTTACCAGCATTGAGTAATACAGTGATCATAATTTGCATCCAAGGGCGGAGCCAGGACACTCCTAAAGGAGGGTTAAAGTGGTAATGTACAATCCAAGAAATACAGTTGTACAGCAACGGCCCGTGGAAATTTGGAATCTGGTGTTGTTTCAGTTAAAAAAGTAGTTGCCTAAATCTGTGATTTTTGAACTTGTTTTTTAAAAAGTTGTAAGATGAGTTTTGAAGCTTATAAGCCATTTTTAAATGAAATTTGGGGAGATGGTTTTGAAACGTTGAAGACAGTTTGAAACCTTTCAGTTTATCAGGAGTAACGTGTCCAGAGGATATACTGTGTGATATATTTGATGAATTTCATGTACTGTTTTGTATTGTCCCATTGATTGTACACTTTGCAAGAACTTTTCCTCAATCTGTATACTGATTGTCATGCAAATGTCCAACCATGAGGAACATTTTGCTGAAGTATGTGGTGTCTGATATGCATCTTGAATCTCCCGGAACAAAGCATAATTGTCCTGGAGAAATTTTACTAACCTGATAATTTTTGTATTTACCTTCAACTATTACATGTAATCTTAATACTCATGTTAACAATCATTTGGAAATGAACATTTTTTTGCATGTACTGTTCCTGTTTCATTTTTCTCCAAGCCATAATGCTGTGAGTTAAATGCTGTGTGTAATTTCAGTACTTTTGTTAAGTGGTATGCATTTGTATTGGTCCGTGGATTTTTGTATGGAAGCATGTTGAACAGAAATAAAACTTGAATTTTTTTTAGGGATGTAAACATGGTTGCCTTCAAATTCAACTGTTCCAATAAAATGCCCATCAAGTTTGGAAGGCCCAATACTTTTGGCGTCCACTCAATCTGTCTTAAAGCTAAATATCACTCCATTAATTTCAAGCCTCTACTGAAGTTAATTTCAATATTTCCTCATTTTGCAGCAATGTGATGTGTAATGTTCAGGTATATTGTAGCTCATAACCTTAATGTTCAGTCACAATCTTGGCCAGCGCCAAATCCATTTTTCTGGTGATATTTTATTTATCATCTGTTGGCAGATTTCATTTCTACATCTAATCATCAAAACAAACAACCGTTAAAATACTTTTGCCGTGAATTATTGCTACCAAAGGCACTATAAAGCTCAATCCATCTCTTCATGACAGCTATTAGTGTATCAAAAAGCATAAAATAGAATTGTATACATGAATAACATAAATATACACAAACTTTTTCCCGCCTGAAAATATGACTTTCTGTTAAGGCAGCGATGATGCTGATTTGCGCTAATGTACAAATTGATCTATCATAAGTAGACATCACTAAGTAGAATTCTTATTACCATAACATCACACAAACCCTGATTTTAAAATTACAAAAAAAAGACAAAAAAATGAATACATTCCTTGCCATAAAGTGTATATCGAAAGAATGGTCAGTGACACCATCTACTAAATTCTCTGAATACTTCAAAACTCTTCAGAAGAAAAATGGGTAATAACTTTATCAGATGCAATTACAATATAAATGTCGTATGAACTCATAAAACCATGAATTGACCACAGGCAACCTGTAAGAAATTCTGGCACAGTTTTTCTCTAAATTGAATACTAATTTGGTACATACCAGTAAACCCAATGTTCCTGATACTACCATCATGCCTCTATCCACAATTGTTAGAATTGTTCAAAATAGCAGAATACACAAAGGAAATATACTTTGGACACCCAAGTGATTTCCTGAAAGAAAAAAAAAATAACGGATAAACCTGTCTGAAACATTACAGACAAAAGTATTTTCTTACAGGAAATTTAGGAATCTTATTTCATAAAACTTTTGTCAAGATGCGTCAATTTCTTGCATGGATAAAAATAACTGTAAGTGACAGAAATGAAAACAAATTGAAAGCTCCCATGAAACACCAAAATAATTTTTCTAGAATAACATGTACACAACCATAGACCATGATTACCAACAACGGATACCAAATATTCCGGCATGTTACATATTGCATCAAATCTGGATACTGAATAGAAATTCTCCACCATGTCACAGTATAGTTATTTATGACTCAAGACTTTTTTGTTCTTAAAGTTCTACCAAATATAACTGGGAAAAAAATCAGAACCATTTTAAGTTCTGATGAAGAATTCAGAAAGGGAATTATGACCTTCCAACAACCCTCTGACAATGGACGTATTACGTAACCCCGGGTCATATCTTCTCAATTACTTCTAGCGACACATGGCCACTCATACAAAGAGCTTGAATGAATACATACCAAGTAGTGATTACTTTGCTAGGTGTGTGACTGGAAACAACAATCAGTGAATACAGAAACTTAAAAAGCCAGCTTTATAAATTTGGAGAAGAAATTACAGTAAAACCTCAATCAGAGGTCCTTTGGAGTTTGCCGATGACCTTGTTATAACGGGAACCTTTTATTATCAGGAATGCAAGCAATGAAAAACAAATGAATGGAACCAAAAATTGTCCTCGTTATGAGTAGAATGCTGTGTTAACTGTGCTTTCATTAACAAGATTTGACCATGGTTCATGGAATTTCGAATCATTTGAAACCAAGACTGGAAATGCTTTTAAAAAGTCATCACTTTGGGAACATGACTTTGTCATTCATTATACATTAAACATGATTAATCTCTATCCCCTCATCTACTCTGCCAAAAATAAGAAAACATCTGTTTCTAGAAGCGAATGTACCTCTAATTTCAGGCTCCAATCACACAAATCACATCAAAGAAACTGCACATTATTTAAACAAGCGAATTAGAAGAAACAAATCAAACTCAAGATGAAAAATCAAGAATGACACAAAAGAAAAAATGGCGCAAAGAACCAAAGAAACGCCCTGAAATAAGACTTACAAAATGTGAATACCAGATGTCGGATGTCTGGATTTTTCATGAAAACTTCACCACATATTTCCTGTTCAGGCCCTTTTGTAGATTTATTAAGATCTCTTCATTTAGTCCTCAATTCAATTTCTCAGCTTAAACCTTAATTATTGTTATAAATACAGAACAGGTACAAGGTAAAGTGGACCCAAACTACCCTAGTTCTCTGGTTTGGGGAGTATTATTTTTAACTTACTCCAGGTTTTGAAAATGATGTCAATTTTTGACTGTTCAATTTGACTGACAAAAATATAAAGGTCACTTATCCCTCTGATAGATTACATTATCCATCAATCACTCTTTTTTGAGGAGAAGTCATTAGTTTTTAAAGATAACCTTCTGAATGCAGCGACTTTTCCAGTTTATTCAAAGTACTGTCTGAACAAATAATATGTCTAAATCTTATACTACAAAGAAGTACTGTTTTTCAATGATGCATATTTAAACTGCTGTGAACCTGTCTGGACTGGTCCAGATGGGTTTAGTAAAGAGTCGGGTCTGCACCTGTCAAAGGTGAGTACTGGCATCAAGTACTAAGAACTGGTTGGGAATGTCACATGTCAGTATTGGTTAGCAAATACTGATAAAACATGCTTACCGTCTCAGTGCTGGTCGGAACTAGTTTGAACCGGTATACTCTAACCGTTTACTTGCGACTGTTGGCTCTCTGCTTATTCATGTTTGTCAGCATTTGGCTGATGTAAGAGGTCAAGAGGTCATCCATCTTGTATCCCTGAAAACAAGTAAAACAGAGAAAAACTGATAGAAAGAACTTTGTTTCGGCAGTTAGCAAGTTTTTTGATTTCCAGTGTCTTCCTCGACTGAGTTCATATTTGAGAAGGGAACTACACTGCTTTGTACTGTAACAACCAAAATACAGCAAACTGCCAATGTGTTGTACTGAGGTACATGCTCTACATTCAAGATACATAAATCTAAAAAGTAAACTCCACCAGAAATCCACATCAACAGGTGTCACAAGGTCATAAATGGAGTGATACTCCTCTAACTTTTCCAAACTGCGTTTTCATTTCTTCTTAACACAATATCTTACCAGCGATGTTTCACAAAGCAGCTTGGTACCCCGCACCAGGTTACCGATGGTCATGTGGAAGTAGGTGTTGCCACTGCTCCAATTAGAGATCTTGGTGAAGGAGTAGGTAGCCAGAGTCTCCTGTGAAGAGGGTGAAAATAACAGCGTGAAGCAGACCCTTCAGAGGGGATACCAAAATCTGTTTCACAGGCAAGAACCAGATACGATTTCATGGCGCTTCTGAACATCTTGACAAAAAAAAACAAGCCTAAGAAAAGATGAAACCTTACTGAGAAGAAGTGTACTTCACGCCATATAAATGCTAAGTGTCAGTCATAAGTCTCAGCTTTAGGTATTTATAATTATTCACATTCTGAGGTAGTGAGATTCATGTGGCTTACTGCAATTCCAAGTTCCTTTGACTGTGTCCACATTACTGGCAGTGGCTTAAAATAACATAAACCACTGTAGAAGTCACTGGCTAGCCACTTCCTATAGACATGAGTGTTATTGTAAGCCACAGCCAAGCAGTTCAAAACCTGCCCATTGTTGTGCACAACCAAACAGGTTTTTTTCAACACTGGGCTTTGGTGAGATGTAACATGGGACCATTACCTTACTGCGTGGATCAATCAGGTTGACGCCGAGCTTGTTGATGGCAATCAGCAAAATCTCTGGCATGGTGGGCTCCGAGGTTTGCTACAAGGAAACAAGAAGAGATTTTAGTCACATGAAATCATCCATGCATTTGATAAGACATACAGTATTTCCTTGGCCAAATAAAGCTTGGCTCGTCGGAAAACCTAGGTCATGAGGCGAGAGATTATAAGACAGTCACTTCTTGTTTCACTCTTAGTCACACTTCTCCTGAGCTGATCCACTGTCTCAAAGGACCTTTCATTTCAGTGATCAGTGATCCTTCATTGGTTCACTGATACCAGAAACTCCCTAATGGATAGCCCAAACCAGTATCAGGGCCACTGATCGAGATCCAGATCCATTGTGAAATCAACGAGCCCAAAGAGCTGCAAACTGTCAAGTTCTCTTACTCGGACTTCGAAGAAGGCTGAACCAAACGTGGGCCATCGGTACACGATCTTGAGGAATGCTATCTTGGCATCATCTCTGGACTTGCCCGAATGTTTGTTATATGCAGCGACAATTGCCTGTACGGGGGGAAAACAGTTCTCAAAATATTTCCTCCACTCTGGCAAAAGGGAACCTATTGTTACGAAAACGATAAGACAAAATTTAAGTTGTATGTTGGCAGTCAAGGTTGTTTGTCCTGGACTCGTTAGAAAAAAATTAAATGGACAAACTTGGCATTCTGTCCACCAAGTTTTGAATTTGAATTTATGTTGGCTTGGTTGAAATCCAGTATCTATTAAAATGTTGCCAAAGTGGCTGGTGGATCTCAAGCCTAGCATGTCAGCTAAGATAACTGTGGAACAGATAGAAATGTGACGACACTGACCCGCTTCCAGTCTTCCGGTGACATGCTGCGGATCATATCGGCCGGTAGCAACTCCTTCATCATGCGAGGGATGTTCTGAAACTCCGACTTGTCATCAGCGAAGCGCACCCGGTACTGCAACGCAGCCAGCTGAGCCGCCTCCTCCTTGCTGGCCTTGTGGTAGCCACGCAGGAGCTTGGGCATCTCCTGGTGATAGTGGAAGATGACGTCAGCGTTGGGGTCGCGGCCTGGCACCGTGTTGGTCCACAGCTTCTTCATGAAGAAGACCTGGTAGGTCAGAACTGGTATGGTACCTACAGAATGGCAGGAAGATGCAAAGGGAAAGGAGTTAAGACCTGTTGGACAAAACTTTCAGTTACCTCATGCTCAATGTCTTATTGCTGCCGAATATGTGAACTTTGGTGATTAATTGCATGCGATAACTGTACTAACAAGCAGGACAATTTTGGCTTGAGTTGTAGCCTGACAAAGCTTTTGAAGTTTCTGTCAGTACAGTGCTTATAAGATGACATCATCATCAAAACGATTTACTTCTACATGCATCAGCCAATGGACCACCATTATAGAAACTGCAAGTTTGTACTTATGGGCGAAGTGCAGTTTGAACTAAACATAATCAAGACTACGATTCAGATTTTCACAGTTTTCAAAAGAAGAATCACCTAACATGTTTTGGACATATGGCAAACGTTTTCGTCATCTTACCCTCTCGACTTGGCCTCGCTTTTCTGATCCAGTCAGTCAGATGACGCACAAAGTCAAAGAAGAAGTCACCTTCTGGAACGCTGATCACTAAAAATCAAAAAGATCTCAAAATATTGATGACATTTGTCAAAGTCTAGTGAAGGTCATTATGTGGTTGTGACCACTTTAGAGACTGCAAAAAAATGCTCCTTTTAACAGAGAACCAAAAACTGTTAAGTCCTGAGCCACAAAGCTAAGACTGCAAAGAAAGAAACTAGAAGACCGACTATAAAATTTCCTGAAACCCTTAAATGCTTTATCTAATGCCAACTGTATACTTCATCTCACCTTTGTCAGCAATCTTGACAAACAGACTGAAACCTTCAGATGACTTCAATCTCAATCGCTGCCCGATGTTCTGACAGAAATCTTTAGCCCTGGTCCCAGAGTCTACTTCAAAGGCCTACAAGATAAAAAGGTCATTCTAGGTGTCTGGCCCACATTGTGAAATGGTCTGTCTTATAGACACAGGTGCCAATTGTGTGGGGGGTACATAAAAATGCCATTTATGGAGCAGAGAACGAATTTACTGACCAAACATTGGTTACACTGGTTACTGTTTGTCACTGTTCCCGGATGATTCATTGACTGGTCAAACCTACCTCATCGGTGTCATCAGGGAAGTACACCTTGTGGAAGATCTGTGTGGTCTTGTGTTGGATGGCCTCTACCTCCACCAGGTGTGGTGGGTACTTGCGCTGGCCGTAACGGATGGTCTTCTGCAAGCGATGTAGGCAGTCAGCTGCCAGGTTGTTGGTACCCGACCGCAGGAACTTGGTGACCTCTGGCATGAGGGTCTGGCTGCAGGCGAAGATGCCGGTCACCAACCACATCAGCTCCCAACCACGGTCCTCACTCAACCTTTGAAAACGAAAAAGGTACTACAGTGAAGAAAAGATGAAGCAAAAAGCAAAGGGACTTGAATGGTCATCCTGAATCATTCATGTATGTGCTAACCTCCTACCCATGCCTAAAAATAGTACTACTCAGTCAAGTCAAAATTTACCCTTCAATTCCCAGTTTCCAGGCTGTAATCTGTCACATCTTCCTACATCTCCTCTCTGATTTGCTGCAAACCTGAAGCATCTCTGGCTTTCAAATTAATCTGGCTTGCTTTGACTTTGTTTGGTTCACAGTGAGGGCCTTACCTGAGTCTGTTGTCGGTCAGTTGTTTAATGATCTGACAATAGACCTCATCCTTCAACGGCTCGTTCTTTAGTGCCGACTCGAAGATTTTGTCTGTGAGGTCATTGCCATGGCGATAGGATCTCTTTGTAGGGAAGTCACCCATGTACTTCAGAATAGGTGCAAAGAGGTCAAGGAAAACAACTTGGGGGTTGACAACCTAAAATACAGTCTTGGAAAAGCATCCACATGTTCTTGCAGCCTCTCCGTCCACCTGTACTTGACCATGCAGTCAATACATCCAAAATAATTGAAAGATTGGAAATTTGTCCAAAGAGACTTGAGAAAGAAACAGCTAAATTGAAAGGATATCTTCAAAGGCATCGCAGGCCTGCTCGGCCAATTCTGGGTTGTTGAGGAGTTTCTTGAGAAGTGGCTGTCTGATGGGTTCCTTGCTGTGACTCCATAAATTGTCCTGCAAATGAGATCAAACCCAGAATTGAACATCTTTTGAAATGCCTGCTTTTTGTGGGAAGTGAAGTAGTCTGTTAATGAGTTACACAACAACAAAGTGATGCATAACACCCACTCAGTTTGCACAGGAAGCACAGCTATTGAGGTGCCGCCAAATATCCCAATCATCAAGTCACAGGACAACTGAATAAAGTCATTCAAGATGGTTTCTGCTTTAATCCCAGGATATTTTAAAAGAGCTCTTGATTTTTCTTTATGTCAAAACCCTAAATGCCAGACAGATAAAAAAACCAGGGCTTTTGTGTTGTTCGTAATTTGTGAACAGTGCTAAGCAAGTTCAATGCATCCATTTTGCATGAAACTCAAAGAATGGCTGTCAAAAGCGAGGAATCAATGTCTTTTAATGAGTGTCTATTAATACCTTCAATGTTTTTACACCAAGTTGGCACAGTTCACATCCCCCAATTCAGCTAAATCAAAAATCAATATCAGTCATTTCATCTTTTCATCCAAAAAGTGGCACTACGCGTTTCTCTCCACACCTTTCTTTTGACAACATGTGCAAAGGAAAACAACATGAGGCGAATGACTACACAGGTCATATTGGCAAATATGATTTGTAATGCTAATATAAACTTGGAAAAAGTTTGCAGTGAGTGCTCAAAATGTGTCCAAAAAGTTAAAAACCAAGCGTGTCTTACAAGAGGAGTTTTATCTTGATTTTAACATTGAGTACACTTCCACGTACATCACACTGTGATTGTACAGGTAGTAAAGATTTCTTTGCTGTTATTACATCATTTTTTTACATTAAATTCATACCAAATCCAGTAATTCAAAAAACGATGTGCAATCGCTTTGACCCTCCTTTTGCTGTAAAAAATTCCTTCCACTTGATTTGCCGCACTACACAGACACATAGGGATGATTTGACTGATTTTGACTGATAGGACAACTTTGTCGAGAATGCATCTTTGTGTAGGAGGGTTAAGGGTTGCCTTATTATCACATTTCGCTTTGTTTAACTTCACAGTTGCAAGACCTTATACTCTTCCAAAAAAAGGTTCACAATGCTTCCAAAGGCAAAGGTTTGTTCAACTCTGTTGAGCAGTGACACATTATTACATGAAAGCAAAGGCTTTGTTGCTGAGTAAACATATGTTAGTTTCGATTTGGTAATGTGTACTTGCAAAGGTGATGGGAAACGAGCCAGTCTTATCAGCGAACTTTGGTTGTGAGCTGAAAACAAAGTGAAGTTTGCGGTAACCTCTGATGGTTTTTTTGGCCCAGCTTTTCACAGGATAATCATTTAAAGATAAGCTTTTCAGTTTAGACTTAGGTCCAAGTTTCTGCCGACCATATGCAGTGAAAATGCATAAATTATTGGAGAAAATCTGCCAATGTCATATCAAGGCTTATTAAATTTATTATTTAACAGCTCAACAGGATTTCAACACCACACCTCTTAAAAGGCAATATCATACACAAGGCAAAGTGATGATGATCTTGTTAAAGTGAGACGGTCTCCCCGTTTTCCAGGAGAGTAATACCATGATTTCAGATGTCAGTATCTACCTCCTGAGAATCATGAATCATAGCAGTAAAACAACATCATCAATATTATAGCAAAATCCAGTGTAAAGTTCATGGTAAAAACCTCAACTATAAACATGTTTATCACACTTACATCTTTCACTGTATGTGCCTTGGGCATCACATCCTCCATTTTGCCGTCACCAAAATCAGTGTTACTACTTCGTCCGTCTTTATTCTCAGTGGTTCATACTTTGAAGTGAGGGGAAAAAAATTGGATGAGGGAGGATTTTTGTGACTTACCCTGGTGCGACGCTTGACAGCCCGGCTGAGGGTGCGCTTGGGTGGAGGCCTGAAATGATCGATGGCAAACTCCTCCAGGGTGTGCTGACGCTGGTGGGGGTCACCGTTTCTCATGGCCTCCTCGTGGGAGGCAAGCATCCTGTCGGACATCTCCTGGGGCTGCATGGTGAACAAGGCCTAGGGGTAGATAGGGAGGAAGGAGAGAGGTCAGAGACCAGGGTTTTGTGTGATCAAACACCAAGCGGAATGAATCTAATCTGAGAGTACATGTACACTATTGGACCATTCCGCAAAACATTCTGCCACCCCATTACCCAAGGGTTCTTAGTACTGTCACCGCGTAGGTTAAGATTCTCAAATTTCACTTTTCTTTTATATAAAATATTTCCACATTTCCTTCTTTATGGGCAAGGTTTGAACCCCCCCCCAATTCTTTATGTGGATTTCTTCCCCAATAATAACAGTCTGGGAATTTCCTTGCACTTTCAACACATTTCTCAACCATCTCCTCCAGGACGGTTTCTTCCGACAGCTGAAGAGAAAACAAAAGATCATTTTTCAGGGAATCTATGCCCTAAATGATCACAAGTGCCTACCACAATGTCAGGAGCCGGTTTGGTGGTGGTGGGCAGGACGTAGACACACTCAGCAGGGAAGTCTCCTTTGCGTCCAGTCCGATCATTCTCCCCATAACACCAGCCACTCTCCATCAAAGCGTCGCCGTTCTCTTGCTCAAGGATGATCAGGTCACCACGCTGAAAACTCAGGAATGATGACCCTTGACCTTAGGTAACCAAACACACAAGTTTATGAGAAATGTTTGTTGGAGCAAGTGTGTGACATACGAATCATCTCACAGTTCTGCTGATTCGGAAATGAGTATAGAGATGATCAACTCCAGACATATGATTAAATTTTCGACAGTTAACGCAGAAAAAACTTACTTTCAACAAAGAGCAAAAAGACTAGAGTAAATAAGATTGAGTAAATATCAGAACTTGACTCATCCTACCTTGGTCTGGGTTGTCCTGCAGAGCCACAACATAGCGAGATTTCTTCTTCATTCCCTCTAGGAAGAAGACGATCAGATCGCGGATGTCTTCGGCATTGGAGGACGTGAATGTGTACTCATCGCCTTTGACTGTCAGGATGGTGAAGCTCTGCCCGTGAAGCTTGCCGGTCCTGAATGGGAGTCAGGGAATGGAAATGAGTGGGACTGGAACCTGACACCACAGGAATACAGTACTGGTGCATCACCAACACAGCGAGACTAGGTTTTGAGCTTACAATCCATCCACTAATCCATTGGTGCTCTACAAAGTGGACCAGGGCTGGATTTGAACCTTTAACCAAATCTCTGGGGGCCTAGAAATTACCAACAGTGGAAAGCAACATGAACTCTAAGCCAAATATGTGGTTTCACACAATTTCCCATGCACCTTTGAAGAACGTAATACCCACTGCTTGGGCACTGAATTACCCATGATGCACTGTATTTACCCATGATCCAACACCCACCTGCTACTGGACACCTGGGTGATCTCTGGGAAGGACAGCTCCAGAAGGACTTGTTCCAAATCATCCACGACATATACCCCAGTCCAGTTTACAGCAACAATCACGTCATTCTTGGGTAGGCTGGGGCCCGAGAACTTGAAGGCCTCGTAGAAGCGCGAAAAGAGGAGCGGCCACTTGAAGCGGGCGTAGTTGACAACATCCTCCTTGACTCGCAGCTTGTCCACGTGCTCTTTGACATAGTAGCTCTGGGAGTAGAAACACCAACAAAGATATGCTTTCAGTCCTGCCATGCTGTTTTCTTACCGACAACCTTTCAGATATTATATTTGGTACACAGATGTTATGACATTATGGCAACTGGTCATTAATAACAGCATAACTCACATTCTTGAGTTCGTTCATGACCATTTGAGCCCAGCGTTCCACAGTCTTGGATCCCGTCATGGAGTTGTCCGGTATATAGGTTGGCAACAGGTTGGTCAGTCGATCATAGATCATCTCTTCGCCGTAGCCCACGTAATACTGCTGAGCTGCTATGCCAGCTAGGTCACTATCCTGAGATCACATGAAAGGGGAAATTGTTTCGTGTTCAATTTGGCCACAGCATGTCGCAAGGTATGGTGTTGGAGAAGTTCTTACATTTAGAATTTACTGGACTAAGAATTTACGAATTTACGGGAAAAATAGGAGCAATGGTGGCCAATTTTTTTCTAACTAACGATGAATATCTGGTTAGTACACTTGCATTCACCCAGCAAACCTTCCAAAGAACACATTTGCAGCCCCACCTTGTCACATCTGTATTCTCCAAACTTGATGCCTCGGACGATCTGCTGGTAGATCAGGTTGGTCCCGATGGGGTCCTCAGTGGGATCATGCCAGGGAGCAAAGATCTCCTTGCGGAAGAACAGGCGCCAAGGTGCATTACGTTCCTGGGCGCCTTGCTCCTTGGCGTACTGCTCACACTGTGAGATGGCATCCATGACATGGTCACCCCCGCTGCCCAACGACGACACCTTCAGAGAACGCAAGCACGAACACGATGGCAACGTTCCAAGAAGGTTAGGTGGATTCGTATCAGTCAGAGTCAACATAGAAGACATTCAAATGGTTCTAATGATGTAAAACATGAATCTTCCAACCTTTTAAAGCTCCGAAAAGAAAAACTACAGGATTGTTGTTGATGGGCCACGTTCACATAAATATCAAAATGACCAATTTGTGTGGGTCTCCAACAGCGCAAGACCTGAAGGCTTACCTTGTCAAAGAGAGCCACGTAGAGAGAGAACCCAAACTGGTCTCGGAGGCCAATCTTCTCCGACAGCTGACCACAGAGTTCCCTGGCTGTGGTGGCTGAATCGGCCAGCAGGGTCTTGGTGGTGCCATCCATGAAGGTGATGGGGAGCATGAGCGGCTTCTTGGATTTGGTGGCCTGAGAAGGGAGGGTGGGAAGAAAAATCCAATAATTGGCCTTATTCACAAGTTGGCCATATTGAATTGAAATTGAGGTTAACTTTTTTGGTTCAGAATAAAATAAAAGCAATGAAATAAAGCTCATCACAAATTAATTTCATTCACATTGTTGAATAATTTAATGTTTGTGACTTATTATACCTAAATGTTCTGAGCAACATTTACAAAAAAGAGAGGCATGGAACACGAAGCAGTCTGGCATCACCTCATTTCACAGATGACAACAAATAAAACGGATTCAGGGAATGTGATCAAAAATGGCTTCTTGATTGGCTTTCAGATTTGAGAAAATGCTGCAGCAATGCCAGGAACGAATTGGAATTTATGAGACATAAGGTCAAGGTTGGCCACGGTTAGTGACGAAAACTTTTAAGGGGGAGGAGTTCTCCAAGCATTACTGGTGCACCTGTGTAGGTCTGACAAGCCTGATAGAGCATTCCTACCTGTAACTCCAACCAGCTAGGGGGCTGGGTCCGGGACCCGTTGGCAAAGGTCCGTCGTAGCCTCTCCTCACAGTACGGTGCATAGCCTGGTGGACCCTCACTAATGAAACACCGTAGGTACTTCACAAACTGCAACGACACATGTGCCATAAACAAAAACTCCTCAGAGCAGGGAATGCAGATTTTCAGGATTGCCCAAAGTCGAGGCAAGTTTGAATCCTGCTGAACCCTTCCTTGCTTGACCAGAAATTATTCCCCAGACCACAATGCAGTACTCTGATTACAGTATACGATGTTAAGAGAAGCCAACAAAAGGCAAGATCACACAGACTCAGGTTAATAAAGTTTCTTGATTCTTGGACTAAAAGACAAATGTTTGAAAGTAGCCAGCCAAGATTCGCAACAATGGTGGTTATCAATAAAGTGTGTTTCAATACACGACAGGGAACCAGGATTGCATGTACTGCACAGCCTCTCAATTTGTCTACAGACAGCAGGCCAACTGAATGCCACTGTACAACCAACAGCCAATGGTTCAACTTTCTATCAACTGATGGAGGTTTAACGGCCCGGCATCTAACCTCTTACCCTGTCTGTCGGAGCAAAGCAGCCCACGCAAAGAGACAGCAAGATCCATCCCCTAGCATGACTGCTCTTAGAAGGGTTGTTGGTAAGCTGTTTACAAATCATGCAGTAGATCTCATCCCTTTGACAAAACATAAAAGGAAACTTCAATTAGACACAGTGCTAAAATTGGAATTTTTTAAAGCACAAGGTACTGTAAATTTACTTGTAGCTGAATGCACTTCCTCTGCGTTGACAAGTGTGTGAAATTCGTTAAGCACCTTTCAACTGGCAGGTGGCACTGCTAAATGTGTAAATGCTGTCATTTGACAATCTCTATGTAATGACTTTTCCTGTTAACTAGTCAGATCCATGTTGCCATTAATCCACCAAATATATATCAGTTTGGATCAGCTGCTTCCAAACAAGTACTAGTTGATCACAATTTCTTCATATAAATACTCCAGTTAGATTCAATGACAGGATGTTTTCAATTCCATTTAACATTGACCTCAATTTAAATTCCTTAATGTCAGTTACGACAGCATCCCACATTTCCCAGTTTGCAAACTCAAGTGGCTCCACCAAGTGTGTTAATACTCCAAGTAAAGATTTTTCTAAAGAGAGAGGGTAAAGTTTTCCCAGAAATTTTCAGACTGACTTGACTGGCCTCTATAGACCCTCACCTCAATTCTGGCCGGAGGATGCCGTGTCCAATGATGAAGTGAAGCTTCTCCAGGTTAGAGGTTGGCCGGTCAATCACCATGGTGTTGCCGTACTCCGTCTCCTCTCCATCTCGGATCCTCTCCGCCACTTCCTGGGTAATCTTGGACTTCTTCTTCAAGGTCAGGGACACCAGCTTCTTGCGCATGGTGCTCTTATTGGACCGGCCAGTGCCCACATGCATGGACGGTGGTGGCTGCAAGAGTGGCGAAAAGTATTTCACTAAAAACATAACCATTTCATCAAAAAAATCCGAGAGTCCTACAAGACAGCATTATCACTACGTCAGAGGACTCGTCATTAAGACAGGAAAATATTTTTGTAACTTACAGAAAACCGTAATTAAATACGCAAAAAGGATTCTCATTGGTTCCTACCATGCCATCATCTTTCATGTTCTCCCTGGCATCCTCCAATTCCTTTTTGCCTCGTGTCCTTCCCAGGGTGTTGTAGATTTTTGTCATGACTGACTTCCCGTCCTGCATCATCAAGCAGAAACGAATATGAGTAAGAGCTAGCCAGGCCAGTTGTCATGTGCAAAAGAATGAAAATCAAACAAGCAGAAATCTTTTGAGACTTGGTTTGAACATCACTGATACTGCATGCCAGTCCCCAGAGTAGTGACACTCACCCTGTCGGCTAGAGCGGATTGGGCCTTGGGCTCTGGAAGGTCCCCCATAAAGCGAAGAATGGTGATCCACACAGCCAAGGCAGCCTAGTAAAAAAAACCAGTTATTTCCATCAGTCTAATCAGTGACCATTAGGAGATAAATATAGCTTGATTCACTAAGATAATCAAGAGCCAACATTTTAACCACATGCTGTTGGGTACTTTTAAAAATGCATTGAATACATACGGGCGATTTTCAAGATTTTCAGTTTTCAAAATTCTACAAAGATTCATCATTTCATTTAATGGACGTTTACACCCACACAAAAGACTGTTTGGTGGCTACTCTAAGCTGACAGGTAACCTTCATTGACTCCTGAATATTTCAGCCAGGCCTGCCGCCCTGTAAAGACAGCCCAGAATTGTGAGGTGTTGCGCAATTTCCTTTGTCCCCAGTGAATGCGAGTGGCGTCTTTTCAAACGCGGAGCCCTGGAGCACTTTTGTCAGGGGTGCAAATCCGCCAGCACACTATGCCCAAAACTTTTCAAAAACAGTGACGGATTACCTTCGAAAAATGCAAGCTGAAAAATGATGGTAATTCCCAGCAGCAGGTCTTTTGTTCCGAGTTTTGTTATATGGACCAGCTCTTTTGTCCCATTTCGGGCACCCCGTCTCTGCGTATAAACCCATGGTGCTCGAAATGGAGTTCCCCAGCAGCAAGTGGTTAAATATCTTAAGCAATTCCAGCAAGTTTCATTGACTCAGAATATTTGGGGCATTTTTATTTCCAGTTTCCACAACATCTTTGGAGAAACAAGTGACTAAAATTGTTGGGGGGGGGGAGCTGGCGGATGGAGAATCGTCCCTCATGGGCCCAGTTCATGGAGTTGCTGAGCACAAGTCACTGCTCAGTAGATTTTTGTGCTCTGCAAAAATAAGCAGGGAACCAGCTTGAGGTAAACAGCAAATGCACAGAGCTTTGGCTGGTACACTGTTACTGCTAAGCGTGTATTTTAAGTGCTTAGCGTACTTTCGCACTCAGCACCTCTCTAAAATTGGCTGAAGCTTATCCACCGACCTGCCGGTCATTTTCATTCCTCAGGTCCAGCAGTGGTTCCTTCAAAGGCCGCTTGATGAACGACGTGTTGGCCCCCGCCTGGAAGTATGTGGCTGCAAACTTGGCAAACTTGTACTCGGAGATGTCCTCCTCCGATTCAGGCACGGCTGGCGCCATCATGTCATCATCTGGGCCGAACTCGATGGCGGCCCGACGGGACTGCTCCAAATCCTGTAAGAAAACCAAAAAAGCATTACAAATATTCTAAATTACCTCATTTATTTTGGTGAGATGGATGATCCAGGAACAATAAAGAGTGCCTAAAAATTAGACTATGCATATGAGTGGACACAGAGCTAATAAGTGTAAGAATTTGCTAAACATAGAAAAAGGTTACCAGCCAAAAAGTCATGGCATTTATACTACATATGACTGGTGGCCTGCTAAGCAAAGCTTAGCACATAAATTTGCTTAGCAAGATATTCAGCCGAGTAGCTCAGTGACACCGTGTCCTTGGCATTCACCTCAAATCCTCTAGGGCCTCGACCCTGCTGCCCATCATCGTCGTAGGTCCCAAAGAGATCGTCCACTACTTCGGCTGTGGTCTGCTCCGTGTTGCGCCTCCTCTCGGCTTCTTTGATGGCTTCCATCTTGGCTATCCTCTCCTCTTCCTCCTCCTGTTGACGTCTCTGATCTTCCTCTTCCATCTCCTGGATGCGCTGCTGCATTCTCCGCTCTGCCTCTTCCTACAATGGAGACAAAAAAGGAACAAAGAAAGAATGAAATTCCAAGCCCACGGAGGCCTTGAATAATGCAATTTCACTGAAGCAGAGAATACCACTCAACTGAGACCCTGTCTCAAACAATGTGCATTCTATAAAATTCTGGAAAGAAGAGTAGAGTGCCATCGGGAAAGAGTGTGGAGCAAATCCAAATAAAGTGCATTACTTCATGGATCTTCAAACATGCCAGCAATCCCAAACTCTGGGAAGTGGGACACCTCAAGTCCTCCTACCTTGGCTTTCTTGGCACCGATCTGCTTCTTCAGTTTCTTCTCCTCCTCCAGACGGATACGCTCCGCCTCTATGCGCCGTCGGTAGTCTGCCAACAGCTTCTTGTAGATGCGGCGCTGCAGCAGCATGCGGAAACCAGCCTGGATCTTAATGACGCTGGTCAGGTAGTGGCTGATCTCTGTACGGATCAGGTATCCGCGACAGTGAGCCTGGCCAAAGAGGTGATCAAATCAAGAAGGTTACCTTGCGTTGATTCAAAACTATTGATTGCCAAAGAGGTGATCGAATCAAGAAGGTTACCTTGCGTTGAATAAAAACTATTAATTGCCAAAGAGGTGATCAAATCAAGTAGGTTGCCTTGCGTTGATTCAAAATTATTAATTGCCAAAGAGGTGATCGAATCAAGAAGGTTACCTTGCGTTGATTCAAAATTATTGATTGCCAAAGAGGTGATCGAATCAAGTAGGTTACCTTGCGTTGATTCAAAACCATTGATTGCATGCAAGTATTGATTATCCATGCATGAGACAAAGAATGCACACAGCCGTTCTAAATTTCTTCAGTTACTGAAAGTGACAAACAGTTGTCAGTGTAGCTATGTGGAATTCAACAAAATGTCTACAACCTAGAAAGTACCACTACACGTTACCCATCTCCTGTTAATAATCCCATTCATTTCTACATCATCTCTGGCAGCTGGATGCATTTTTAGGCAGTGACAGTCTCGCTGTAATACACTCCTTTTTCATTGGAATTGGTTTCAAAAGTCTTAAGCTTATCAAAGTGTCATTATCCAGTAGGCAACCTCCAATCCTGCAGAACGCGATTCCAAAACCAACCTGGAATTTCAGGAGCCTCCTCCGCATGAACTGGTAGCGATAACTCAAGACTCTCCCTCGCAGCACAGCTTGCAAACGCTGATAACCGCGCTTCATCTGTCATGAAACAGAAAACATTCCTACCTGATTAGGTCACACACTTAGACGCTACAGAGATGTCACCTTTTGCAATGTCAGATAAATTCTGGATCTATACTTTCACCAGGTTCACTTCGGTCGTAACTAAAGGTCTGACTTTCATTTCTAACACGGCTTAAGGGCACCACAAAAATATTAACAGGCTTTTTCCACATTCGGAATTCCTGTCCTCAATTTCCAAAGACACAGGATAAGAGTGCTGCTTCTTCAACAGCGGCCCTGTTCGGTCATGAATAATCTGTGCAAACAATATACACATCAACGGGGGGGGGGGTCCAGGGTATTCTGCACCCACCTTAATGTAACGGATCCTCTGGGCGTACTTGCGCCAGGCCTTGGCGATGATGGTGACGCTCTTCCTCATCTGCAGGAAGCGTTTGCGGTAGAACCATCCCCTGAAGGTCTTCTGGATGATGATGCATCGGGCCGTCAATGCCTTGTCTCTCTCTTGCTCCAGATGCAGATCGTGAGCATCCTGACCAGCAAAAACGGTCAACACATTTTTCGATGCCTGGGTTGTTTAGAGGTTTTGGGGCTTGACTTAAAGCACATGGCCAGTCTGACATTTGACTTCAAGATGGAGCTGTGTTGAGCTCTTGAGAGTCCAAATCAAGGGGTTAAATTCATAAAACTGACACTTGAAGTTAAAGACGGAGGCGATGTCAAGACAGTGTTAGATTGCTCAGAGGGTAAGACATTGAAATGTACAACTTCCTCCATTTCTACTCCGTACTCGCTGATTGCCAATACAACCCGGCCTGTGTTCAAATCAAGCGGCTGTGGCTAGGACTAACACAGGTGTCTATGCGAAGTGGTTGTTAGCTGCAAGCCAAAGACTCCCATAGGCACACACATTATTTCTAGCCACAGCCGCAACTTTCAGCGACATCCATACCTTCAGGAAGACTTTGTGGTGGCCAAGCTGCCAGTCCTGGCTGCCAAGATGTGCCTTGCAGATCTTGTTAGAGGCTGCTCGGCAGTCCTCTTTGTGTGAGGGCTGAATACCCATCACCAGCATGCGGTAACGATCCACAAACTCCTTGAACGTGTGGCGGATCGGATAACCGGCACGACGGATTCTAAAATTGGAAAAAAAAACAAGAGGACAAAATCAAATTCCTGTCAATGGATAAGGAAATGTTAAGGTCTTGAATCACAAGGACACAGAGGTAAGGGCATAAAGTAACCTCGTCCCACGTTGTTTTCAAATGTTGCCATAAAAATGAGAGGGTTTTTTTAAACTGTCTGAGCTTCAAGAAAACCTAGCTATCAAGCTTGTCTGCTTTTTACAGGAAAGTCCTACGGTTGGCAATATTATGTGTATTATTAGGCAGCTCAAAGGACAAAACATCTTTCAAGGATAGGGTGCAATTTCATGAAGGTTTTAACCCTAACCATGCTGAACCAAACAAGGTTATGCAGGATTTCAATGGTCCCTAGGAGGTTAGGGTTACGTGAGAACTAGTGCTTGGAAGATTTCGGTGCTAATCAGACCATCACCTATTTGGCTTAGATCTGATGTATTAAAATTTACCTGATGGTCTCCATCATGCCGGAGTAACGCAGCTGCCTGACAACAAGATCTCTCTCAAACTCCTGGCGAGAAGGAAAATATACAAAAGAGAGGGATTCAGAGTTTAAGAATGCGTAATCCCTCCAAGATTTGATTATCAGTCAGAACTAGCTGCACCAGGAGCTCTTAGGGAAAGTGTGAGCAAAACACCCAAATGGAGCTGGCTGAACATCTAATGTATTCGCAAGGCTGCTTTCATTATCGTTCTTTGACTTCACCTTGAGATCGACCTTCATTTTGCAGAGACCTCATCTTTGGTCAGTCCTCTCCCATCAGTGTCTTCTAGGAGGTCCCTTAGCTTGAGTGGGTATCAACATTTAAACTGGGTAAAATTTTCTTGGCAAAAGGAGGACTTACTTTGGCCCGTTTGTGCTCGTTGGGCTTGATGCAGCGCACAAAGAACGGCTGGCACTGACTGAGTGTGTTCATCAGAGAATCCAGGGACTTCTTGAACTGCGTGCCCAGGGTGGGTGACTTCTTGCGCGAGTCCCCGCTCTGTTTGATGTCCGTCTCGAAGAGGCGTCGTAGGTATTTGTTGCCGGCCGTCTCGATCAGCTTGATGAAATCTGGGCTGAAGGTGTCGCGGTTCTTGTCCAAGAAACCTGAGGAAATAAGCCCCCAAGAAAAAGTTGGTCAAAATAAAAAGCATCTGACCAAGTACTGATCTAAAGCTAAGAAAAATCGGGCTCAAACCACAAACACTAAAAGCCAAGAATTTGCCACTACATAACTGTACGCTCTTAGTGTCAATATGTTAAGGCTTACCAACTGTTTCATAGTACACTGTCCCGGCGAAGTGGTTGATACCAAACTGGGTGCTTCGTGCTCCTGGCGAACGGACGAAGAGAGGATTACGGCCGTGCTGTTCATTCAACTTGTTCAACATGGTGGCATCCGTGCCCTGGAAACAAGTAAGTAAATGTATTTGGTCGACATCTCAAGAATATGAAATCAGTAGATTATCATCCCAAAATGCATACCTTGTAGGGCCAACTAGACCATGAGTTCACTTGTAGGTGTTAGTATTAACATACTGGCCCACTGGGCTGACCTTTGATATCGACATTTGCATGTGACCTTTCACACTGACCTTAGGGAAGCGGCTTTCTTCATCCACCAGGGCAATGATGTTCATAGGCTTGGCTGCTATCATGTCAAGGGTTTCCTGGTTGTCCACAAACTTGATATGCTGCCACTTGATGCCTTCCCGGTCATATTCTTCCTATGGGGGCAAAGGTCATTGTGAGGTGAAAGGTCATGACTCATAAATAGCCCAAACTTAATATTGATTTAACGATGATGGCCATGCATTCTGGGATTGGGGGAAAAAAGAAAATTAAGGGCAACACGCTTCCTGTAAAATGTAAACCAATGAAAACTGCAGAGTTGTTTACCTGCTCCAACTTGAAAATATGTCGCACAAAGAACTGCTGAAGATTCTCATTGGCGTAGTTGATGCACATCTGCTCAAAACTACGCAAAGAAAAAAATGGTCAATACCTTTTCAGAAAGGCCAAGCAAATCAATCAAGATAGTTTGATTAGGAAAAACTTGGAAAGTTTAAATTAAGCTTAGATGTGGTATTTCAAAAACAATTCTACCTGTTCTTGCCAAAGTTTTCAAAGCCGAAGATGTCCAACAGGCCGATGCTGAGTCGCGTGGTGTTGCGATCCTTGGGAGGCCTGTAGGTGGCTTCGTTGAGCTTGCTGACAATCCAGATGAACATGCGGCCATAGATGGCCTTAACTAAGGCATCCCTCATGTCAATGGCCTTGGCCTTACTGACCGGTGAGATGATGACCTCCCCTTGAGCAGTGGTGGATTTGGTGGTCAATGCTTCTTCCAGTGCTCGCTGGTTGATCTGCAATTTTCAAAGTAAACACCACAAACATGAACTACTAATCTGCTTCATTACCAAAAAAAGGACCAAAACAAGACCATGACACTGTGAAGTATATGTTATCCCACTGCTGCAACCAAAAAATAAGAGCACCAACCTCCAGGAGCATTGAGATCCTTCCTGTCTCCAAGTGGCTGTGGAATCCAGTCGCGTCCAGGTTGGATGTTTCTACAGCCTCATAGTCAATGTTTCCAAAGTGCAAGATGGCTGCCAGGAGTCGCATGATGTCCCAGATCTCAGTGTCACTGAAGGTCAGGATCTTCATGGCCGAGCGGATGTCAGCAAACTCCTTCTGGTCATTGCGACCCTCGCAGGTGATACAGTCACCCTGAACAATACCCAAATCAGACACTAGAAATGATGAGATCTAAATACCTCACCGAGAAGTTGAACTGCTGCAGGAAAGCCCCAGATCTTGGTGATTTGTTTGAATTTCTCCACTTATGTGATCACTGCAAAAGCACACTTGTTCATTTTGCAAAAAGAAACCACTGGTTCACCTTTTCAGAACTCTTGAAATTGTCATTTTAGAAACCAACCTTGACTTGTTGACATGCTACTGACGTGCTGCACATGGACATGTATTCATTTGATAGCAAGTTACATACCAAGTGAAATATTTCTTTTATTGACATCCAATTCCAAACAAGAATTTGGATCTTTGATCTCTGTCTTTCTCACCAACCTGTATGAGGTAATTGTAGTCCTCAGCATTACCAAGCTCAAGTTTACTCTTCTCGTCAGGGGTCAATCCTTGCAGCATGCAGTAGAAGATGTGGTAATTCCTCTCATCTGGAAGCTAACGGCAAAAGAAGAGAACACAGGAATGATTACAAACAAGACAGTGGGGATTACAGCTGGAATTTGCACAGCACACTGTAGTGGTCTTTGTGAACTCACCTGTCCAACCAGCCGTGATTTTTCCAGCAGATACTGATCAATCTTGGCTCCCTCAATTACGCCCCTTTCGCTGAAGTGGATGTCGATGTACTTGCCAAATCGGCTGGAATTGTCATTTCGTATTGTCTTGGCATTGCCAAAGGCTAACATGAACAGAAAAAGAGACAACACGCTTAAATAGCCCACAATTATTGCACATTAGTGAAGTGAGCTTTTTTTCTAAACAGCAAAAAACCAGCATAGTAAAGTGATGCCTGCCTATGAAAATCAAGCACAGACATTTTTAATACTCCAGGGCCTTAAACTAGATCAAGTGAGAAAATTCAAATCCTGTGCTTACCGTACATATTTCTTGCAACTTAAATTTCAGTGGAAAGGGCACAAAACAGTAAGGACTATTTGCCGATATTGAACTCAACCTCACTGCAGACACACCGTGGAGAACTGTGCTCAAGTGCCTTCATGCAGGGACAATGGTGTTTTTTCATTTTTCATGGTGTTAGTTTTTTATCACCCAAAGGGGGTTGACTTACCCTCCATGATGGGGTTGGATTCACCCAAAAGGGGTTGACTTACCCTCCATGATGGGGTTGGATTCACCCAAAGGGGGTTGACTTACCCTCCATGATGGGGTTGGATTCACCCAAAGGGGGTTGACTTACCCTCCATGATGGGGTTGGATTCAATGATCTGCTGCTCAATCCAAGAATGCTGCCCACTCACGGCTGCCAGAAACTGCAGAATCAGCTTGGTGCTCTCTGTCTTCCCGGCACCACTCTCACCACTACAGAGACGAGCAAAGAATGAATACAAAATCCTCAAAAAGTGTCAGGGAAAAGCCTGGGTAACTCTAGTCCATGGAGTTGTCTTGCAGCAAAACAGTTTGGTACACTGAAATGCCCTGCCAAAGTCTGTCAAGAACTGCTCAAAGCAATACACCTCACACAGTTCTCTATCGGTCAACCTGTTTTCTCCCTTCGACTTTCACAAGAACAGTGGCCCAAGAAGCCACTTTGGTGGTAACAGAAGCACTCTTAACATCCAGCAAGGTAAACTAATACTGTTCTAGCCTTCCATCTCTAATGATCCCATTTGGAGTCTAACCTGATACAGCGTGATTATTGGCTGGCCACTTCCTGTGATACAGCTATCTGTGATTTCTGTCCCCACTCTCTAAAACTGACACAAGTTTTGACCGCCTCATCGTAAAAGATGCTGTGGAATGCTTAACGAGAGCTATGAGATACTGTCAAATCTCTCACTTTATCCAGTAACTGCTAAGAAGACATTGGTTTCACATTACCTGATGATGACACACTGGTCCTTTTGTCCTCGTATCATGCGGTAGTAAGCGTTGTCGGCAATGGCAAAGATGTGTGGTGGCAACTCGCCGATACGTTTGTCTCTGTACTGGTTGATCTGCTCCACGTTATAAATCGGCAGAACCTGGTAGGGGTTGACGGCTACCAGGATGGAACCAGTGTAGGTCTGAGGATGGAGGCAGACAAGTGTGTCAAAGACTTGCTCTAACACATGGGCAACATTGATATTCATTTCAAAACCAAAAAGAAGGAAAAAACGGCAATCAGGGAACTCTGGAAGCAGAATACTCAACTTTCTTCTTTTTTTGAAGAAGGAAGAAACAGAAACAACCACAGACATTCCTTGAACCTCTCAAAGTGTTGATCAAACTTTGAATTGGGTCTTGGACAAATGTGAATGAGTTCCAGCCTCCACATGCATGAATCACTTACATATATGAGATTGTTATTGTATCTGATGAGAAGGTTCCGCAGGATACCAGCTTCGTGGAGATCCCCGAGTCGTATCATGTCTTCCACTCCGTCCACAGAGGAGATGTGCATGGTTCGCAACTTGGAGGCCACATCGCGAGACAGCCAGTGATCCTATGACACAGAACATTGCAAACATGTGACAAGGTGACCAAACCAAGCTGGCTTATCACTTACCATACCCCAGAAAAGCTTTGTGTCCTAATAAACACTCAGCCTGACATTGTCCCTACGGGTTTCATAAATCAGAAGCACAAGACTAATTTCAAATCCTAGGCTTTCCAACAGCCAATTGAACAGAACATTCAAAGTCACCTTGTCATTCATTTCATTGGATGAGTTATTCTGAAACTGTAATTTTTTTCCCCTCTAAATTCCTTCCACTACTTCAGAGTGACTCTTTTTTAAGTCTTTTCATTCTGCAATTGACAAACAACTAGAACTGTGTCATACATTTCCTTCGTCGTCCAGAAGCTGTAATCGTCCCGACTCGGCAATTTTGACTGTCGCCCCAATGGGCACATTCATCCCCGACTTCCTGGGGTCCTCCAACCACACACAATCCCCCTAGACAGAGAAAAACCAAAATTATTCCTTCAAAACTACTGAGTGCATAAATATGTTGAGGCTCATGCCTTCATTTCAATTATGGGTCATTCCATGAGATTGGGGCACAATTCGTGATGGTGTCCTTGTTATCAAAATACTTGTATTACAATTTAATACGAATGCTAAAATTACTTGTTATGATAACTTTTCTTACAACAACATTTATCAAATTCACTGACGAGCCAAACAACTTGATAAGTTGTCTCAGACAAAGTCTGATACATTTTTTGTAAATAAACTGCAAGTTCCTGGAAGAATGTATCCATTCAAAGTAATGCTGCATCATCTCCATAGAAACACATTTTGAAGAACCACACATTATTGTTACCATGGTAATGAATGACACGGCCACGACTATTGAATGTGCTTCAATATGAAACAGTACAAACCTTTGTTAGAATCACCATGGTGATTTCTGCCTACAGGCAACACTTCCTCTTGGATGAAATTCCCTTTTGTTGATGCATGTACCTTTTTAGCTGCACACATACAAAACAGAAATCCAGTGATCAATGTTGGGCTTATGAACAATAAAAACAGGGCTATTTCATTAACCCTTGACTCCAAAAAAACTGTTTCCATCAGGCTGTCTTGTCATCACACCCAACACACTGCGAACCAGGGGACAACATTGGTAAAATGATCAACGTTTACACAGTACAATTATCAATTCCAGTCAATAACACTCCAACTAAACAAATCACATAAATGTACATGTATTACATTTGACTTACTTGCAAATCAGATGACACCAATAGAGTAACACAACCATTTCTGTGACACCCTTTCACAAAATTCAGAAAAATGAACAATGACTGCCTTGTGGCACAACAAAATGGTCAAAAGGAAATACAGGATGATGATTAATGGCAGAAAAACACTCTCTTTATTAAACAACACCCACATGTACATGTATGTACGATAACACACAATAAAAAGCATGCAGCACCATCCAAGTAATCACGAACAATAGCATTCAAATATGGTACACCTACATATATGGAGTTTAATGTACATGTACAGTGAATACGTAACTCCAGTGTACATGTACATGTACTCACAGTTGAAAATAAAACCTTGTTGTTAGCTTTAATAGTCACTTATGAAAAAGGTATCAATCTACACCTGTTTGCATAGTGACATCTTTCACACAAATTACACACTTATAACCAATGATATATGTACACTATTTGTGTCTGCCACTCAGAAACTAGCGAGTTGTTACTGTGGGGTACTGACTTGGGTATCAGAGGTCAAAATACAAAATGCTCAAGTAAGCCCTGATTGCAGACAGCTGCAATGGTGAATGGTGAATGGTGAATTAACATACCAGTATATATACTGCACATATTCATGTACATGAATGTACGTGAATGCAAAATGCAAGTGCATGCACATGTACGTAGCGTTCAGTTTCACAAAATGTTTGTAGTTGTTTGACATGTATACCCACTGTACAAACATTTACAGTGTACATGTACAATGTGGCACTTCTTCTGTGAAAAAGCTCTAGTAACACATTTAGAAACTTGCACATGGAATACAGTGTATGGTAGATGGCCACTCCCTCCAAACAGGGCACCAACACCCCAGAATTTTTCAATTTTTTGCCCAAGCCAAAATTTGATTAAAAAACAAGCCCCACTTCAACAATCATTAACCTGAATCTTCTTCATGTTGGAGGCTTAAAGGATACAAGAGGCAATGATAGGCCCACAAGAACATGACAGAAGTGGCACAAGGAAAGACCCAGGTAATTATCTTGAATTTACACTCTGGTACGCAAAAGCTCTCACTACCATGATAAACAATTTTCTATAGCTATTCTCTTCCAGTTAGACACTTTGACTTGACCAATTAACTTATCATGCTGTAAACTATTTAAAAACAGCTTCTTGGATGTTATTTTCTTCCTTAACTGGCTTGTCATCAAATATGAGTAACTTTTCAATTCTTTCCTTCCTTTTACCAGTTCTTCCCTGGTTTAATTTCATCACAAAAAGGTCAGTGGTCAGTTTTTAGACAACAGCAGGAAAAACAATAGGCTAAGTTGTGCATCTGACGGCTGGAAAATCTAAGATTCCCTGGGACAGCTCCCTAAATATTAAAATATTACACATTTGTCTATTCATTTTCAAGTTTTTCAAGCTCTGGGGTAACCTACTGTCCAAGTATGTATGTACAACTTGCAAACACGGATTACATGATTCAGCATAAAAATTGGCTAGTGGGAAGATATTTTCGTCCACTATTGACCCATAAACAAATTACTATTTTCTAACAGCCCTGGCAGGTGTGTCTCTACACCTTGCACTGTGGGTTCAGTGGGTTGAACCGTAACTACGCTGAGCCAAAGTGCACACAATAGACCAGCATACCATGCAACAATAGGCCCTCTTACGTGACTCATCCAATCCGCCATGTTATGATTGGACACAGAGGAGTTCACACGGAACCAAGTGGGGAATCCGTGTACATGTACCAGTAGGCTGGTACCCAATACAATACTCTTGTATGTCAGCGGTAAAAATTAACTGGGGAAAAGGGTCACAGACATCATCAAAGGAACCCGAGTCTCCCCATTCATTTTTGTTGATTTTCAGGGAATAATCTCAGAAAAAAACTTCCCCATGAAGATCTTGATGAAAACTCCACCACAAAACTCTATTATTAACCTTTTGCCATTAAAAAAAGCATTATTATAATATTAGAAAAACCCAATTTGTAAGGCAACATTTTAAGGAAGTACCAAGGCTCAAACAAATGGAACAACAGATCTGACGCAGAGTAACTTAAATGCCTGTACGTAGGGAAAAAAATCTTCATGCCTCCAAGCACAATTTCTTTTCTGTGAATTATAAGCCTGTTTCACAAGTCGGCCACATTGAATTGAAAGCGAGGTTAACTTTAGGAACCTGAGAATACAAATACATGTAAAAGCAATGAAATAAAAGTTCATTTCAAAGTAATGTCATTTACACTGATGAATAATTTGGAATTTGCCATTGATGATGTAGAGGTTTAAAATAATAAAGTGACACAGAACCCAAATCAGTCTGGTACCAATTCATTTGACAGATTACACTGAATGGGATAGATTCAGGGAACACGATAATAATAAAAAGCTTCCCTGTAAATATGGTCCATTACAAAAAGTAAATTAGTTGATAAAAAGATGTCAGGGCAGATTTCTCAACAAAGAAAAGAGCGAGGAAAACCTCAGGGAATATCCCATTCCTAAGAACTCTGAAGCAATGAAGTGCATTAATTACTACACATGTGCATGTATGTCTGAGTTGCCTATTCACTCTAACCTGCAGCTCCAGGAGGAACATGTGCCAATTTATTTAATGCACAGTCACGGAAGTGTGGCTAAAATTCTCACTAAAATCCCATTCATTCAGTCTTAAATCATTTTTCTCTCCAAAAGGTAAAATCTGACAGATTTTATGGAATGAAAACACAATCACCTGAAACAAAGTCTTGACGTAGGCAGGATAGGAAATAAAACACCATGATCCCCGTCAACACACAATTCACTAGTACGTAGACTCTTTCTGTGATATATCTTGTGCAGGGACTGCTTGGTATTTCCTCTTCTAGACTAAACTTTTCTGGACATGTTTTTGCTTTCTGACAGGTAATAGGTCACTGTAGGGAGTAATTACTGGCGTCCATATATGGCACTCTTTCCAAATATCCTTCCTTGTTTTAGAGCAAACCCTGACATCTCGAGGACACCAGTACTTCACCTTTTTTCATTATTCATGGCTTTGGTGGATTTTTACAAGGCAAACAGGGTCTGAAATGGCATTAACTTATTACACGTACTTGATGCAGGTCCACACCCCATCTGGAGAAAGCCAAGGCAAGAGTTCAATGTCCAGCCTAGTCCTTCTTGTCCATGATTTTCAGGTTGTATAACAGTGTGGTTTATTACCAGTCAGAAAGAAATTTGTCTTGCCGCTCTCCCCGAGGTACCGAACCCCCTATCCTTCCGCCAAAATAAAAAGGCAACCCCTTTGTTTATAAGTTTCAAGTCTGACAGGGAAATATTTAACGTTAGTCATACTAGCTTGGAAATCTTCTTGTAACAAAATGTAAGAGCAATTTACAGAGTCCTTGTCACTTGGAATCTGTAAGACTGTGTTTAATTTAGAGCATGGGTGGGCCTATCGTCAAGCACTAACGGTTAGGCATGTTACTTGTTAGGCTTACTACATTTCCATAAACGTTCACAATCCAGCTTTCTTCCACATGCGTTTTACGCATAGGCAGGCTAGGCGGCTAATCGGTAAACCTGATCGAATTTCCCCGACTTAAAGTCGGCATATTTACCTTCTGAATGACACTGCCTTACGACTCCATCGACCAGGACTTGTGATCATCGGATGTAAAACTGTCGCACAACCTGTCAATGTCAATTTCTGCAACAAACCGGCAAATTTTGATTGACATAAACTTCGCACACACCCAGTCCTATATAGTCGGCACTTTCAATCGACCTTACCGAGCAGTACATTACCGAGTTGCTACGGCGCGACAAAGCGCCCAAAAGGAGGAGTTGCTTCAAAATGCAATTCGAATGAAGACGCGCATTACCTTTTTAGCCCAATTAAGTGGTATTTTCCCCAAATCAATATATAACCACCTGTTCCTGAACAGAGGCGGTTTAATTTCGTAAATATTTGACAAGAAAACTCTATGATTTGCGTACACGTGTGAAATACAAGTTCTCAAAGATCACAACTTCAGGCCCATGCTTCAAACGGAAGAAAACTAGGAAACTTTCGTGTGATGTGCGAATGAATTTCTCACGAAAAAAAAGCTTTCGTTTTATTAGATTAGTCACAAGGGGGCGCTTTTCACCTTTCCATAAATTATCCCTTTCACGTGTGAGTTTCTGCACCATCTGTACACACCCTTTCAAAAATCACACGAGTCAGCAAATTCACGCTTTTGCAACCGAAAATGTTCTTTATTTTAATAAGGACTTCATTTCAAAACTTATAAGCAGTGTATTCAGCGAGTCTTCAAAATATTTCTTGATAAAATGTCAGTAAATTCCTCAAAAGTGTTCTAGCCATACTTTGACCGAATATGAATCTTATTCACAATAATGTTTCAGTAAAACTTTCATTCAAAAGTCTTTTTCATGAAAGATGAATTCTTTTAAACTGGTATAATCTTAAAGTTTTCCAATTTGTAATATCAAAATTCATGATTCTTTAAAGCAAAGAACTAAAACTCCACTTAACAAAAAAGTTTTTTTATTTTTCATTTGTACATTTTTACAACAGAATATCGCTGGCTTTAAAGCAAGATCTGATGAAAACTTAGAGAATTGAATGACAATGCATCTTCATCATAATACATGATGGAAGATTCAAGTTATGTTAAAAGCTAGCATTCAAGCATTGATACAGAGGTGTCTTGAAGTGAACAGTAATTTTGAATTTGTGTCTCACAGGCAGTTTAATTTTAAATAGTTAGACTTATTAGAGTCATGTTTATTTTAAAGTTTACTCATTGCCTTGGAAACTTTGGAGGAAGGGGATTTGCCAAGAGCTTTGCAGATAAAATTGCCAACATCCAGCACCTTCTTCAGGTCAACTCCCTAGCCAAAATAAAGAGACAAAGGAAGAAATAAAAGTTCAAAATCTGTAACAAAACAAGAGGCATTCAGATACAAAGAATGTACATTTAGGCACTGGCTCGCTACAAAATGTAACGCAAGATAAACACAACCAGGAAAAAATCTAGGTACTTGTACTTTTGTCTTTTTAACAGCACAGAGTCCTTATACTGAGACTGAAAACCTTGGAAAATGTGACGGTTTTAGAGTTGACAGTTTAGAGCTAATGGCTGAAATGTGTCCTATCTACAATCTACACACAGAAAAACTCTCACTTTTTAAAAAAGCAAACGGCATATTACTATCCTTGATCTGGACTCAGAAAAGTGGCAATATTGTGCACCAAATCTATCAATCCCAAAACCTCTGAAGCCGGCTCTGCTGTACTTACGGTTTGAATGCCGAGACCATCCAACATGTAGACCAAGTCTTCTGTAGCCACGTTGCCCGAAGCACCCTTGGCATAGGGACAGCCACCCAGCCCAGCCACAGAGGAGTCCACCACACAAACACCACACTAAAATTAAAACAGAAACCAAGAGATGGTGCTCTGAAACACTGAAGGCCTACAGAATCAATGCCACTATACTCATAGTAATTTTCATGTTTTTTTTCACCATTTACTTCTCTCCACTGAATAGCCTCTGCTACACTTGTTTGTCCACAGTTGCAAATTATAAAAACACCATACATGTATATCAAAAATAATGTTATCCTCTTGAATTAGCCATTCTGCATAAAACCGGCAGCACAAATCCCAAATCCTATCGCAACCTACAAGGGCGTGGCTATGTTGTCTTTTAGTGGGGGAGGACATCTCAAGCTTCTCCTTCTTAAGGGAGCTAAATGATCGGTTCTCACCTGCAAGGCAGCATATATGTTTGCCAGGGCCTGCCCGTACGTATCATGGCAGTGGACAGCCAGGCATTCAATGGGGACTTCCTTGGTGACAACCTCCAACAAATGCTTCATCTCACCAGGGGTGCCCACCCCTATTGTGTCGCCCAGGGATATCTCATAGCAACCCATGTCATACAACCTCTTGGCCACCTGAGGAAGTAATAGAAATATGCAAAGTTGAAAACACTTGGCTAGAAGTGGGACCCCTTTTTCGGGAGATGGTCATATTTGTAGTTTCTGGCCATTTCAGGTGAAATTTAATCCCTGTCAATTTACCTGGGCAACTGCAGCGGGGAGTACTTTCCCTTCATAGGGGCAGCCCAGCACACATGAAACGTAGCCACGTACAGGAATACCAGCCTGCTTTGCTACATCCATCACAGATTGGAATCTATCAATACTCTCCCATATCGAACAGTTGATGTTCTTCCTACAAGAAAAAGAATCAAATCAATATTTATTAGATAACAAAAAACTTAACTCACTTATTTGCATTCATTTTTGAGTTGTACATATCAGTTGCAGTATCAAAATGAAAACATCAATTTCTCCCGGATGGATTGATGGAATAACCACCACACCTGCTGAACGTTTCTGATGCCGCTCCAAATATGGCTACTTCCTTTGCACCGGACTGGAGGGCTGACTTCAGACCTTGCACGTTGGGTGTCAGGGCAGGATAGCTCACTCCGTCTCTCTTCTCGATGGACTGCATCACCTCGGTGTGATCTGCCATCTTATCAGCGATGAAAAAAATGAAAGCAATCTCAAAGAGGTTGAAGGATCAACAATGAAATCAAGATGACCAGTAACAAGCATTATTTGAGTTACTACCATAACATCAAAACAACAGAGCCAACAATTGTGCGCTAGCTAACCTTACTCCTTGGTCGTCCAAGTGATAATTAAAAAGTATCTCAGCCTCCAAATATAAACCAAGTTCCTCATG